GTGTCGTTTCTTCTAAAATTGTATCTTTTCTTTTGGGGTTTGTCGTATCTAAACTGCTGGTTATATAGTTGAAATTCCCTCCTCAAATGATGTTTCCCCTTTTGTGTGAGTATCTTAACGTTTGTTCTAGTGTATGTAAAATAGTGGTTTTTCTGTGTGCTGTGAAGGGGCATATATGTTGACCAGTGTGTAAGTGTATCTATTGTCTGTAATGTTGAGTATGACCGTTTTTCCTCTGCTATCCCTGTCTTTGTGAGTTATCTCCCATCTATCTGATGTCTGTACTATTCCTACCCCTTTACAATGTCTGCCTAAACTGAAATGACTGTTGTTCATGCCTAAAGATGTTGTATATCTTTGTACGTCATCGTCTGTGTTTATATTCGTCTCTTGTACAAAAATAAAATGGCCTTTGTGTTTTTTGACAATATTAATTAGGTGTTGTTCTTTGTTTCTGCAACTTCTTATGTTTAATGAGAAAAGTATGAGTTGTGTTGTCCCCATGATTGTTAGTGATGTATTGATGCTAATGAAAGTTACTTCATACTTTATACATTTCTGTTTATAAATTCTAAACAAAATTTTCAATTTTAAAAAAATTAAAAGTCTGAAATCTAATTTGATTCAGCTCCAGAAGACGTGTCGTCGTCTTCAGTAAATTCGGGAACGTCCCCGGGGAAAAGGTTACATTTAAAAACCTTCTTTTTCTCCCCGGTGTTTTGCCCGTCAGAAGGTCGCTTCTTTGTTCCGTCTTTTAGGAGATGTTGCTTTAGGAGATGTTACGAATCCTGGGGCCGGGTTTTTCGGTTGTGATGGAGATTTTGGCGCTGACAGGGATGTTGGTCCCCTTGTCAGTGCATCCGCATATGTGCCACCCGGCGAGGAATTGTCGTCTTTCTTTACTGTTTTCTTACTGTCCAGACCTTTTCCTGTTTTCAATTTTTTGCCATTCTTTTTCCCCACTTGCTTCCCCTTTCACTGCTGCTGTGGTTGTAGGGTTCTCTCCCTCGGTGACGAAGTCTGCCGTGGTTGTAGGGTTCTCCCCCTCGGTGACAAAGTCTGCCGTGGTTGTAGGGTTCTCCCCCTCGTTGACCACATTTTGAATGTTTTCACGTGTTCTTTTTGGTCCATAGACCACAGTCCATCGGTCGCCCCATTCTTTACTTTGAAATACCTCCACTTTCTCCTCAGATAAGAAGTTTACCATCTCCTCCAGCCCTTCCTTTGACACGGTAGGTGGTACCCAATGTAAAAATAGTTTGATCCTTTCTCCGCTGACGTGCTCAATGGTGAGCATTTTGTCTTTATTTATTTGAATATTAGTTAAATGCATGTTGTCAAACGTTTGTTTTCCCGCTCTCTCTCCCCGAGCTTCAGATACGACTTTAAGGGTCCCTCAAACTGGTCAAAGGCTTAAATGTCTCTGCTTCCAATCTTATATTTCTCAAACAGGACGTTAAGGATTTCGGACTGCGTTGTCCTAAAGGCTTCCTTCCCTGACAATGTAAGGGCAAGTGTTTTGACATGGTGATCACTGTCAAGTGTCACACATCTGACTGAGGCCCATTGTGTGTGCATCTTGAATTGGAAATAATTGTGCTCACAAAATGAAATTGTTGAAATGGAAAGATGTGTAAAACCACTTCCGCTCGAAACTTGATGCAGAAGAAATCCAATAAATCTTTATAACACTTGCTATACAGTTGAAATCTTATAAAACTGTTTCAATACATCCGAAGTCTTCAACTTTACAAAGTTAAATTTAACAGTAATTTATCAAATAGTATGTCACAAAATATTAATACTTATGCTTGCTTTCTTTTTATAACGCCATCTTGTTGAACTTCCGCTTTGAAGATAAATCCACCGCATCGCAAAGTAAAAATGCTTGTACCAATCAGGAAGGGGAGAAAGGGGTTAAAAACATTAACGATGTAGAACTTACAATGGTTCCTCCTTTCTTCCTGTTCACCATTTTTGCATATAGGCATTTTTTTTTCATAGACGGGGGCATTAAAATAATAAACTCAAAACAAATAAATAACCACTTACTGATTGTCGATGATTTTAAATAATTTTACATTAACCAAAAATATTTCTTACTAAAAACAGAAGTCCAGGAATTACTTTGGTTACTCTAAAGTTACTTTTTTGTTTTCTAATTTAGAAAAAGAAAGAAAGCCAATAAGCAATGATTATTTCAATGTGATTGTATTTCTGTAGTTTAAATGCCAGATTGGTTTTTAAAACAAACAAAAAATCTATATAACAACTTTGAGTTAAAAATTGTCACGGAAAAAACTTCTGGTGCATTATAACAATTTTAAATTCATTGTAAAAGACAGAATTAGAAAGAAGAATGTGTAGAAAATATGTCTTTATATGTATAACAATTGTGCAATTTTAAAGGCAAACATCTTGTTGGGTTAACATAATGAAAACAAAAAGTTAAAACAACAAATGAGTAGACTAAATAAACGAACTCTTCTTTTTTTGCTCCAATCCCTTTATCATAAACAAAGAAGAGTTGCCCAAGAGTTGTTTTTTTTCCTTAGGCCACTCAATTAATTTATAGTACATAAATTTAAGTTATAGAAACAAATTTCTTGCAAAGGGGCCCTTAGGAAAACTTGAAAGGGTACTTAGGGAAATAAAAAAAAATGTAGTGTTCATATTTCAATAATTCTTGCTGCCAGATTGATATTCTGATATACAGTGAGCTAATAATGCATAGAATCTGATATGTCTTTGATGCACTGATAAAGGAGAAACACTTTTTGTAGATGTCTTGTTGGACATGCAGTATACATTTACTCTAAAAATAATATATGACCAAATATATAGTTTTTGTTAATTAGTATTGTTTAGGCTTTTGAAAGAATTTTGTATATCACTGGTCTAATGTATTTGGTATGTTTTTGATCCCAATAGTGTTTTATATATTTGTAAAAGTTGTGATTATACTTAAGCAATGAAATGGGTAGATTAATTAAAAATAAACTTATGAAATCCATATTGCACTTGTTACAAATTCTTAACATCTGTGTTTAATTTCCTTGTCTTTAAGAATTTTGATTTTCCCCATTTGGTTTCCATTTATCTTGCAAAAAATGTTATTTTAAGTCATCTAAAATTAAAAATAAAAAGGAAGAAAAGTAAAAAATGTGTGCCTTATTAAAATTAAATGGAAGGCAGTATCTGGATATTATAGTGATGATGGATTATGCCTAATGTTCAGGTTTTTCAAACTTACCTATATAGTTTTATTGAACATTACATATTTGTTTATATTATACACACCCAAAACATATACTTATGCAAATGAAAGCTTTAGATCATACCTTTTTATTATCATAATGGACTTACAAAGTGGGCATTCTATGATAAAGACATTGGCCTGGGGTTAAAGTGCAGGCATTCTATGATAAAGACATTGGCCTGGGGTTAAAGGGCAGGCATTCTATGATAAAGACATTGGCCTGGAGTTAAAGTGCAGGCATTCTATGATAAAGACATTGGCCTGGAGTTAAAGTGCAGGCATTCTATGATAAAGACATTGGCCTGGAGTTAAAGTGCAGGCATTCTATGATAAAGACATTGGCCTGGAGTTAAAGGGCAGGCATTCTATGATAAAGACATTGGCCTGGAGTTAAAGGGCAGGCATTCTATGATAAAGACATTGGCCTGGAGTTAAAGTGCAGGCATTCTATGATAAAGACATTGGCCTGGAGTTAAAGGGCAGGCATTCTATGATAAAGACATTGGCCTGGAGTTAAAGGGCAGGCATTCTATGATAAAGACATTGGCCTGGAGTTAAAGTGCAGGCATTCTATGATAAAGACATTGGCCTGGAGTTAAAGGGCAGGCATTCTATGATAAAGACATTGGCCTGGAGTTAAAGGGCAGGCATTCTATGATAAAGACATTGGCCTGGAGTTAAAGGGCAGGCATTCTATGATAAAGACATTGGCCTGGAGTTAAAGGGCAGGCATTCTATGATAAAGACATTGGCCTGGAGTTAAAGGGCAGGCATTCTATGATAAAGACATTGGCCTGGGGTTAAAGGACAGGCATTCTATGATAAAGACATTGGCCTGGAGTTAAAGGGCAGGCATTCTATGATAAAGACATTGGCCTGGAGTTAAAGGGCAGGCATTCTATAATAAATACATTGGCTTGGAGTTCAGGCATTCTATGATAAAGACATTGGCCTGGAGTTCAGGCATTCTATGATAAAGACATTGGCCTGGAGTTAAAGTGCAGGCATTCTATGATAAAGACATGGGCCTGGAGTTAAAGTGCAGGCATTCTATGATGAAGACATTGGCCTGGAGTTAAAGTGTAGGCATTCTATGATAAAGACACTGGGCGGGGATTAAGGAGCAGGCATTCATTGATAAAGAAATTTTTTTATAGTTAGAGGAACAAGAAAATTAGGCAAATTCAAAGCTACACAATTCTATGATAAAGACATTGGCCTGGAGTTAAAGTGCAGGCATTCTATGATAAAGACATGGGCCTGGAGTTAAAGTGCAGGCATTCTATGATGAAGACATTGGCCTGGAGTTAAAGTGTAGGCATCCTATGATAAAGACACTGGGCGGGGCTTAAGGAGCAGGCATTCATTGATAAAGAAATTTTTTTTATAGTTAGAGGAACAAGAAAATTAGGCAAATTCAAAGCTACACAATCCTCTTCACTAAACCTTTGAAAGCTAATGGTACGGTATCGGAATTAACTTCCTTCAGCAAGAAGAATACTTTTTTTTTTTTTACAGGAAATCATTTTACTTTCATCCCCAAATGGATGACTTAGTTTCTCTATTTAGGTCGACATGTGACTTGACAATTAAATTATTGCACAATTTCCATATGCCTGCTAATAACCTTGATTATTAATATAGAGATAAGATACATGTTCCCATAAAGTTGAAGTTGTTTTAGAAAGGCTGTTTTTAAACTATCTATTTAATAATCATAAATCCTTTATTTTTTAACTTAGCCACTTAAGGTAGAAAATACTGCTTCCTAAAATTTATTTAAATGATGAATTTCTTTTAGGCCTGTAATTTTAAAATTAGCCTGAAAAGTAATTTTTAAAAAAAATTTTGTTACCGTAAATATTAAATTTAATTATAATAAAATATGGTCCTGGGAATATGGCTGGGTTGTGTGAGTTGATGAAAAAAAAATGAAGTGAATAACATCTAATTATTAAATCATACAGACATATTTAATTTTAAATGATTTAAAATATGTTAAGATAACTGGCATAAATTTGTTGGAATACAAGTCAAACTTCAGTTTAATAAAACAATATACTTTTTAAAAATGTGTGGCATTTCTCAGATAGACTAGTTGTTTTACCTTGATTCACCACTACTCATTTAAAAATAAAAGAAAGAAACAATTTAGGTACCTGTTTCCTTAGTTAAAATTATTTGTAGTTACAGGTGAAGAAATATTAATATTCAAATAATTCAATTAATTTACTGTAGATTTTTTTCTATAAAAAGGGCAGGTTCTTCTGCTCATAAGATAGCATGTCAACAATTGTTGTACATTTAATATGTAGCCTAGTAAGTATATAAACTGTACCAGAATATATTAATCAGTTTTAACCTGTCACAAGTAACACACATTTGTCATAATTATACATCAAAATGGTACATGGCAACAATTCTCACCATTTCTTATGTCCAATCTGTTGTGAACGTTTACATAATAAATACCGGTAGTGTAAGTACAAGCAGGAAAATCTATCAGATGAATCACCCATCAAATAATCAGGCACAGCATGTGAAATTGAACACAGAACATTCTGTGGAAAGCCCATTCATATTCATATCATTATTATGCTTGAACCTTGCAATCAGAGACAGAAAATGTACGTTCCTATGAATGAATTTGCACTGAGGTATTTATTGAATTTTTTTCTTTAACTGTCACCATGTTTTAGATAACAGCAATGAACACAAAATAGTTTGTTTATTCAAAATTATAAATGCTTGAAGTCTTTAGACACACATCATTCCACAAGAAAGCCCCTTAAATAAACACTCTTCGTCTATGCTTGTTTAATATTCGGCAACTTAAAACCTCTGTATAAAGCCTATAATTAATCATATGTGTAATAAAGATAAATATTTGTTGCAGTAGCAATAAATTCCCTTCATTCATCCAATCAGGTGGTTTTGAAAACATGAATTCTACACTTAAGTTTATAGTTCTATTAACTAACACAAGTGAATCCATTTATAAGTCAATGGAAATAAGTTTCTAGTTTTAACTGACTCACCAGTCTATATAGGTGGGAAAAGAGTGAAAAGAATTTCCATTCCATGGACGAATAGAACAAAACAAGTGTTTGAAATATCAGATAGTTTTGAGTAATCATGTTGTAATGGTACATAATTGGATGACTTTGGTTGAAAATGGGACTGAAGTTAAGTCACAAAAAATAATAAATTTGTTTATTTAGTCAGCCTGAACATCTCCTGAAATATCTTCTGGTGTCTCTGGATCTTCAGCAATAATGGATGGGTTCTCATGACCTGTAGCATATCCTGAACTGGCTTCCGTAATTCTTTGTTTGCTGATGTCTATTTTCTTCTCAAATATCTTTCCTGGTCTCTTCTCAGGTGTCAGCTCTTCTTTTAGAGTCTTAAAGAATACAGATGAAAGGAAGTCCATCAGAATGTGAGTACAAGAGGAAGAATGTCATGTGCGGAGGTGCCATATTTTGAAAAATATCCCTAAAATACTATAATTTGTTAGGCTCAGAGTTTTATTTCAGCTAGGTAAAAGAAAATATACTTTTTTTTTAAAATTTATTTGCGTTTGGGAAAGGGCTGTTTCAGGGAATAAACATGCTTAAAATGGATGAAAGCACATATTTTATAATCAATATATTTCAACATACTTTAAAAATTAAAAAAAAAAAAAAAAAAGAAGAAAATCTATAAATAAAAAATGTTCTCTTATTCTGAAAACCAACAGAGGAGCAAGAGGTGGCCCTCCTTGATACACACAGGATAAATTCTAATCAGGGGGGGGGGGGGGATTATTATTTTTTTAACTGCTAGATGCCGTACTAATTTATAACTTGACCCCAAGATGAGATTCAGATTTTAATATGCAATGTGTAATTGTTTGACAAGTTTCAATTGATCATATACTAATAAACTAGACTTAGTTTAATTATTTGTAGTTATTTTTTTTATTTCATCAAACATATTGAATTATGGCCATGCAGTGTAAACATTCACACCAAAAAAATGTGGGGTTAAAAAAGGGAAATTAAAACAAATCCTAGATTTAAAAAATAAAACAATTCTGCCTTATGTCAATATAAATTTTCCTTCAAGTTAGAATGAATAAGATTAATGAAGAAATATGAAAAAAAATATCTATTATTTCTAGATTTTCTTATTTAAAAAAAAATGTTTTAAAAATATGTTGAAATATATTGATTATAAAATATGTGCTTTCATTATTATTTTTGAAAGATAGGAAATAATTATTTGCCTCATGTGAGAAAATTCGGAGACAAATCTCATTGCCATAATTATAATACACGTAAAAGTTAAATGCTAAATGCCATCGTGCGCTAACATGAAATTGAGTGGCAGATGATGACAGGTCCATAGTTAAACTACCTGCAGTTGTTGCATGATGGTGGCCATGTGAGCCTTTAGTTCATCCTCTACCACAGTTTTGTTGGTCATGTGATTGATCATGTCATACCGGAAACTTGAAATGTCCTGCTTGATCTCCTCAAAGTCATCTGGGGAAAATTACATAAAAATTGGTCATAATGACCTGGCCAAGCTTTACAAACATATGCTGGTTAATTCACTGAACTGTTAAAATCAAAATAGTGAGGAAATACAATAGACAATGATTACCTTGTCCAAAAATAGAAACATGTCCTTTATATAAAAGATTACTTTCTAATTTGTGGTTGCCTATAGCTGAACTTTTAAGTTAGTTCATTAAATCTTTAACTATTTTGACCTAAATAAATCATGAGGATGAATCTATTATTTAAAAATTAATTTAATAAATGAATTAATTTTCCTTAGCATTAATAGCTATTGATGTTCAAAATGTCATCTAGTGGATATCTATTCATTAAAGATCATGGTAAAAGTTCTCTCAGAGTTTGAATACCTTCCGTTACTTCAGCCTCACGTTGAATATCAAATATATATCTCTGTACAATTCTTTGCATTGTTTGCTGAAATATATTGGGTATTTTATTACTGTTAATACAGGCTAAATTTTTTGATAAATAAATTTCAGAATTAATCTGGAGAAATCATTTAATGTTACATAATATAAAGTAGTAGCCTACCACTATCATTCCTCCCTCATATTTATATTGATTTGAGGTGACTTGATATTTTTAAATACACTCTAAAGCTAGTCCAGAAACTGTTTGGAATAAACAACACACCCTGACAAGGTTATGAGGTTTGAATCTTTATGGATATCATAAACTAATTCATTAAAAAAAAACAACAACATGGGTTTATATCAGTGTCAGGAGTATGATTCAAGCACATGCATATGAAATGAGTTGCAGAGCCAGTATAGTAAATAGCTCAACTTTAAAGCTTGATCAATAGGGCAAGCAGCAATTTTTGTTGAAGAATAAAGACCTTTCCCTTCACAAAATAAAAAATAAAATAAAAAATTGGCTGCCGGTACATTTTTAAATTGATTGCACAAAAAATTTTTTTTTTAACAATGGAAGTTGGCATGCATCCTGTTTCAAATGGAATATCTTTTTGTCTACTTTCCTATTCTTTCAAAGAAGTATTAAGAACATCTTACAATAATTTTTATATCAAAAGTCTTAATTTTAAATGAAAATGTGTTTATTCGTCATTAGGATAAGATATTAGAAAAAATATAGAAATTTGCTCGATAGGCAGTATTATAAACTCACGCATATTTGTTTGTTTCCCCCAATGGGATTTAATATTTTTTAAAAAAATCAAACTTGGGAACAACTTTCAACAAAAACACCATTTTTGATACAACAATGATGTTTAATCCATGGATCTGTGGTGCCCACATTGAAAATTTATTTTGTTTTACTTAGCTATTATATTGAATGCAAGTATCCAATATATATAATTAATATTTATAAATATTAATGAGTTAAAGTTAAAAATAAAATGTTAATAAAAAGAAAGAACTACTTGGTAGGTGAGTTTTTCTTCTGCTGATTCCAATGCCACCATGGTGGATGGCGGCCTGGGAGCTGTTTTAGTTGGAGTTCCATCAAAGGCTTCATTCACACGGCCATTGATTTCACGATGAGCCACAATGTCATCTCCTGGGTGTGCTCCCTGGATTTGAGCAAATTTTTGTGTTCATAATCTTAAACATGAAATGACTTCAATAGCAATTCTATTATTATGTATCAAACAAGAAAAGCCCACCAATTGAAACTCCCTGTGTCATTCTATCACACAAAGAGACACTTTTTCACATTTTACATTTTTTTTTGAGTGATCATTCTTTGTAATATCAGTAAATATCAATATCAGATGGGATCATTATGATAGAATAATTTAAAATTTGTAAGAATTTTTTCACTATACACAGTACAAGAATTAAATCATGGCTTTTAGTGTATATCATCTTGCCCAGGGCTTTGCAAAGGATAACAGGTTTTGGGGCACCATAATCAATGCACATGAAAAAAAACAGTTAAAATATGTATATATGAGTGCGCGTAGCATTTAACAATTGAGGGGGGGGGGGGGGTACCATTTTTCAGGCTTTGTCCTGGGCCCAAATATTTCATGGTACGGTCAAAATTACAATCATGACTTATGACAGTCCAACATATTTGAATTAATGTCACAGTAATATTATTATTAAACTATACTTATTAACAATTTTTTTTTAAGGCATATTTGAATTAATGTCACAGTAATATTATTATTAAACTATACTTATTAACAATTTTTTTTTAAGGTATATTATTTAGGAAATGAAAATAATTAATTGTCATAGGATAGTCCTAAAATTTACTTGAATGTGTTTTTTTGTGGTATTTGGATTAATTTAAATTTTTAAAGACTTGGTCAAAGTGCTGGGTAAAGTACTTTATTGTCTTTGCAAAGAACATTTTGTAGATTTAGATTAAGACGAGTATTGTTTACAAGCATATGTATCAAGTTATACTTTGTTCAATTAAATAGCATTTACTTTTTAGCCTATTCTCAATAATCACATACTATACATTTATAGCGTTTTATTCTTCATGTAAGAACAATTTTACTCATTTTATCCTCACCCCTGGTGGTCCTTCGATGGAAGCAAGTTTACCCGGATGAGTTCGAGGTACATCGCGACCATTCTGTAATGGGCCTTTACGTGGTGGGTAAAGCCCAGCATCATCATCATAATCATCATCTTGCCCTGATGAATAATTTATTTTAAAAAGTTATTCCCTATTCATTTAACTTAAGATAAGATAAGATTCTTTTATTTATCCATATAAATGGAAATGTTTTTTAATTGCATTATAATTATAAAAAGATGTCTAAATGAAGGTAGTAAAGTAAGATATGATTGCTTGAGCTTGAATGATTGTACTTGTACTATATGCACCTTTAAATTAATATTATAAAACTACAAGTAATTTGTTGCATTACATCTAATGACTAATGGTAACTAGGGCTGAGCCAGGTACTGCCCGGGATAACATGAAATACAAAGTATTAGCACATCCCACACATACCCTGCAAAAAAACAACAAACAAACCGGGTCTGGTTGGTAAAAACAGAGTTATCTTCTCATTTTCTATAAGTGTTCCACCCAATGGCAATCGGGGGAAAAAATAAAAAGTGCATCAGCATGTATAATGTATAGAAACTGGGCATTTTAAAAAAAAATATTATTATTTTTTTTTTTGCAAAAGTTTTAAAAAAAAACATTTTACCTCAATTAAATTAATAATAACAAAAAACTGACTTGCGATGGTGGGAAACCAAATGTAAGCTACCGGTATTTAAAACGGCAAAGCTCTGAAAATAATAATATAAAGTACTAGTTCTGAATTTTAAGACGTTTTTTATCTTAGCAAGATACACATCTTTTGTTATGATCACGACCAAAGCACTTTCTGTTTATAATTTATATTTCATTTCACAATGTGACTCGCTGATAATACTGAGAGGCTAAAGTTTGTGTGTCGGTGTGTGTGTGTGTGGTGGGGGGGGGGGGTATTTTTAAGTTCTGATATATAATTTAAAAATAGTAATTTAATTTAACACCCATTAAATAAATGAAACAATTGGGTTAACTCAAGGGTGTCTAACTCAAGGCTCAGCGAGGTGTGTGTGTGTGTGGTGGGGGGGGGGGTATTTTTAAGTTCTGATATATAATTTAAAAATAGTAATTTAATTTAACACCCATTAAATAAATGAAACAATTGGGTTAACTCAAGGGTGTCTAACTCAAGGCTCAGCGGGCCAAAACTCAAATCACACGTAATGTTGTGGGCCAAACAGGATAAACATTCAATAAGTGGAAAATTAAACCTTCTTCAACATTAATATAATTTTTTTTTAAAAAGTTTTAATAATAATAAATCAGTGGCCTACCCATTTTCGTTCTTATGCCACTTTTTCAGAGCTGGATATTTGGCATCTCTTCTTGGCTATAACTATAAAATAAGTTTATGTTGGGAGTAATGTTCTGTGTCATTGAGATTCTCATGCTGGACTGCAAGTGTTCGTCAGTGGGACGACTCCTGTGTGATGTTTTATTAATCTTCATCACAGAAAACAGCTGCTGACACAGATATTTGGTCCCAAACATGCTCAAGGTTCAAGCTTCATGTAGACGAAGCTGGGGCATCTCTTCAGGAATAAAACGAGTGAAATGTGGAGGCCACACAGTGTTGTACCTTGCCTTTACAGTAATTTACAGCGTCCCATTACACACACTGCAGTTCTATGAGCTCCATCTGCAAATTTACAGGTGCAGTTTCCTACCTCTATGACAAATGGGTTACGGAACAGCTCAAAATTACTTTTCTGTGCTTCAAAGTCACTAAAGCGCCGTGCCAACTCGACAGGAAGTAAGCTACGTTTTTCAGCAAAGTGTGCATTGAGAAACACCATAGCGTTGGCTTGGTTCAACATTGCTTGGCAACAAGAAAACTGAGACAAGTTGCATGGGTGCATTTGTGTCCCCCATAGCTTCCCTGCATCATGCCCATCAGTGATCAAATGGTCCCGTCTCTGGAGCTGCAGGTTCAAGGCGTTGAGATGAGTGGCTATGTCAGACAGAAACGCCAACTCACATTTCCACTTTATATCCCCCAAAAAACTGTTTAGTCTTTTTCTTTGCTGTCCATGAATTAACCGATTTCTTTGATCAGCTGGAAAATCTACTAAGAACATTTCCCAGACTTAGCCACCCCATCTCTGTATGATTAAGGTATGTCGCCGAACTCTGAATCCATTTCCTGCAAAAAATACTGAAATTGGCAGTGATTTAAACCTTTGACTATAATTAAGTTGACGGTTTGTGTTACAGTGCTCATTACACCTTCCATGTTTAGGACTTTACCACACAGTGATCCTTGGCGTGTGATTCAGTGATACGCCATCAATTCACCAGTAAAGTTCTCCTGCAATTTTTTTCGCTGCACATTGCCAGTGTTCCATCAATTGTAAGTCCAACAAGTTTGTCCCAAGGTAGGTTCATGTTGGTTAAACTTTGAGATACGTTGTCAAAAAATGTCTCTTCCTGTCATTGTCCCGTGCATGGATTTTTTGTCCAATATTTCTTCTGTACGATTCAAACTGAAGTCCACTTCACGGATGAAGATGGCGAGCTGTGCAGTGTCAGCCGTGTAGTATCATTACTTTCATCGACTTGATTGGATATTAGGGGTTGCAATCCGTGATCCCGAAATTCGAAAATACCGGACCATAATTGATGCTCGAAATAACCGGGATTGGATTTATGAAAACAGAGATTTTCGATAATCCCGGGATTTTATTTTCAATTTTTAAAAAACCGTTTTTCTTAGTTTCCAAGTAGTATTAAAGGCAAGACATGTAAATAATTGATGAGATGTGCAAATCCCTCACACCTCGTGTCTGGCTAGATCTGTGTACTCTTATTTGTCAAGAATCATGACGTTGTGATTAGTTGTTTTTTTTCACCGTGCATGTGTAGCGTGTAAGTGGAGACGAGCCACGACTTGAAGGTACAGGATTGGTAATTAAATGTTCTCATATTATTGACAAATAAGTAATTGGTATAGTCGAATGAAGATCGAATTTTGACTTCCATTAAGATTTTGTTTGGAAATAATAACACGTTGCACTCCTATCACGGGGTCAACTTTAAAATGTAAAAAAAAAATTTGATTGCTTTATTTCCTTTAATTATGCCTAAAAGCCTACAAATTTAAAAATATGCGTAAATCAGTATTTTGATAATGAAATACCTTATGTTTAAGACACGTAAAAATTAAGTTACTCAGGCTAAATTTCCCAGTTTGTCTGTACGGTACTTATCCAAACATTTACATGAAAATTTAAACATTTTAAAAAAGTTGTACACGTCAAACCAATTTGATTGAATTAATACATTTTTCTAAATGATCAATTTTCCCTTCAGGTTGATAGAAAAAATGGGGGACCCTGAAAAAAAATAGACCTAAATTTGAAAAGCATATGAAACAATCGGAAACAAAGACATCAGTTTGGTATTATTTCTTGAAAGCTACGGACAATCATCAGCTAAATGTATTAGATGCAACAAGATACTTAAAACATTTGGAGGTACAACTTCAGTCAGACCTACACTCTCATTTAAAGTCTGCACATTCCAGTGACTACTTATTTCTTAGACCAGATGCGCAAACATATCGTGGATATTCAAAAGCTTGGTCAGACAGTGGCTTCCTCGTTGGAATTATCTATGATCAATGAAATTGAACATCTTGGATCTGGTAACAATAGGCATGGCTTTAAGAATGGCAGTTCAAGAGGAAAATATCTAGAAATAGCGTAAAATATCCCAAGGTCTATTCCTCCGACCAGTGTTCTCTTCATCAGGTTACTTTTGTAACCATTTGCGGTCAAAGTTAAGAGACCAAACTTGGTCATAATTACGATTTCATTATTTAAATTTGAACAAAGATTAAAACACCACCAATTATTTTAATATTTGATAATAAAACTTTTTTAAATTTCAAAAGTTACGAATATTATTTTTGTTCGTTGGATTAAAGTCTGAAGTTAAACATTTGTGTTATTGTTAAAGGCTTATCTATTAAATATTGAAATGTGATTTTTTTCTGAATGTTTTTATTTCATTGATAAATCCTAACCTTTAATCTTGAACCTAAACTAAAAATTCTCTAAATATCGAAAGTACCGAAAATACCGGGATTCCGGTTTTGGTAAACTTCAATATCGAAAATACCGGTTTTGGCAAAAGGGACCGGTTTTGCGACCCCTAATGGATATCAGATTAAATCTAGCGGGAAAAGATGATGCAATATCCGGGCACTACACTGCTTTCATTTCTTATGCACCAATCCAATGCCAGCAACTGAACGTTGCTATGTTACTGCAACGATGACCATCCACTCGCTTCACAACTTTTATTTTCGCTTATTCTGGTCGAAGCGAGAGCGCTCTCAAGTAGCCTATCATTCAGCAAGGCTGCTAAATAGGAAATTTGATTTTTAATTTATATCACAGGGCCATTAAAAACATTTTTGCCTACAATTGTTAAAATGGAGTCTAAGTCTAAGCACTATAATTCTGGATGTGGGTCACCACAACTTGACAAATGTTAAAATGGAGTCTAAGTCTAAGCACTATAATTCAGGATGTGGGTCACCACAACTTGACAAATGTTATAATTGAGTCTAAGCACTATAATTCAGGATGTGAGTCACCACAACTTGACAAATGTTAAAATGGAGTCTAAGCACTATAATTCTGGATGTGGGTCACCACAACTTGACAACTGTTATAATGGAGTCTAAGCTCGATAATTCAGGATGTAGGTCACCACAACTTGACAAATTTTATAATGGAGTCTAATGGAGGTCTGCATTGGGTCAAACATTATAAGACAATGAGAAGATAACTTGGACCTGTCGGGTATTGCCTCAAAAGACCCGGACAGGTGTAAAAAAACTGCTGCTCAGCCCTAATAGTCACACTGAAATGTCATTAACTTGAAAAGACTTCCTGTCTTTTATTTGAAAAAAATTTGCATGAATTTCTTTATGATACATTTTGAATACTTAATTATATGGGTAGTAATAAATTATTTCAGTTTTTTTAAACAGGTATTTTAAAATGATTTTTAGATTGAACATTTAAAAAAAAAATAAATTACCATCAGAATCTGAATGCTTCTCTCCACAGCAACAACAATTACAGAAGATCAACCTGAATAGGGCTTTTGGTGCACCAATGATGTTAAGGGGGGCGGGCAGAGTGCCACCAGCCCTGATGTAATCCATATAAAGGAGACTACGTGAATACTTCCACTCTCTGTCTGAATCTTCCTGGAATAAAGAAGAAAACCACCACCTTCAAGTCTACAAGTTAAATTTAAAAGTACACATGTAGTCTCTTGGGGTGAGCAAATCTCACTGTCTTACATGGCATCTTGAGGAACATAAAACCGTTTTAAAAAGTTTTAAGGCACAATAACTGGAATTGAACTAATATTATCTTTTATTCGAAAAAAAAAAAAAAAATCACATTTAGTTTAATGCTGATTGTTCACATTAGAATTCTAATTATTATTGCCAGTGTTTTGGCCTTGACTAATGACTGTAGCAAGGTCTTCTTATTTTAAAACCAATTATTACAAAATAAATTACGCCATCCATAAACAAAATATTTCATATTTATTTTTCATACACCTGTAATCACATGTGAGGGAGATACAAAAGGCCGGAGAGAAAGTAGATCTATAACAGAAAGGAAAGAGCAACAAAAAAGATGGATGGAATACTTTAAGGAACTATTAAACAAGCCCCCACCCACAGACACACCAGACATACAACCAGCAAATGAAGACCTACAAATAGAAGAAGGCGCACCAAATTAGGAAGAAATAACTCTGGCCATCAAGCAGCTCAAATAAGGGAAATCACCGGGACCGGACAACATCACAGCAGAGATGATGAGAGCTGACATAAATACAATAGTCAACATGCTGCACCCACTGTTGGAAACGATATGGGAAGAAGAGAGAGTTCCAAAAGATTGGAAAGAAGAGTACTTCATCAAGATCCCAAAGAAAGGGGATCTCAGCAATTGTGCAAATTACAGAGGAATCACACTGCTGTCTGTACCAGGAAAAGTCTGTAACAGAATTATTTTGAACAGAATGAAAGACCAGGTCGACATGCAGCTACAAGATCAACAGGCTGGCTTCCGCCAAAACAGATCATGCACAGATCAAATAGCAACACTGAGAATCATTGTAGATCAGTCCATCGATCGGAACTCCTCCCTATGTATAAATTTTATAGACTACGAAAAGGCCTTTGATAGCCTGGACCAACAAACCTTGTGGAAACTTCTTCGGCACTATGGAATACCAGGGAAACTAGTCAGGATCATTCAGAGCTCTTATGAAGAAATGACATGCAGGGTGGTCCACGAAGGTAGACTCACAGATTCCTTTACAGTCGAAACAGGAGTCAGACAAGGTTGCCTCTTGTCCCCACTTCTATTCATCCTTGCCATTGACTGGATAATGAAAGAATCCACAGACAAAAAGAGGAACGGGATACAGTGGACACTCTGGGAACAACTGAATGATTTAGACTTTGCAGAGGACATTACACTTCTGTCCCACAACCAGCAACAAATGCAAGAAAAGACAAAAGACGTAGCCACCTTTTCAGCACAGCTTGGTCTCAATATAAATAAAAGCAAGACAAAAATCATGAAGGTAAGCCCATCCAACCATGAGCATATCTATGTGGCAGGAAAGGCACTGGAAGAAGTGGAGTCCTTCACACACCTAGGCAGCACCATAGACACAAATGGCGGATCCAATGCAGACGTGAGGGCCAGAATTGGAAAAGCTAGAATGGCATTTGTACTATTAAAGAAAATATGGGAGTCCAAGGAGCTGAAACTGCAAACCAAAGTCAGAATCTTTAATACAAATGTCAAAACAGTCCTACTATATGGTGCAGAAACTCAGAAAACAACAGCGAGCCTTATGCAGAAAGTGCAGACATTCATAAACACATGCCTTAGAAAGATCCTGAAAATCAAATGGCCAAATACTATCAATAACAAAGATTTACTAGACAGGACACACCAGGTGCCCATTGATGAAGAAATCATAAAGAAGAGGTGGAGATGGATAGGACATATGCTCCGAAAACCCCCAAATAGCACCACCAGACAATGCCTAACATGGAACCCACAGGGAAAAAAAAAGAGAGGAAGGCCTAAGAATACATGAAGACGCGAGCTAGAGGCAGACACGCAAAATATGGGATACACCATATATACTGGAAGCAATTGGAAAGGAAAGCACAGGACCATGAGGAGTGGAAAGTTATTGTAGACGGCCTATGCCCCAGACGGAGTAGAAAGGCATAAGTGAGTAAAGTAAGTAATCACATACCGCAATGAGAGTGAAGGATCTTGTCATCATGGCAATGAGCATGTTGAGCAACACAGTAACCATGGCAACATTATAAGCACCATAGATGACATAGCCAATGTCAGATGTGAAAGTGTTGTTGTAACCTCCCAGCTGTACAGCATCTGGTTCACCTCTACCAAACATTGCCCAGAAAACTGTTCGGAATGTTGCAAAAACACTGTGGATGGAATGAAACTGAATTAGTGAGTAAAATATAAGGCTATGAAATGAAGATGTGATCTCAAACTATTTTAAGAACAAAAACAGGACTGTTGGGATATAAAAAAAATGTTTTCTCTTATTTCAATCATATTGTGGCCTTTAGGAAAAGGCCCCCAGGTGAAAACTCCCCTGAAAACTGTTAAAGTTAAAGTTTAAGTTCAGAGAAATGTTTTCTTATATTTAACAAATTGTTCAACAATTCAGACTTTATTAAAGCCAGCTTCAGTACTAGTACTAGCAAGACTTATCAACATAACCTTTATGCATTTTACTCTAATGTAGAGTTAATCTGTGAGAGAGTTGCAAACATTTGAAACTTTTAACATTATTGAGGAAACACATTCAGGTCCAAAAAAAAACTATTATACCAGAAAAATACAATTTAGATTTCTCAAAATCAACTACAGTAACTGAACAAACAAAACAATGAGGGCTGTTGTCATGATGGAACTTGATCTACTCATTGCAAACAGAAAAGTCCGCTATTATGGCATATTCAACAGTTTGCTATCTTAACCCTACAAAAAATTATGTAGCCTTGATATATTTAGGCTCAGGTTAAGTCTTTTATCATTAAATAATATGGCATATGCAATAATTTTTCTATCAAAATTCTACCGCCAAAATTTTCTGCATCTTTGACAACTTGAGGCTTGGGTAATGACTAATATAATGGCATAACAGTAGGTATTAAAAAGTTCACTATCAAAACTCACCCGCCAAAATTCTCTGCAGCCTTGACATCTTGAGGCTCAGGTCTGTCTGGGAATTGTAGTTCTATGTCTTCCCTCTCACTGTAGTACCAATAGAGGTTGTGAAGTCCAACCATGAAGGCGAATATCACCAACACAAAGAGGACTCCAAACTTGGCAATGTCCTAAAAACATGAGATATTTGCAAGATAAGTTAAAACAAGAAAGTACAACAGCAAATTGTTATTTGTCCACATGAAATTTTTCTTAAGAGCACTGAAATATTAACAGTTTTAATTGTAGTTTAACGTTATAAAAAGGATATTCTAAATCTGATGTTAAATGAAATGTTTTGATTAAATTGCATGGTTACCCTGTGAATGCTATGACTAGCAATCATCATGTAAATAAAAGATTTAAAAATAATACACTGCCTCTCCTCCTGCTTTTTGGTGGTAAAAAACAGAAATTAAGGAAATATTTGTAATTTTAATGTTTGGTTATAAATGTAATTACAAACATGTTGTTTGCCTCCAAACTGAGCAGTGTTTTAAAATACACACAAGTCGTATTTGAAATTGGAGTCTTTTTACAGAATCCTCAAAATAAAGTTTATTCTCAATCCAGTCAAAAATAGTTGCATTATAAACCAGGACCATGTCAATGCTTTTAAATATAGATTCTTCTATCATTTTTGCATCAATGTTGGAAAATAAAAATCAACTCCCAAAACATGATCTTAAATTAAATTTGACAAATTAGTACCCTGATCTTGTTCTTGCATTTGACAATACTTTGTCTCTCTGATGTTAATCAATGTTCTATCTACCACAACGGAAAACTAATTGCTGCTGACATTTATAAAAGCTACATTGACAAATGGCTGATTAGTGAGATGTTTGTAAACAGTTTCTCTCATCATTGTTTGGTTTCATATTCAAATATTTGCAGCGTGGGCTTTGATTTTCATGCACAGATTGGCGTCTAATTCAAAGTTTAATCTATACTGTTCTTATCTGATTATTGATTTGATAAACCAGTTTCCATACACTAAATATGTTAATATCAGGATCAAAGTAAAAGACACTCATTACTTGGATAGCGCTTTTCTGAGTAAGATGTAAAAGTTCAATGAAGAATGGATCTTAAATATCAGTGTTAATTATTAGTTTAAAATCAATCTACGAATAGAAATAAAAGAGGTTAGCATTTGCTTGGTTTATTTGAAATATTTTCAATCAAGGGTGATCACGTATTATTAGATTTTAAAATGTGGAGATAAAGTGGTAAAAATTACTTCACCAAACGAGATATACCAGTAAAATACTGATCCATTTTCTAACAAGATCTTACCTTTAACATACGACCCAGTGAGATCTGTAAAGGCCCGAGAATTTCGTTGGCAGGAAGCAGATATGAAATACGCGAGACACTGAGAATATTTGCTACAGCAAATGAACCTTCCAATAGATTTATGGGATCTGTTGGAGTCCAGAAGATTCGATCTGTTGGAACAAATTATTGCAACATATAACTGAATATAAGAAAATTGAGTATGGGATTAAAATGGTTATTCCGAGTTAAATAAAATGCACAATAAAACTGTAATAATGTTAAACTAAATGATGGGGTAAGTATGGTAGTATAAATGTTATGAATAACACATTTAAGAAACTGAGTAGTCTATTTAACATTATTGTAATGAAGGTTAATGAAAGTTTATATTAAAAAACAAGATTAGAATTTCCCAAAAAATGCAACTAGCGATTCAATCCTACCACCAGTTATTAAACACAATGAAATGTCTGCATTTTCATGTCTATAATATTATGAATAAAGACAAACTGGATGATTCAATTCAGCTAAACACCTGACATTTCAAATATCACCAATGAAAATAAATAGTGTAACAAGATACGTTTAGGCTTGAAAAATAGACACAACAATTAAACAGATTTTTCAGCTAGCTGCCTCTTCAGTAGACATTACAATAAAAAACAACAGATGTATTGAAATGAAAAATTACACATGTTTTTGTAGATCTCAATAATGTCAATGTAGATTACCCTATAATTCTCCTTTCCCATTGCCCTCATAAATGAAGTGATTCTACTATTTCATAGTACTGAAGGAAACAATTGTCTTTGCTACTTCTTTGTGTTGCTACCTAAGAAAGATTTGTTCAGTTAAGACTCAAAACTCTTTACAGTGATTATAAACCACTGCAAGAAGTTTAAAGAGACAGCTTTAAAGTTAAATAATTCAAGATCAAAGTAAGGACATTAGATTTTACCTGTATTTAGCCAATATACACTTTCCAACATTCCTCGTTCATCCAATAAATTATTTGGATTTTCCATAAAATATAATGCCATGTGAAACTGCAAAGAAATTTGTAAAAATAAGTAATCTTTATTACGGTACCATCTTAATAAAAATAAATAATATGGGATGCCATTTATGAGTAAATCAATATTAAAGCGCCTGTGCTTTTAATCGTATATATTTGTCTCTTGATCAGTAACACAATGATGTAGCTGCACCTTTTTTTTTTAATTAACAGATTCCCTCTTCCACAAGTGAAAAAACAAACAAATTACCTTGTACATTGTCCAGTAACGGAGAGAAAAGGTTGCTAAATACACAGTGATCAGAACAACATCAAGAAGATTATAAAGATCCAACATGTGTTCAATTAATCCATTATGGAACAGCTGATTACATTCTTGGCACACCATACCTGCAGGACACCATTTCAAGAATACGATAATTCATGTTTTAGAAATAATGTGGAATTCATTTGTTAAAAATTTTCTGATTTGCAATATTTTAGATCAGAAGACACCCCACCATATTGCAATATTTTTGTTTAGGATAACTCAGTTTAAAGGATACTTGAATAATTCTTTTTAATGAATTGATGAGAATGAACAAATTTGGTCAATTTCAAATGCTTGCACAAGTACTGAATGAAAACTTACCTACATGGCATAAACTCATCACAAGTACAGAATGAAAACTTACCTACATTGCATAAACTCATCACAAGTACTTATTGAAAACTTACCTACTATCCATAAACTCATCAAAATTTCAGTCACACTAGGAAAACTTGCACGCAAAGGAAAGTCTGGTCCATAAACAGAGTTGTTAAATATTTCACAGAAATTACCATATCTGCAGAAGAAGAGAAAATTTGGTTTGCTAACAGTAACATAAGAAAAGTACAATGTCATTATGATTCTGAGAAATCATATTATACATACATAACTTTTTATTTAGATATTATGATAAACAGATGGGGCCTGTGTGCGAATGGTCCTTTTTCAAGATCTTTTAGTGGTTATAACATCACACAGGTATTAAGACTTTTGCCTTAAAGACAGTCAGGTATTTAAAACTTTATCATGCTCTATCACTATCAAAGTTAATTTTATTATGGGATCTAAATGTGCTTATTTAGCTGTCATTTGTAAATGAAATGTTTGAGCAATTACTACAGATTTTTTATCAGGATTACAGATTAATAACCAATATATTTGACTCTTAAATCCAATACCACTACCTTAAAAATGATTTAATCAATGAAATTATTTTGGATATTATTTTTCTGGTTTTCTTTACTTGCAATGGATAAGTAAAAAAAATCAAATTGCAAAATTTTAAATCTTACTCCGCAGCCTTCACTCTTGACAAGTCTTATTATAATTAACGTATGATAAAATGTAATAAATTTAAATAAAATAAAATATAAATTTATTATTTTCATTACATAACAATCTTACACTTCATGATGTCTAGGATACTCTGTGCCAAGGGTGCGGTATTTGCTGACACTCTGGGATGATTCGATGGTGGAAACCACAATGAGTAAAAGAAATCCCAGAAAAGACATAGCATTGCATAGAAACTTGACCACTGGGAACTGCAATACTTTTGCTCCCTGGAGAGAAAAATTCCAAATTCAAAGTTCTTCTGTTCTGATCACAAAAATAACACAGGGTGCCAAGAGATCTATAAAATATCCAGCATTGGGTGTTTTTTCTAATTCAGAAATACCAAAAGAGCAATATAAATACATTACAATTATTAACAAGTTAATTACCTAAGCAAAATACATTTTTTGTATTGCCCATTCAAAATATAAAGGTAATGTTTAAGCTCTGTACTACCAGTTTTGGAAGTAATAGTATCAGCAAATGATATTATATTAAAGTGAAATTCTCTGACTATAGAATGTAAGTAGCAACAAGTACCTTGCAATTTGGCAAAAATATATGGAGCAAGACCAGGAAGGGATATGCAATGGTAAACATTGAAATCATTAGGAGACGATTGGGCCAATTGGCTCGTTCCAACTTTCCCATTCCATTGTACCATATTCGAACCACTCGTTGCTGACAGCTGGAATGTGCGACAAACTGAAAAAGACCATTGTTATAGTTATCAAAGATTCTTTTATCAGCTTGTATATAACTTAAGTAAATGCTTTTAACTTATCTTGAAATGGCAAGAACAAATTGTCTTAAATATACTATACAAACCTTATTTGTTTTAAGTCCTAATATTAAAAACAATGCTATATTATCATTTCTTTAAACTTATAAAATATGAAAACTATTAGGGTCTGTGGTTCAATCACAGGAAAGCCTAATTTATGAATGAAATGTTCTTACTTTTGATGGAACTAAGTTTATGCATATAAAAAATTAATAAAGTTGTTTGTGGTAAATTGTTGATTTTAATTTTGGCAAAAATAAGATATTTTATAGGCAAATCTAATGACCATGATGTATTCTGGAGCATCTTGGTGAAAATTGGGTAAATAAATTATGTAATTAAAAAAAAAAGTCAAAATCTAAGTAAAAAAGTATCTTCAACATCAATTAGTTATTCACCTTTTTCTCTTTATAGTTCAAGGCCAGCTTGAATCTTGCCAAACTTTCAAATTTTTCTTGGTGAGGTTTTCCTGTTTTATTCAGCACCAACTCCAGCTCCTTCTGTGTCCTTATTCTGTCCAATAACTTGACCACATAGTCACTAAGCTGGTCGGCCAGGTCTCTGTACTCACGCTGTTCAGAATATTTGGGGAAACATAATTATTTCATCTATCATGGGTTACGTATTATGTAAAAACAAAATCATGAAATGTTTTTCCCATTTGATCCAGGTAAAATAAGTGAATTTTTTAAATTTTTATAAACAAGCAAAATTTAAAAGTCTGATTCTAAACATGTAAAGAAAATATACTATTTTATTTATTATCTTATAACCTTATTTTGTGTATATTACCTTAAAATGTTTCTCCACCCTTGACAATCTCCTGAGTTCTGCAGCAAGTTCAAAAGCTGTTAAAATTGGATCTTTGCTGGATAAAGATATGTAGGCCTCACTGGCAAGTCCTCTGTATGCGTTCAGTCTGTATTTGGCCAAGCGAAGCTGGTCAAACTTCATTCTGTTGCGACATTCCTTTAAGTGTATTCAAATGAGTTTAAAATTATGACAAGATAGAATATGAATATCTCTAATTATAATGACAATAATGTGCTTAATTATATCTAACTAACTCATTAGGAAAGTTAAAAATCACTCCAAAATTCAAATAAATTCTTAAAGTAGTAGTCTGAAAATGTTATGTCTATGCCATTGTAAATTTAAGAGTAACAGCATATTACCTGACAGACACAGTGCAGAGCTAAACAAGCACGACACACTTAGCAGACACACAGCTAAACTTGGAACTACACACTTACCTGACACCCACAGCTAAACTTGTGTGGTTTCATTATAGTCTCTCCCCTTAGTAAAAGCAACTGGACAATTTCATATTGGTTTTTCTGTGAGGCTAAAATAAGTGGAGTGATATCTGGGGAGAACTGAGAATCTGGGAATGCTGTCTTGTAGAATCCATCTGGAAAACAGAAAATGGAATTTAATTTAAATATGAATATGTGATTTGATTAGATTGAAGTTTCTTATTTTATAATTACAAATCAAACCATTTCATCCCAAATAATAATTCTCTAGGTAGGCATGTTTGTAATACACTGTTCAATAGCGACAAAAAATCAATTACCCCCCCCCCCCCCCTTTTCCAAAAAAAAAAAAAAAAAGAGCTTTAAGCAGCGTATAAATTTGAGTTCATTAGCCGCGCAAGGTACATTTCCTCCTTCTGGTGGAATTCTTAAAAACACTGAGATAGTAAGATTTCTCTTTTTCATTGAAATCGAATCAATTTAAATCTGACAATATGAATATATAAGTATAAGCCTATAATACGACAGGCTTACCAGCGTATAAATTATTTAAAATGCATGCTTTATTTTTATAATTTAAACATTAGAAACAAATTAATACGATAGTAATAAAATTCCCCAGAAGTTACAACTAATTAATGTGATTCGTAAAAAGCCAGTTAATTGAAATTGAATGCATGTTTTGTCATTTAGCTTTACTTTAGAAGATGGGAAGTTCAAACATTGACACCGCTATTGTTTGGCGGATTATTTCTGGTTTATTAAAATAACAGGCTTAAATTAAAATGAATTAAAGAGTGAAATATTTATAACGACTTAAAAAAAAATTATGTTTGTGTCGTTTAATTTTGGATAGGAAGATTAAAAAATACACCACCGCTTGAAAAGAACAAGTCAAGGGAAATAAGAAAAGAAGCCCATTTAAATAGATTGCAAGTCCCGCCCTTAGTCAGCCCACAATATACGTTTTCCAGCCAACCTGTGTCACCCAGTTTTCTTCTCTCTTTCCACATCTCCAGGTATCTCCTGTGCTTGAGGATGGTCTCTGCAATCTGTGTGTGTCCCGCACTAATGGCCTGGAGGACAGCCTCATAGATGTGATGTTGATTGGATTTCTCCAAGAGGACTTCCACCACCTGCGACACATGAACAATAACTCCACCTTAGAGTTGTTTAATGAAACTACCGGTAGGCCTATCGTTTAGAATAAATAAATTGTAAACAGGCTACCATATGGCCGTTTGAAACATTTGAAATAAACATTTATTTTATTTAAAAAATTGTATATATTAACTTCGCCATTGTTCGTGGCCAAATCTTCGGACGGCTAATTGACCTACTTCCCGCCAATCTATCGAGCTGAAATCACAAAGTCTTGTTGCTGATGACAGATAAGACATTCTATCAAATTTTCAACACCAACACCCAAAATCAGTTTTTCCCGTGTTTCACGGGGAAGATAAGGAAATATAATGACACTGCTTTCACGAAATAAAATTCCCGATAACTGCTTAAAAAAAATATGGGAATGGCGTTTGTTTCGTAGTATTTTCTTTTGTTTCTCTAAATTAGTTGATGAAATAAAACTCCAGTTCTGGTAGTAGTTCTCTGGTAGTGTTCGTTGCTGCATACATATACTGGCATCTGTGCAACTGTAAATAAGTGTCAAAGCGGGTGGGTCATTCGAATATTATTATGGTTCAGGGGCGTGGAAAAAAGTGCGGTTGTGAGCCTGGGGGTGGCGGGATGGAGCGGTCATTGGGATTCGTAATAAAGTGCTTAACTTGTATGCATGTTTGGTCAAATTTTCATCAAACCCCCCCCCCCCCCCCAAAAAAGTGCGGTTGTGAGCCTGGGGGTGGCGGGATGGAGCGGTCATTGTGATTCGTAAAAAAGTGCTTAACTTGTAGGCATGTTTGGTCAAATTTTCATCAAACCCCCCCCCCCCCAATGGCTCGATATCAAATTTTTATAAAGGATATATAGGCCTAGGGGCTGTTTAATTTTTTCTTTACATAATCTTAATTGTGTAACAACCGTTTAATGTGAAGTGTGAGTCTCGCGAATACCAATATACCATGCTTGTATTCGACTAATTAAAAAAAAAAAAAGTTGAGTTGAGGATACTAGAAAAGTCAATAATTAAAATAAAAAAAAACTATGAATTATGTATTAAATGAAACTGACAGATTAAATTTTTATATCCCTACTTCGGACAGTAGTTACGGACAGTGGTAGACTGTGATTGTAACTCTTACTCTTAGAGGTCACCATGACATCGGCACACAATCTCTCAGAGTTGAAAGAGACGACGAACTGACGTTTGGATATTGATCAAGTTATTTTACTAAGATTATTACTAAGATGTAGACACTTCGAGGATATTTAATGGTTCAAGGGTACAAAACAAAAAAAAGAACGAAGTTTTAGTTACCTCAAGATGTTCATTTTTGACCGCAAGTCTGAGGGCTGTCCGACCCAAGGCATCAATGCAGTCAATGTTGAGATCTGCATAGTTGGCTAAGATCCTTTTCACGTTCGGGATGTCACCGAACTCGGCAGCGTGGAGGAACTCTTCTTCGATGTCAACAAACTGAAAATAGAATCAGTCATCAATGTTCTAAACTCTTACGTCATATTAAATTGTCAATAAATAGCCCCCATTGTGGCTCAGAAACATTTGGTATTGGTTGAGAGTGTGGGATTGGGGGGGGGGGGGAGGGGGTAGTAGGTTCAGATCGTCTGAGATCTTCTTGGATTCCCTGAAATGTTTGCATCTGAAGATAAGCCAAAACTTGTAGTATTTTTTATTATTATTTATTATTAATATTGATCGTTCTTCGCATTGAGCACATGCCATAGGCACTCTATTCGACTGGAAGTAGTAGTCTTGACTTGAGCTGTATTTTGTTTAACTTTAAGGTGAGGGTTCGCATGAGCACGTGCCATAGGCACTCTATTCGACTGGAAGTAGTAGTCTTGACCTGAGCTGTATTTTGTTTAACTTTAAGGTGAGGGTTCGCATGAGCACGTGCCATAGGCACTCTATTCGACTGGAAGTAGTAGTCTTGACCTGAGCTGTATTTTGTTTAACTTTAAGGTGAGGGTTCGCATGAGCACGTGCCATAGGCACTCTATTCGACTGGAAGTAGTAGTCTTGACCTGAGCTGTATTTTGTTTAACTTTAAGGTGAGGGTTCGCATGAGCACGTGCCATAGGCACTCTATTCGACTGGAAGTAGTAGTCTTGACCTGAGCTGTATTTTGTTTAACTTTAAGGTGAGGGTTCGCATGAGCACGTGCCATAGGCACTCTATTCGACTGGAAGTAGTAGTCTTGACCTGAGCTGTATTTTGTTTAACTTTAAGGTGAGGGTTCGCATGAGCACGTGCCATAGGCACTCTATTCGACTGGAAGTAGTAGTCTTGACCTGAGCTGTATTTTGTTTAACTTTAAGGTGAGGGTTCGCATGAGCACGTGCCATAGGCACTCTATTCGACTGGAAGTAGTAGTCTTGACCTGAGCTGTATTTTGTTTAACTTTAAGGTGAGGGTTCGCATGAGCACGTGCCATAGGCACTCTATTCGACTGGAAGTAGTAGTCTTGACCTGAGCTGTATTTTGTTTAACTTTAAGGTGAGGGTTCGCATGAGCACGTGCCATAGGCACTCTATTCGACTGGAAGTAGTAGTCTTGACCTGAGCTGTATTTTGTTTAACTTTAAGGTGAGGGTTCGCATGAGCACGTGCCATAGGCACTCTATTCGACTGGAAGTAGTAGTCTTGACCTGAGCTGTATTTTGTTTAACTTTAAGGTGAGGGTTCGCATGAGCACGTGCCATAGGCACTCTATTCGACTGGAAGTAGTAGTCTTGACCTGAGCTGTATTTTGTTTAACTTTAAGGTGAGGGTTCGCATGAGCACGTGCCATAGGCACTCTATTCGACTGGAAGTAGTAGTCTTGACCTGAGCTGTATTTTGTTTAACTTTAAGGTGAGGGAGGATTGCGCCGTTCGGCAGCCTCACTCTCTCGTCATTGTCTATTTTGATCCAATGGCAGGATGAGGGCGCAATGGGTGACGAGCAGTGTTTCCTGTGTGCCACTGTGTCTCTTTATGTTTGTGTCTCACTGAGCTCTTTATGTTTGTGTCACACTGTGCTCCTTATCGGTTGTGTCTGTGTCTCTTTATGTTTGTGTCTCACTGTGTCTCTTTATGTTGGTGTCTGACTGTGCTCTTCATGCTGTCCACGTCACTGATTGGCGGGTTTGAATTCAGAGTTCGCCTTCAAGTAGATGGGTTGCCATTCAAGCAGGGACGTCATTTGGGTAAGGCTGGGGGCATTTTCTACCCCCCCCCCTTGAATTTGCAGGTTTTATTTAAATTGCCATGTGCTGTGGCGTATCAAGTAATAAACAACTGAACGGACAAGCCGGACAAGTTTTGGTGTGTGTGGCTCCACCCCCCCCCACCCCCCCCCTTTTCTCCAAACCCCGAAAAAAACCTGAAATGTCGTTTCTGCGACTAAGTTGTAAAAAAATTACTCCTACACTGTGGTGGGCGTGAAACTTAAAGGCTTATACTCAATGGGATTTGACATGGTCAACAAGGTTTGAATGCACAACGAATGCAACATGCACAACGAATGCAACATGCACAACGAATGCAACATGCACACTGAATGCAACATGCACACTGAATGCAACATACACACTGAATGCAACATGCACACTGAATGCAACATGCACACTGAATGCAACATGCACACTGAATGCAACATGCACACTGAATACAACATGCACAATGAATGCAACATGCACAATGAATGCAACATGCACAATGAATGCAACATGCACAATGAATGCAACATCCACAATGAATGCAACATCCACAATGAATGCAACATCCACAATGAATGCAACATCCACAATGAATGCAACATCCACAATGAATGCAACATCCACAATGAATGCAACATCCACAATGAATGCAACATGCACACTGAATGCAACATGCACACTGAATGCAACATGCACACTGAATGCAACATGCACACTGAATGCAACATGCACACTGAATGCAACATGCACACTGAATGTAACTTGCACACTGAATGTAACATGCACACTGAATGTAACATGCACACTGAATGTAACATGAACACTGAATGTAACATGAACACTGAATGTAACATACACAATGAATGTAGCATACACAATGAATGTAGCATACACAATGAATGTAGCACACACAATGAATGTAGCGCACACAATGAATGTAGCGCACACAATGAATATAGCATACACAATGAATGTAGCATACACAATGAATGTAACACACAATGAATGTAACATACACAATGAATGTAACATACACAATGAATGTAACATACACAATGAATGTAACATACACAAAGAATGTAACATACACAATGAATGTAACATACACAATGAATGTAACATACGCAATGAATGTAACATACACAATGAATGTAACATACACAATGAATGTAACAAACACAATGAATGTAACATACACAATGAATGTAACAAACACAATGAATGTAAAATACACAATGAATGTAACATACACAATGAATGTAACATACACAATGAATGTAACATACACAATGAATGTAACATACACAAAGAATGTAACACACACAATGAATGTAACATACACAATGAATGTAACATACACAATGAATGTAACATTCACAATGAATGTAACATAAACAATGAATGTAACATACACAATGAATGTAACAACCACAATGAATGTAACAAACAGGCACAGCTAAATACGAGTTTGGAGAATTAGAAGAATTTCTTTTGTAGGCATTGATAATTGAATCCAATACTGACATTACTGTTAAAATCTTTCGTTTTCAATTAGTTATTAACATAATTTAATAATTAGGATTATCACCAACCAAAAAGCTTAGTTTAAACTAGTGAGCTCCTACTCCTAGTACTCCAAATACTAAGTACTCCTACTAATACCATCATAAAAAACTTATAGCTTGTCAAAAATTCCTTGTACTATAACTTACTATAAGTTCTTGAGCTATTCAAACTAGTCACGATTTCATCTTTTCCGAGAAGAAAAGGGAGAGGGCTTGGGGGGGGGGGGCAATAAGTAACCTATGTAAAATCTAATTTATAGAGAACAAACTGATCATATTCAGATTTAGTATTTTTCAAATGATAGGCAGGTTTGGGAGGGTGAAAAGAAGGGGAGGGTGGGATCCACAGCCCTACCCACCCACTAGAAGGGGAGGGTGGGATCCACCGCCCTACCCACCCACTAGAAGGGGAGGGTGGGATCCACCGCCCTACCCACCAACTAGAAGGGGAGGGTGGGATCCACCGCCCTACCCACCGACTAGAAGGGGAGGGTGGGATCCACCGCCCTACCCACCGACTAGAAGGGGAGGGTGGGATCCACCGCCCTACCCACCCAAAAGAAGGGGAGGGTGGGATCCACCGCCCTACCCACCCACTAGAAGGGGAGGGTGGGATCCACCGCCCTACCCTCCCACTAGAAGGGGAGGGTGGGATCCACCACCCTACCCACCCACTAGAAGGGGAGGGTGGGATCCACCGCCCTACCCACCCACTAGAAGGGGAGGGTGGGATCCACCGCCCTACCCACCCACTAGAAGGGGAGGGTGGGATCCACCGCCCTACCCACCCACTAGAAGGGGAGGGTGGGATCCACCGCCCTACCCACCCACTAGAAGGGGAGGGTGGGATCCACCGCCCTACCCACCCATTAGAAGGGGAGGGTGGGATCCACCGCCCTACCCACCCACTAGAAGGGGAGGGTGGGATCCACCGCCCTACCCACCCACTAGAAGGGGAGGGTGGGATCCACCGCCCTACCACCCACTAGAAGGGGAGGGTGGGATCCACCGCCCTACCCACCCACTAGAAGGGGAGGGTGGGATCCACCGCCCTACCCTCCCACTAGAAGGGGAGGGTGGGATCCACTGCCCTACCCACCCACTAGAAGGGGAGGGTGGGATCCACCACCCTACCCACCCACTAGAAGGGGAGGGTGGGATCCACCGCCCTACCCACCCACTAGAAGGGGAGGGTGGGATCCACCGCCCTACCCACCCACTAGAAGGGGAGGGTGGGATCCACCGCCCTACCCACCCACTAGAAGGGGAGGGTGGGATCCACCGCCCTACCCATCCACTAGAAGGGGAGGGTGGGAGCCACCGCCCTACCCACCCACTAGAAGGGGAGGGTGGGATCCACCGCCCTACCCACCCAAAAGAAGGGGAGGGTGGGATCCACCGCCCTACCCATCCACTAAATAAAACGGCTGTGACTTTGAGCAACTGGAATAAAACGCTGAAATAGATTTTACAATCATTTGGTTTTTTGAAATATTGACATAAATTCACAGTAAGAAGAAACGGCAATTACTAAACCGAGAGCAAGCAGATTTAATGGGAAATACTTTTCCTCGGCTGCAGTGTAACAGATGCATGACGTATGACGTAGTGTAACAGATGCATGACGTAGTGTAACAGATGCATGCCACTGGTCGAAACATCAATTTCTGAAAGATTACCATTAAATGGTGTGATTTTTTCCCGTACTGGGCTAAGTAAGTGTGGACCTATCTGTAATGAGCGAGTCACAAAACGGTACAACCCCTTCAACGCCAAGTATTTCCAAATGGAAGGGTGTACAGATAGCCCAATATGTTCATTGTGAGACGCTCCAGTAAACACAGTTCTATTATTTGAAAAGAAATAATGTATAGGCTGCAACTCGTTTTAGTTTCAGTACCATTTAAGACCGTTCTCCCATAAGACAGTATCACGTAGGACGGTACCATGTAGGACGGTACCATGTAGGACAGCACCATGTAGGACAGTACCACATAGGACAATACCACGTTGAACAGTACCCATAGCCGAGTCAGGTTCTATAGTACTGGACTCATGCTTGTTCCAAATGTCCTTTAATTCCCTTAATTAACCCAATCAATTAAGAAGTATATTTATTGACTTTATACGTTCCGAATAAAAAAAATAATTATACAATTGATATTCAATATACACCTGAATAGATACATATATATATATATATATATATATATTATACAAAGAATTTGTACATAAAATTCCACCATTGTGACAACATGCACACAAACTAATGAAAAACTTAATACCAATTAGCAAAGTACACATTGTACTAATTTACGAACATGAATAGTTCAAGACTTGCTTTGATCCACACATGTATTCCATCATGTGACTTAATATGACAGACTAACAGACTCACCGCTGGCTAAGATCCCTCAGAATCTGGTGATGTAATATGACAGACTAACAGACATACTAACAGACAGACTCACCGCAGGCTTAGATCCCTCAGAATCCTGTGATGCGTTGGACATGAAGCTGTACCTCGTGGAGCCCGGTCGTCTGCGACCCCATTTTCCACCTCGTCCGGAGTTCAGGGGAATGTCCACCTTGATGCGAGACAAGACAGTCATCATGTTAGAGGTCGAGTTGTTGGCCCTTTGGGGCATGGCCTGACCACGCCCTCTACCGCGCGCCGCCGCCTTCATAAGCGCCGGCGAGCTCATAATTGATATACTGGGTGTGGATCAGTTCACCGAAACGCCCTCAGCTGTCACCATGAACATAAGGCGCGTGCCTTTTTCTAGTGTGATGGCGTTAACAATTTTTGGTTTAGAGGATTGCGCAGTCCTCCTTAAGTTAATGTTAGGTTGACCTCCATTGTGATCGTTGGGTATAATCACAGAATGACTCGTGACTGAGGGATTTCCCGATCCATTCTAAGAAAACACGCACATTTTAGACTGGTTTTAAAGCTAGACCGGAATCTAGCCAGACTACTAGAGCATGATATTCAGACGTAGTACAAACGTGGAAATCTGTTGATAATGTTTCGTTTAGACATTCTTGCTTATGTTTGATGGATGTAAAATGATGACTTATTTTAATGGTATTAAAATATAATTATAGAAAATTAAAATTTGAACAAAAAAATCCAACAAGTTATAGGCAACTACGCGTTTTGATGTTGGTTCGGTTTTTTTTTATTATCTTTATCCAAAAAGTATTCCACTGTCGAGAGAATTTATCCAAAGATATATATGGACCAAAAAATAGGGTGAATTTGGATGGAGAATACGAACCAACCAGGAATTGTAGTACTTCTTGTACATTCTATATCAGGATCCCACGCTAGTTACAGTTTTAAAAAAGTAAGGTTCTGCTACGCGCTGGGCAGGGGGCTTAGAGAGAATGACATAGGAGTGAATAGGGTACAACACCAAAGCACCAGAGGAAAAGGGCAAATCTAGGCTCAGATGGATGGAGGATATGGAAAAAGATCCTCAGCAGCTTGTAATCCAAGCATGGAAAAGAAAAGCATTAGTTAGGCCTGAGTGGAAGGAAGTAGTGGGTCAGGCGAAAGCCCCACATTAGCTGTAACGCCACAGGGATGGATGGATTTATCCAAAGAGAATGGACATTTGGCTGAAATGAGTAAGCAAAAGTATTTATCATAGGAAGTTCCTGAAGCTCATTTTAAAGTTGATTGCATCGTAATAATTTTTTTTCTTCTAAAAACGTTAGGCCTTTAATTTGTGTGTATGTTTGTAAAGCAGACGTCGACTTTGAAGCGTTCCCTAAGAGTGAATTATTTTGTTAGCGTGTTTGTTTTGGGCACGTGTGATGATGACCAATCAACGCCTAGCTAAAGGTCTGGCCACGTGTTTATTCACAAATTCATTCACCCAAAACTGGCGATAGAAAGTTATAAAATATTTCGAGGAAGCAGAAACAAAAAATGCCAGCAGTCTAAATCAGGGGTTCTTAAACAATTTTAGTTCGTTTGACCCCCTTGCCAGTTATATGAAGTAAAAATAAAAATTTACTACAAAGAAAAAATGCAGCTCACGGTACCACTGACATCTTATCACAAGGCGCCCCCCCTCCCCCCCCCCCACTTACCTCCATGGTTTCCGTGGACCACAGGTTTAAAGACAAATACGGGTCGGACTGCAATAAGGTTGAAGCAATAAGAAATATACACAGGGTCCAGGACAACCTTGAAGAAGAACACAGTTTTTTTTGGTGTTTTTTTGGTATTGTGTCCTTTTTCAGGTTTTCCTATATCCTGTGTATATTTCTGACCACACTTTTAGAACCACTGGTCTAATTGAAATGATCATATCATATCCAGTGATGGATACAGAAATAATATTAATGGCACGCTATCCGTTGGACAAGTCTTACGTCCAAATATTAAATACAAAATAAAGAACGAATCGTTTATACGGAGGCACATGAACATGAAATACCGTAGACAAACAGTGACGCAAGAAACAAACTATCCCAAAAAGAGCGGAGACCTATGAAGACCAAAGGATCAATGGACCCAATAGAATTTTGAGCTAATATCCGGCGGATCCAAAAGCTAATAAAAAAAAAATTTAAAAAGAGCCAACTTCTCATTTTCTATAATATGCAAGGAAATCCACGTCCCTGTGTCTTAGTGAGAGGGCATTGCCTTCGTCAACCTTCTGGTTTCAAGAAATAACCCGCTGATTGGAAGAATCCAAGATCCCTGAACAGAGATGACGTTGTACAAAAAAAAACCGTCGACAGAGAAGATGCTGGTCGTTTATTTAATAACAAAGACTTACGAAACAACAGTCGCAGCATAACGAAAATAGCAATACCTTCCTGTACCAGGCTGCGGAAAAAAAACAACAACTCACTGGCTCACACATGCCTGAAGTGAAAGGACGGCCTCATGATCCACTTCTGTGTGGTGTGCAACCCAAGAACAAAAATGTGGAAAAAACCAGGGACATTAAAAATTCCATTCCTTTCTAAAGAAAAAAATAATCAACCTATTTGCCAGCGTTCAGACGTCACGAATGAAGCTCACCACGTGACATCCTTTATTTACTCAGTACTTTTACTATAAAACATGTGAAGATTGGGATTGAGGGCAATTTTGAAGAGGTAGCAGGACGAACCACAAGCAACAATTATTTATAAGAGGTTCTCCAATAAAACGATAGGCCTCTATTTAGAGCCGTAGATCAAATAGAGGGACAAGTTTTAAATGACTTATTTCACCTTTCTGCCCGTGGTCAATGAGTAATTATTATTTCTAGGCTTTACCTACAACAATGTTCTGTTTTTTTTAACAAGTGGCCCTATTTTCATGTCAGTTAGAAAATACAATGTCACCCCGTGGTAACAAGTGCGGTAACAAGTGCGGTAACAAGTGCGGTAACGCCATAGCACCAATGCCGATCTAACGTGGTCGTAACATAGCTCCCCAAAGTGTAACGTGTTCTATCGCACATATTTTTTTTTTGAACAAGCAATTTTTAAAAAATGTGTAAAAACATAATTTATTCCTTTTAAAACCCAATATAATTTCACAACCAGCCCCTCAACTGATTTTAAATTCAGTTAAAAAACGACATATCATATCTTCCTATTTATTCCTTGGGGGTGACTGGGTGGCCAAATAGTCTAAACTGAGCAAACCTCAAGTTGGTGGGCTGGCGTTCAAGTCCAGCCAAAGGCCGGTCAAGCAAAAACATCACCCCGGGTGGATGAGACTCGATAACCTTGGTCAGAAACTCATCTAAGAGAAGGAAACTCTGAATTCAAACCAGGAGTTGGAGTCCCGTAAGGCGCATGCAATGACAATTCCTGCAACTGAACCCATCCCTGGTCGTCTTGACGTAGAGTCTTGCCACTGGATCTGGTGGGCTCGGACGAGAGAGTGAGGTAGACGCCGCGCAACTCTTCTTCACTTTAAAACAAAGTCACCCGCGCAAGTCATCAGTCACCAGACGACTCGATGGTCCTCGTCGATCCTCGACGGACGAACAATAAAAAAAAAAAATTACTCCTCGGAGTATAGAAAACCCCCGCATTAAAGCGACCTCGAAATTAACGCGATCCGATTTTATGGACCCCAATGAGGGCGCTATAGCAGCTAGTTTCCGGAAGTGGAGAAACACTACGCTTACCGAGTTACGCCGCTTAGCAGTTCTATAAATAGTAGGAGTTTAAATGGGAGTGTTAAAACACGAATCTAAAAGCAACGAATCAATAAATGTTAATCCAGATCAGATTGAAATCGCTCAAAGAAAAAACCTAACGGGGAAAAAAAGAGAAATAACGATCTAACGAGAAAAAAAAGGCCAAAGCATGGAGTGAACCAATGGGAAAACATCAGATAAGAAGATATGACCTAAATGTTTTATTTTTAGATTGATACAACACATAGTATAACCAAAATATTAGAATGTTTGCAAACTTCTATCGAAAGAGCCATTTTGAAAATTAAATGACAAGATAGCATGTTCTTTGATGAACTATCTCTCCAGTAAACGAAACAAAATAATTAAAAAAATTGACATATCATGGCCGGCATGGGTAATTATTGATTTTTACACCCAACCTTAATGCCGATTAAAAAAAAAAAAAAAACCTCAGTGAATTTTTTTTATCAGTGACGTGTACAAATGAACGATAAGGTGAGCTGAGACAGGTAAACGGGTAAAACAAAATAATTAAAAAAATTGACATATCATGGCCGGCATGGGTAATTATTGATTTTTACACCCAACCTTAATGCCGATTAAAAAAAAAAAAAAAAAACCTCAGTGAATTTTTTTTATCAGTGACGTGTACAAATGAACGATAAGGTGAGCTGAGACAGGTAAACGGGTCACGTGATCGAGTTAAATGAATATTAGAACCACGTTCTCGTAGGACAAACGAATCGGTTAAACATTGTAACTTATTGAAAGGTGCCGCTGTTGTAGGTTATTTAAAGGTGCCGCTGTTGTAGGTTATTTAAAGGTGGCGCTGTTGTAGGTTATTTAAAGGTGCCGCTGTTGTAGGTTATTTAAAGGTGCCGCTGTTGTAGGTTATTTAAAGGTGGCGCTGTTGTAGGTTATTTAAAGGTGGCGCTGTTGTAGCTTATTGAAAGGTGGAGTCGTCGGTTATGAACTTGGATATTCCATGAACTGGGAAAATAAATTGTACCAAAAATAGAGACCTCCTCCCCCCTCCCCGCCCCCCCCCAACCCTTTCCCAACACACACACATAAATAACAAATTACACGAGAGAGAGAGAGAGAGGGAAAATTATCACAATTATCACAATTATCCTTTTAAATCCCCCCCCCCCTCTTAAAAAATTGTACCAAAAATAGAGACCTCCCCCCCCCCCCCCGCCCCCCCCCAACCCTTTCCCAACACACACACATAAATAACAAATTACACGAGAGAGAGAGAGAGAGGGAAAATTATCACAATTATCACAATTATCCTTTTAAATCCCCCCCCCCCTCTTCCCTTTTTCCGGTGCCAGAGGTCATACTGTGACATCTCTTAAAAGTTTGCTGCCCATGGTATTAATAATCTCGGGATCCCGCTTGAGAAGCCCTGATCACAACTGTTGAGTCCCAATAGACCGGTCATCTGCATAGTTACGTTCGATTTGGTTGATGTCGTTAAATCCACCAGCTGCTAACATTAGATTGATTGGCACACAACATATTACGTAGGTTGACAAACTGACAACATGTCGACTTCTCCGGTTGACATTTAGCGAGGACTTGGCGAGAAGGACGCATGGCACAAGAGATATAAAAAGTATTGATTTTTTTATTATTACAAAAGGGAAATTACGTTTTAAAAAATAAGGATAGGAAATCAATGGAAAACTATTTTTTTTAAAAGTCGGTTGTCGTTTGGCGACAGGAAAAAAAAGAAGAAAATTTCGCAGGATCGAATCTTTTCATTGGTATCGCACTACCGAATCTTTTCATTGGTATCGCAGTACCAAATCTTTTCATTGGTATCGCACTACCGAATCTTTTCATTGTTATCGCAATACCGAATCTTTTCATTGGTATCGCAGTACCGAATCTTTTCATGGTGGTAAAAACAGACAAAACACCAATGGACCGTTGTGCCCCATCTCTTTAAGTGATTAATGAAAGGGGCGTGTGATCAGTGAAGTAGCTAGAGTTTGTGACACCCGGGGCGGTACCTATGATCGGTGACGTAGCAAGAGTTTGTGACACCTGGGGCGGTCCCTGTGATCAGTGACGTAGCTAGAGTTTGTGACACCCGGGGCGGTACCTGACTTCGTCTCCCCTAAATAACGGAAATCACAACACATCCAGAATACAAGAGAAAAAACGAAACGCTATATAAAGTCTATGAAGTGGACCGAAAGTGCCGCAAACCAAAAGTATCAGTCTCCCAGGGTGGACCGACCCCTTGTTCCTTCGGCCCCTACGTCACATCGTTTCACCGGGCCCTTACGTCACATCGTTTCACCGGGCCCCTAAGTCACATCGTTTGATCGGGCCCCTATGTCACATCGTTTCACCGGGCCCCTAAGTCACATCGTTTCACTTGGCTCCTAAGTCGCATCGTTTCACCGGGCCCCTACGTCACATCGTTTCACCGGGGCCCTACGTCACATCGTTTCACCGGGGCCCTACGTCACATCGTTTCACCGGGGCCCTACGTCACATCGTTTCACCGGGCCCCTACGTCACATCGTTTCACCGGGCCCCTACGTCACATCGTTTCACCGGGCCCCTACGTCACATCGTTTCACCGGGCCCCTACGTCACATCGTTTCACCGGGGCCCTACGTCACATCGTTTCACCGGGACCTTACGTCACATTGTTTCAACGGGGCCCTACGTCAGATCGTTTCACCGGGCCCCTACGTCACATCGTTTCACCGGGGCCCTAGGTCACATCGTTTCACCGGGGCCCTACATCACATCGTTTCACCGGGGCCCTATGTCGCCTTATTTGTTCGGCTCCCTACGTCACCCTGTTTCTTCGGGCCCGGCTGTGATGGTTTAAAGCTAGCAACATACCATTGGGGATAGGAACTTAGTGACACCAGCTAGTTGGGGTGTTCCAAACATACCGTGGCGTAATTAGTGTTTGATGAGCCTTAAACTTAAAGGTGAAAGCGCAATCACATATCGTGAAGTCAAACATCTGTGACAGGTGATCATACAAATAAGATCTTGTTTGAATGCGAATTAGTGTCCCGTTGACGATGTCTTTGTTAGCATTTAATTATGTAATCAATTATGTAATCAATTATGTAATCCACGCCCCTAATTACACAGGGAAAACGGTTCTGTTTAATGGGACGTAGTAAATTCTTAACGCATCGCTTAATCTTGTCGTATGGTTAGTGTTAGGGTTAGTTGTGTCGTATTGTTAGTGTTATGGTTAGTTGTGTCGTATTGTTAGTGTATGGTTAGTTGTGTCATATGGTTAGTGTTATGGTTAGTTGTGTCATATGGTTAGTGTTAGGGTTAGTTGTGTCGTATTGTTATGGTTAGTTGTGTCGTATTGTTAGTGTTATGGTTAGTTGTGTCGTATTGTTAGTGTTAGGGTTAGTTGTGTCGTATTGTTAGTGTTATGGTTAGTTGTGTCGTATTGTTAGTGTTATGGTTAGTTGTGTCGTATTGTTAGTGTTATGGTTAGTTGTGTCGTATTGTTAGTGTTATGGTTAGTTGTTTCGTATTGTTAGTGTTATGGTTAGTTGTGTCGTATTGTTAGTGTTATGGTTAGTTGTGTCGTATTGTTAGTGTTATGGTTAGTTGTGTCGTATTGTTAGTGTTATGGTTAGTTGTGTCGTATTGTTAGTGTTATGGTTAGTTGTGTCATATGGTTAGTGTTAGGGTTAGTTGTGTCGTATTGTTATGGTTAGTTGTGTCGTATTGTTATGGTTAGTTGTGTCGTATTGTTAGTGTTATGGTTAGTTGTGTCGTATTGTTAGTGTTATGGTTAGTTGTGTCGTATTGTTAGTTTTATGGTTAGTTGTGTCGTATTGTTAGTGTTATGGTTAGTTGTGTCGTATTGTTAGTGTTATGGTTAGTTGTGTCATATGGTTAGTGTTAGTTGTCAGGGCCATCTTAACAACATAGGAGGCCCTGGACACTAGGGCCCCATAGTAATTCAACAAACCTGGGCCTTGAGAAGGGCTAGTGGGGGGCACTCACCCCATGCTCAAACAGTCAGGGAGGGGGGCAAATAGATCCTGCTCCCCATCAAGTCACCAAGAGGAATAGAAATGTAAGGTAAAAATAAATATACAATAAAGTTAAACTTCGATGAGATCCATTTCGTGATTTAAAAAAAAAAGGTCATTCGAAATCAATAATAGTTTTAAAACATTATCAGAACAAACTATAAATAATCACAGATGATGATGATGATACATTATCATTATTCAATTCTTGTCAGATAGAATAAATTATTTCACATAAATCAGCATAATTGTTTGCAGAGAATTGTTTTGTTATTAGTTTAAAGGTTTGCACACTCAATGATCTTCAAGTGTGTAAAATCTATAATATGTTTATACTTAATGATGCATGCATGTTATGACAGACCGTAGCGGCTGCTTGCAGTTTGAAGACACGGGATATTCCCGGAAAGAGGATCGCCGGCGTCAGGTAAACTAACACGTTGATCATCTCCCTTTTTTGTTGTTGTTGTTTTCTTTGACATCATGGAAGTCTTGACGTCATCAAACAAAAATATCCCCCCCCCCCCGGGGGCTACAACAATCAAAGAAACACGGTCAATAATTAAACTGACCGCTCCAGCTTGAATAACACCACTATGCAGCGACCTCTGACCTCTGCTAGCGACGGCTCCTTACTTTGAACTGTCAAATGTCCACACCGCTGTCAGTTTATGTCCAATCAAACATCTGTATAAACAACAATCCGAGCTCTATTAATCACATCACAAATCAATAGCGTCACCTTTATGTGTACACCCCCACCACCCCACCACGCCCCAGAGTATCGATTACATGGAAACAAGGCCTACTTGTCGGCGATACCGTGACACGATGCCAACGACAAAGTGGGAGTTAACTCACAAAGAAGCACGCGAGTTCTCGGTCGTGTTACACACTGTTATCAGGAATGGCGTAATCGATTTCAGAGCCTGGAATAATTCAATCCCCCGGCTCATGAACTCGATGTTAACAGTCCCCCCCCCCCTTTCCGAGTAATTGCTCCAGTGATGATAGGTTACGACATGTGACCAACAAATCAGGGAAGCGATTACATAACCTGGCCAAGGACCGAGAACTCTGCTCAGCACTCTACTTCAGTGGCAAAAAATAACACCAAAGAAAAAAAAAACTTCTTTGAAGATAACTCATCTACGGATGTAGTGAGTCAGGATCAATTAACTCATCTCACCCACACACTCGCAACTCTTGAACCATTAATTCACGTTTGGTCTACCATGTTGTCCTACTCAACATGTCTTGCAATCAACAAACTAAGTCTGTCAATACAAAATATGACGTGTTATTTGAGAGTTGGAACTTAATTTTACGCGATTTTGTTTAGGTTATTTTTTTGGTCGTTTCAGTCTTTCTTGTCTGTCTGTCTTTCTGTCTGTCCTTCCAGGAGTCTCTGTCTGTATGTCCGTCCAGCAGTCTGCCTGTCTTATTTTGTCCGGTCTGTCTGTTCTTCCAGCAGTCTGTCTTCTTTTTGTTCTGTCTGTCGGTCCGGCTGTCTCGCTGCACTCTGTATGCCTTGTCTGTCTGTCCATATATTCATCCATCTGTCTGTCCATCCGGCTGGCTGTCTGGGACAAATCTTATAAACAATATTAACCCACGATTTTCTACAATGTTCAAACACTTGTGTATTTACCGTGACACAACAATATTATGCTCCTTTTTGGCCACGGAAAACAACTTCTGTAGTTGGCAGCCCAATTAACTTCAACTAAGTATTCTTACTGCAGTAAAGCGATGTTGTTTGTCATAAGTGGTGAGAAGTCGGTAATTATGAAGGATGTTATGAAAGGATTTTTTGATGGATGTATTCCTGAGATTGTGCACTTCAGTCTACGGGAAATGGCAGGATTCGGAGATCCGGGTGGTCAAAGGAAAGTGTCTGGGATGTGAAAAGGTTTAATGACACAGTGCGTGTTGTTTGCGTTCCATCAGGAATTTTCACCGATACACACCTTACACATCATAATTCAGCAGATTGACGCACCACCGTGTGGACCTGCGCGGGGCGCACGGCGATGCTACTGAACGCCCATTCAGACATATGGCTGCTCGTAGAAAAAGGAAGACCTGGATGCATATTTTCCCCAGACTGCTCTCGGATGTCCGTATGTTGCCGAGTTGTCACCCCGTGAGAGTAAATATTGGCGAAGGCGGCGCCTCTGCTAGTTACTTGATAATGTTCCCATTGTGAGCCACGCCCCACGTCAATCACAAGTCAAAATAATGTATCGACACGTGAATGTTTTAAAAACATTGCTGTCATTGACGGGACAGAGATGTGAATTGTTGATCAACGCGACAACACGATCCAGCTACCTCGGCGATTGCATAGTTACAACCTCACTTACTTTATGGTAAAAGTAAATGGGGAACATAAAGGGGTGCCAAGGGGGAGACAACCCCGGGGGGCACGTTGAGGTTAAAAAAAAAGACATTCCATAAATTATGCTGGCGTAACTGTGAGGGGTGCAAACTTTTATGAGATCCGGGTGACATTAGGTCAAGGTGACATTCATTCAAGATGAACTTCAGTCAAGAGGAAATTTACTCAACGTGACATTCAGTCCAGGTGGCATCCTTTCAATATGACATTCACTCAAAGTGATATTCACTCTATCTGACATTCAGCCACGGTGACATTCACTAAAGGTGCCATTTAGTCAAGGTGGCATTCACTCAAGGTGACATTCACACAATGTGACATTCACACAATGTGACATTCACACAATGTGACATTCACACAATGGGACATTCACACAATGTGACATTCAGTCAAGGTGACATCCAGTCAAGGTGACACTCAATCAATGTGATATTCTCTAAATGTGACATTCACTCAAGATGACATTCAGTCAAGATGACGTTCACTCAAGATGACTTTCAGCAAAGGTAAACCTCAGGTAACATTGCCTTAAAATAATTTTAACACTGAGGATACTCAACATAAATATTTGGTAAATAATCATCAATTGTTCACCAATTACCCTCTGGTCAGTTTGTTCATCAGTCACCGTCTAGTCAGTTTGTTCATCAGTCACCGTCTAGTCAGTTTGTTCATCAGTTACCGTCTGGTCAGTTTGTTCACCAGTTACCGTCTGGTCAGTTTGTTCATCAATTACCGTCTAGTCAGTTTGTTCAAACATTACCGTCTAGTCAGTTTGTTCAAACATTACCGTCTAGTCAGTTTGTTAATCAATTACCGTCTAGTCAGTTTGTTCATCAATTACCGTCTAGTCAGTTTGTTCATCAATTACCGTCTAGTCAGTTTGTTCATCAATTACCGTCTAGTTTTATTTGTTCATAAATTACCGTCTAGTCTGTTTGTTCATCAATTACCGTCTAGTCTGTTTGTTCATCAATTACCGTCTAGTTTGTTTGTTCATAAATTACCGTCTAGTCTGTTTGTTCATCAATTACCGTCTAGTCTGTTTGTTCATCAATTACCGTCTGGTCCACTCCAACGTACATTCTTCATTCTGCAAAGTACACTTCACAGACCACAATGTACACCCTCAGACCACAATGTACACCCTCAGACCACAATGTACATCCCTCAGACCACAATGTACACCCCTCAGACCACAATGTACACCCCTCAGACCACAATATGCATCCACTTAGACCACAATGCCCACCACTCAGTCCGCAATGTATGCCACTGAGACCTCAATGGGAACCCCATCAGACAACAATGTACGCCCCCTTAGACCCCAATGTGCACCTCTCAGACCACAATGTGAACCCCGTCAGACCACAATGTACACCCCATCCCCTCTCAGACAACAACGTACATTATGATTTGGAACATATATTTCAATATCCAGTGTTTACGATCAGCTATCCAAAAAAAACACAGCCTCAATATTTCATAGCGCTGTGAGCAAAGTAAACACAGCCACAAGCTTTTATGAAATTGTGAGCCAAGTAAACACAGTCACAAGGTTTTATGATATTGTGAGCCAAGTAAACACAGTCACAAGCTTTTATGATATTGTGAGCCAAGTAAACACAGTCACAAGCTTTTATGATATTGTGAGCCAAGTAAACACAGTCACAAGCTTTTATGATATTGTGAGCCAAGTAAACACAGTCACAAGCTTTTATGATATTGTGAGCCAAGTAAACACAGTCACAAGCTTTTATGATATTGTGAGCCAAGTAAACACAGTCACAAGCTTTTATGATATTGTGAGCAAAGTAAACACAGTCGCAAACTTTCATGATATTGTGAGCCAAGTAAACACAGTCACAAGCTTTTATGATATTGTGAGCCAAGTAAACACAGTCACAAGGTTTTATGATATTGTGAGCCAAGTAAACACAGTCACAAGCTTTTATGATATTGTGAGCCAAGTAAACACAGTCGCAAACTTTCATGGTATTGTGAGCCAAGTAAACACAGTCACAAGATTTTATGATATTGTGAGCCAAGTAAACACAGTCACAAGGTTTTATGATATTGTGAGCCAAGTAAACACAGTCACAAGGTTTTATGATATTGTGAGCCAAGTAAACACAGTCACAAGGTTTTATGATATTGTGAGCCAAGTAAACACAGTCACAAGGTTTTATGATATTGTGAGCCAAGTAAACACAGTCACAAGGTTTTATGATATTGTGAGCCAAGTAAACACAGTCACAAGCTTTTATGATATTGTGAGCCAAGTAAACACAGTCACAAGCTTTTATGATATTGTGAGCCAAGTAAACACAGTCACAAGCATTTATGATATTGTGAGCCAACTAAACACAGTCACAAGGTTTTATGATATTGTGAGCCAAGAAAACACAGTCACAAGCTTTTATGATATTGTGAGCCAAGTAAACACAGTCGCAAACTTTCATGGTATTGTGAGCCAAGTAAACACAGTCACAACCTTTCATGACATTGTGAGCCAAGTAAACACAGGCAAAACCTGTCGTGTAATTGTGCGCCAAATAACAGGATCATGTCAACAGAGGTGTATCCGAGAATTCATGTCATGGGGAGAGGGGCAGTTGGGCAGGGGTGGAAATATTTGCTAAGTTAAGAGAGCCACTCCCCTCGCACGCCCCTCACCCCCACCCTTAGTCCTCTGAGTCCACCACCGAATGTGAGGAACGTACTGGTGTCATGTGCAGTCACGTGACAGGTGTGTTGTGCAGGTTTTACATGCAGGCTGAAACGTAAACATGTTCGGGCTAGAACCGGTTAGAGGAGAACTGGTCAGGTGAGAACCGGTCAGTGAGAACCGGTCAGGTGAGAACTGGTCAGGTGAGCACTGATCAGGTGAGAACTGATCAGGTGAGAACTGGTCAGGTGAGAACTGGTCAGGTGAGCACTGATCAGGTGAGCACTGGTCAGGTGAGAACTGATCAGGTGAGAACTGGTCAGGTGAGAACTGGTCAGGTGAGCACTGATCAGGTGAGCACTGGTCAGGTGAGAACTGGTCAGGTGAGAACTGATCAGGTGAGAACTGGTCAGGTGAGCACTGGTCAGGTGAGAACTGGTCAGATGAGACCTTGTCAAATTAGAACGAACAATTTAGTGTAGTGCTTAGCAGTGGCTCTCAACCTGTGTGTCAAGACCCCCCTCGAGGGTCGCCAGACAAAATACCAGGAACCGCTGGATAAGTTCAAACATTTGCGTTAATTTTTTTTGCTTTTTGGATACATAATCTGAAATTTTTATCTAACTGCTACCACTGACTTTCATTTAAAATTTCAATTATGCTCTGTAGTCCCGCTAATTTATAATTGTTTGCACTGTGATTGTACTACAGCTACACATCTATAAAAATAATTAATTTGATAGAGGCCAGCAACTAATCGATTCACGTTTTTTGACAATGTCTTTTAATTTGTATGACATTAATGGGATTTTTTTTTTTTTTTTTTTTTTTTTTTTTTTTTTTTTTTTTTTTTGCCCCCCCCCCCCCCCCCGAAACGTTTAAGTTTTCATCTTTCTCTTACATACGGTAAGTTTTGTTTGTTGATTGTACTGTAAAACATTTAAAATTAAACATTTCATTCTTTTGAACATTAAAAAAAAAGGTTAGAAAATTCACAACGAATTGTATACAGTGTTTTTTTTGTTGTTGTATAAAATGATTAAGTTTCATTATGAAAAAAAAATATCAAGATAAATGCAAGATAAGCCTATAAATGAAAAAAAAATATTGAGAAGTCAGATAAGTCAATATAATATACCCTCCGCCCCCTTGACTTCTCAACACCCTTTTATCATTTCAAGAAATAATCCTAGGTGTGGGTCGCCTCAACTGGGCAAATGATTTTAAGGAGTCACGGTAATAAAAAGCCTGAGAACCACTTGCCTAGAGACATCAGCTGTACAAGTGACAAGACCAGCCATATAACATTTTAACACAATTTGGCAGCAGGATGGATGCCCGCCCCATAGGGTGCTCAAAAACTATTAGGCTCAGTGTGGAACAAACATTGTTTAAGAACCTTGGTGTTATTCCTGGCCCTGCATATGACGTGAAACAGAAAAATTAATTTCTCTCTTAAGATATTTTAAACAATTCTACCGTGGACCCGCCCCTGCACGCACGCCAGAGATCAGCCCGCAAAGGTCAGCCATCAAAGGTCAGCCCTGCAAAGGTCAGCCCGCGAAGGTCAGCCCGCGAAGGTCAGCTCGTGAAGGTCAGCCCGTGAAGGTCATCGCGCAAAGGTCAGCCCGTGAAGGTCAGCCAGGACAAAGAAAACAAACGTTTACCTTCAACTTCAAACAATTTGTTCAATCGCAATTCTCATTGATTTTCGTCGCCCGCAGATCGATGGCACAATTATGGGATCGCTTGTTCTGAGCTTAGCTGGGAGAGTGAAACAAGGGGATTTGACGATTTTAGCTTCACTAGATTTAAAAAGTGTATCGAGGCTGTCAGGCAAATATACTTCTGAGGGACTTGAGTCTAGGATTCTGACTTCATTCAGTCATACACCAAATATTTTTGACCCAAGTCTAGGACTCTGACTTCATTCAGTTATGCACAGATTGTGGACCCAAGTCTAGGACTCTGACTTCATTCAGTCATGCACAGATTGTTGACCCAAGTCTAGGACTCTGACTTCATTCAGTCATGCACAGATTGTGGACCCAAGTCTAGTACTCTGACTTCATTCAGTCATGCACAGATTGTGGACCCAAGTCTAGGACTCTGACTTCATTCCGTCATACATAGATTGTTGACCCGAGTCTAGGACTCTGACTTCAATCATACACAGAATGTTGACCCCAGTCTAGGACTCTGACTTCATTCATTCATACACAGATTGTTGATCAGAGTATAGGACTGATACTTCATTTAATCATACACATATTGTTGACCCTAGTATAGGTCTCTGACTTCATTCAGTCTTACAAAGATTGTCGACCCGAGTCTAGGACTCTTGACTTTATTCAGTCATAAACAGATTGTTGTTCGTAGTCTAGGACTCTGACTTCATTCATTCAAACCACAGATTTTTTACCAGGGGGGTATTAAAAAAATTTGTCTTTAGATACATTTTGAAACCCCTCACCCAGCCGAAAGAGTAGAGTTTGAATTATTCGATACTATACAAATGTAAAGAATATACTTTGTTTCCGAATCCAGCACCGGTAAAACTCGCCAGACGCCACGACGCCACACAAATGTCCGGCGATTACTGGAGGGTTAAAATCTTTGAAGGGGTTTCTCCCGTTGTCGTGTGTTTGCACGACGCTGCACCGTGTCATCTTTGGCACGCTTTGCCGGCAACATTACAACCTCCGTTTTCACAAGGCAGATAGCCTCGTCATAGGCAGAGTATTAGTCAAAGGCGGAACAGACACGGTCGGGGGTGGGGGTGGGGATCTTGAAGACATGGGTTAAGATTTAAACCCGCGACATAAATGTTGTTGGAATAATTCGTCAATTCGTGTCTATTTGTAGTAAGAGTTGCGTTTAGTTCAGTGGCGTAGGAAAAAAAAAGGGGGGTGGGTGGGTTGGCGAGGAGGGACTGTCCACCCCGGAGAACACAATAATCAGGAAACCCAACTATTTGGCAGCAGGATGCCCGTCCCCCTAAGATTCTCAAAAACTATTAGGCTCGGTGTGGAACAAACATTATTTAAGAACCTTGTTATAACATCTGGGCGACCGCTTCATAAGAAAACTCTCGGACAACTAACTCGCCAAGAAATAAAGCCAGTCGGTAACATCCTGTCGGAAAAATGGTTGTGTTTATTTACTCTGCCATGTTTCGAGAGCAGCGGGTGGCCGGAAAAATGGTTGCGTTTATTTACTCTGCTGTGTTTCGAGAGCAGCGGGTGGCCGGAAACATGGTTGTGTTTATTTACTCTGCTGTGTTTCGAGAGCAGCGGGTGGCCGGAAACATGGTTGTGTTTATTTACTCTGCTGTGTTTCGAGAGCAGCGGGTGGCCGGAAACATGGTTGTGTTTATTTACAATTTTGCCTTTTTGTCACTAGCATCGCCCCTCAATATTTGAGCTCGAAGGTCTTTGACATGCTGTCTGTGATGTCACGTTTGTCAGCTACGTTTACCTTTTAGGCTGATCTACTTGAGGAAGTCAATGTTACACAGGATTATCTGCAGGCTAAAGGCTTGACAAAGTGGTGACGAAACCTAGAGGCCTTAAGATTGTTTCTGCACCAGAAGCACTGTCACTTAGTGGAACGTGCTATTGAAAAGGCGCATTTAAAATCAGACCCTATGGAATTTCGGTAAAGAGAAGATTAATGTTTAAGAAGAGAATGGCAGGGGAACAATTAATAGATGCTGGACTCTCTCTCTGCGAGAAGAAACAGTAAGGAGATGCTGGAGTGATCGTTTTTATTCTGAACTCCAGATCAGATCATCTGCGATAAAGGAAGTAGGAGATATGTTTGGGGCTGTTCAACCCAAGAGTCTACTATCAGCAATTGAAGAAAAGTTATTGGTGTCCTTCTATGATGAGTTATCAGAAGATGATCTTTCAAAAGAAATACCAAGGCCTAGAATACACCCAAAGGCAGCTGATATTTACTGATATTGAATTTCACAAAGCCATGGACTGGTCAATATTTGATGTTTTGAAATTCACAGCTGAAAGGGACTTCCTAGAATCTCTTCAAATACTCTCGCCAAATCTTCAATTGTTTCTTACGACCTGTGAGTCTGTGGCTTCATGTGAGCGGAGTTTTTCAAGAGTAAGGCTTATCAAGAACTCTTTACGATCCACCATGAGACAGCCAAGGCTTTCTGATCTGGCTCTGATATCAAATGAAAGTGATACGCTAAAGGATATTGATATTGATCATGTGATTGACAGGTTTGCAGCTTTGAAGCCCAGGAAAGAAAACTTTTAAATATAGCAAATTTATTGTAAAAGAAAAATAACTATAACTTAACGTTGTTACAGTTCCCAATACATTTACATCTTGGTCTTCAATTAGTTCGTTTTTCTATCTTGTCATTGTTTTAATGTAAACTTATTTTAACAAGAAGGAGTCCATGGTGAAAGTCAAGAGGAGGGGGATATAACACGACGAGTTTACCGTACCGGGTGTAATACCAAGAGTTTACCGTACCGGGTGTAATACCACGAGTTTACCGTACCGGGTGTAACATCACGAGTTTACCGTACCGGGTGTAATACCACGAGTTTACCGTACCGGGTGTAACATCACGAGTTTACCGTACCGGGTGTAATACCACGAGTTTACCGTACCGGGTGTAACAGCACGAGTTTACCGTACCGGGTGTAACAGCACGAGTTTACCGTACCGGGTGTAACAGCACGAGTTTACCGTACCGGGTGTAACATCACGAGTTTACCGTACCGGGTGTAACAGCACGAGTTTACCGTACCGGGTGTAACATCACGAGTTTACCGTACCGGGTGTAACATCACGAGTTTACCGTACCGGGTGTAATACCACGAGTTTACCGTACCGGGTGTAACATCACGAGTTTACCGTACCGGGTGTAACAGCACGAGTTTACCGTACCGGGTGTAACATCACGAGTTTACCGTACCGGGTGTAACAGCACGAGTTTACCGTACCGGGTGTAACACCACGAGTTTACCGTACCAGGTGTAATACCACGAGTTTACCGTATCAGGTGTAATACCACGAGTTTACCGTACCGGGTGTAACACCACGAGTTTACCGTACCGGGTGTAATACCACGAGTTAACCTTACCGGGTGTAATACCACGAGTTTACCGTACCAGGTGTAAAGCACGAGTTTACCGTACCGGGTGTAATACCACGAGGTTACCGTACCGGGTGTAACATCACGAGTTTACCTTACCGGGTGTAATACCACGAGTTTACTGTACCGGGTGTAACATCAGGAGTTACCGTACCGTAGTAACATCACGAGATTACCGTACCGGGTGACACCAACCTTAGCTACGCCACTGATGGGACCTACACCCCACTGGAAAAGAAGGGGGTGAGGGGGGCAATGCTAAGATTATAGATAGACATTTAGTCTCCGAGATCCAGATGAGCTTACGTTTAAAATAGGGCAAGCAATGTCATGTCATGTCATGTTATGTCATGTTGGCCACAACAATTTTCTTTAAAATAGTTACTGCTGTTATTTTTACAGGTATTTATTGCAATACAAACACAGTAGTCGTATTGTAGGTTTGATATTTCAGTATTGAATCTCGTGGACTTAACTGGCGACAAAATTAAAATTTCAATCTTCATGACGGTAGCTTGAGCCCCACCAACAAAACTGAGGGGGGTGGGGATTCCTGGGAGGGGGAAGGGGGGGGGAGAAGAGTTAGGAAAATTTACATATTGGATGTTGGAGTGTATGTTATCATGAAGTTATTTATCATATGAGATCATTTTTATTCTGGCGAACGATGACATGCAATCAGTGGCGTAGCTAGGGTTGGTGTCGTCGTGGGTCGGCTTAGTGTTTGTCCACCCACTAGGCCCCTGCCCAACCCTCAGTGGCGTAGCTAGGGTTGGTGTCGTCGTGGGTCGGCTTAGTGTTTGGCCACCCACTAGCCCCCTGCCCAACCCTCAGTGGCGTAGCTAGGGTTGGTGTCGTCGTGGGCCGGCTTAGTGTTTGGCCACCCACTAGCCCCCTGCCCAACCCTCAGTGGCGTAGCTAGGGTTGGTGTCGTCGTGGGTCGGCTTAGTGTTTGGCCAACCCCCTCCCCCCCGCCCAACCCTCAGTGGCGTAGCTAGGGTTGGTGTCGTCGTGGGTCGGCTTAGTGTTTNCCCCCCCCGCAACCTCTTTCCATCACAATTGCATGCAATCATAGAAATGAATCAAAATAATTTATACGAATAGTACATTTTAAAAAATAATTTCAATAGCTGAAAACTTACAAATACACAAAAATCTAGGAACCCCCTGCCATATACGCCCTGCCCTAAACGCCCTGCCCTACACCACCCCTCCCCCCTAAAAACCCTGATTTTACCCCCCATTAAACGTTAAACTAAACCAATAAAAGAGTCATGCGGTAGGAAGATGTGATAAATGGAAGCAGATTAAAATCGAAGGCAGCGGTTGCCAATAGCAACGGCATGTTGTCACGTTTAATGCCCGAAATAATTGACGTTCATCAACATTGTTGGGGGGGGGGTCTGGGTGGGGGGCTTGGTGGGGGGTGGGTCGGTCCATGTAAATAATCAATAAAGAAGCACAGAACAACAATGGCGGTCAATAGTTATGTAATGCTGATTTTTAATAAAATTAATTATATTTTTTAACATCATTTTCTTTGTTTTTTTTCCCTTAAGCTAAATATTTGTAGTTTATCTTTGTTCTCTAAATCAATAATTAATCGTGGCAATATGAACTACATTGTAAATAAATTTTAACGCAAGCTTTTAATAAGAAGATAACAGATAAAATGTTCAGAATTGACCTACTATAAAGAAAATAAATTGCAAAAATCGTTCATCTAGTGTAACGGGGAATTGTGGGACGGTAGCGGAAGTTGTAGTAGGAAATCTACCATCTTGTTTTCCCTTCCGATTAAAGAGCTGGAAGAAACAATTCAGGAATGGGTCAATCTGGGATCAACCATAAATTTGATAAAGATCAACTAAGACCAAGCTCCGTATTAAATTTGATCTTTTTACCGTACATCCATTACGTGATATAATCAGTTAATTGTGAGTATGTAAAATTAAAATAAAATGATTGATTAAAACTATTTCGACATGAGTGCTAGGTAGCCTTGACTTCAGCTGTATTTTGTTTAAAGTGAGGGATAGGCGTTCAATTCGTTAGCCTCACTCTCAGTGTTTTTTTCAGAAATTTTCCCCCCGGGGCACTTCAGATTTTTTTTTTTTTTTGGGGGGGGGGGGGGGGCAATTAAGATTTTTTGGGGGGGGGGGGTGCCCCCCCCCCCCCCACACCCCCCGGCTGGAAATAGACCAGGATCCAATAGGTACTAACAGTGTGTGTCTCACTGTGATTTTTATGCGTTAAAGGTCGCAGAAGTTCTCCGAATTCTCATCAAGTCAATGTCATACCGCTTACGGGAAACTTAACATAATTAGGATCACTCACGACTGGACGGTTAAATATATTCGGGCGTCCACAGCATTGACATTAATACATTTAAAATTAAATTATTTTATATGTATAAATAATATTATAAACATGCACATTAAGTATTTGATAGTTGAGTTCGATTGTTAAATTCATGGTCAGTTTTAATTTACTTATGAGTTACAAAGTTATCATTCTATCATGTTTCATCGACATAAAAAAATAACATTAAAAGATTTGGGTGATGATCGCAATTAAAGGTTGTAAGGAAATACCATTTGAGTAATGAACTGGGCACAAAGACAAGGAGAGAATCTAACACAGACAAGGAGAGAATCTAACACAGACAAGGAGAGAATCTAACACAGACAAGGAGATAATCTAACACAGACAAGGAGAGAACTAACACAGACAAGGAGAGAACTAACACAGACAAGGAGAGACCTAACACAGACAAGGAGAGACCTAACACAGACAAGGAGAGAATCTAACACAGACAAGGAGAGAATCTAACACAGACAAGGAGAGAATCTAACACAGACAAGGAGATAATCTAACACAGACAAGGAGAGAACTAACACAGACAAGGAGAGAACTAACACAGACAAGGAGAGACCTAACACAGACAAGGAGAGACCTAACACAGACAAGGAGAGACCTAACACAGACAAGGAGAGAACTAACACAGACAAGGAGAGACCTAACACAGACAAGGAGAGACCTAACACAGACAAGGAGAGAACTAACACAGACAAGGAGAGACCTAACACATACAAGGAGAGACCTAACACACTCCGGGATGTAAGTTGTTACTTGTAACCAGATGGATGCATATGTAAGCCAGGCAACCAGACAACGAGTGACCCCCCCTCCAAGGTCAAAGAGCCGTCTGGCACAACCAACAAAGACGAGTCGCTAACAAAAACCCAGTTTTGTCTTCTTTCCTCTGGTCGATTGTTGACCACTCCAAAGCGCTGGAAAGATCAAATACATTTCAATTGGTTTCAATGTGAGCAATTAGTTCGGTTAGCAAATGTTTCGGTTTAAGAAAGGCATAGAAGAAACTGTTCAACATATGAGAGAGGCAGCTTCTCAGGAAAATACACGTATCCTGGACAGATAATAATGGAGGGAGAATGGGTACAAACACCAAGACTTGTAGCAATTGTTTGAAGACCGACACATGGTTGCAACGATTAAAAAATTGCAGACTACGCTGGACGAGACATCTTGAGAGTATGCCGGATAGCAGCGCGGCAAAAGTAATCAGAAACCTAGCGACAGACGGATCAGCAGTCGATTAAGACTGAGATGGACTAAAGACGTAGAAAAGGACTTACATCGGCTGGGGGTCCGCGCGTGGAGGCGGAAAGCCATGGACCCATTCGAATGGAAGAACCAGAAAAAGTGTGGGGGGAGGGGGGGCAGGCTGTAGTGCCACACATGATGTTGCGGAGACTCCCGTGCGCCTTCTTCAGAGGTCTTCTAAAAATATTTAGAAAAATTAGATTCTGCCCCGGGCCCCGCCTTTGCTTGCCCCACCCCCGGTCCTAGCCTCTGCTTGCCCCATCCCCGGTCCTAGCCTCTGCTTGCCCCATCCCCGGTCCTAGCCTCTGCTTGCCACATCCCCGGTCCTAGCCTCTGCTTGCCGAATCCCCGGTCCTAGCCTCTGCTTGCCCCATCCCCGGTCCTAACCTCTGCTTGCCCCATCCCCGGTCCTAGCCTCTGCTTGCCCCATCCCCGGTCCTAGCCTCTGCACACCAACATACCACTGGAAACAATCAACTCTGGACGATCTTAAGCACAAATCATTGTGGCATGGCATTGACCTGTCTGTCAGTGGTGGTGTGGCTGTCACGGTTGAATGACTCCCACCTCCTGTACATGACATTTCAGCTGCTCGACGGGATTCTGTCGTAATTGGTCCATGACGAGATTTATTTCACCATAACCCTTAATTATTTATAACCCCTTTATTATAACACCAAGTTTATAGCCCCCTCATTTATAACCATCTAAATTGTAACCCATCATTTATAACCACTGAATTATTTCCCATGTTCTAATTCAAATATTTGGACATATTTTTGGCATGCATGACGTCAACGGCTAGTTTAAAAAAGTGGAACTACATCCCGTGTGTCATCCAGTTTTAGAGGCGACCGTATTTTAGACAGACAAACTGACCCGCCATCCAGATGCATTACACAATTGCTACTGTAAGACAGTCCTGCACAACCTAAACTGTAAGTTGTGCTGGCCTGCGGTGGCAGCACACGTGCACAGAAGCAATTGGATTGGTTTGGAATTATTTACATTTGATGGAAACGCCGCTTGAAAAGAAAATTAATTTGGAACTAAGATTTATTTTAGTATATTGTTTTAGCCGGTGATCTACAGAAAAACCCGCACGACCAGAGACCAGGGACCACAAGCTCAGGACCACAGACGAGGGACAACAGATCAGGTGCCACAGACTAGAGACCAAAGACCATGGAACACGTGCCCGGGACCGCAGACGAGGGACCACAGATCAGGTACCAGAGACCAAAGACAAGAGATAACAGACCAAAGACCAGGGACAATAGACCAGGGACCACAGACCAGGGACCACAGACCAGGGATCACATACCAGTTCATAAAAGACCAGAGACCACATACCAGGGACCACATACCAGGGACCACATACCAGGGACCACAGACCAGGGACCACAGACCAGGAACCACAGACCAGGGACCACAGACCAGGGACCACGACAAGGGACCACAGACCAGGGACCACAGACCAGGGACCACAGACCAGGGACCTCAGACCAGGGACCACAGACCAGGGACCACAGAACTGGGACCACATGCTTGAGACCGGAGACTGAAACATTCACTAATTATCAGACCACGGGAAGACGCTTCGGACCGGGATATACGCGGTAAAGTCCAAACGGTTGAATCGGTTTAAGATAGAATAGTGTTATCTGGAACATAGTGTTATCTGGAACATAGTGTTATCTGGAACATAGTGTTATCTGGAACATAGTGTTATCTGGAACATAGTATTTTGTTAAAAATCGATAAACTTGTATTAGCCTAACTAACAGGGAAATCTGTTTTACTTGTCGTAGGCCATAATACATACAATGTTCTCAGTGGCCATAATACATACAATGTTCTCAGTGGCCATATTACATACAATGTTCTCAGTGGCCATATTACATACAATGTTCTCTGTGGCCATATTACTTACAATGTTCTCAGTGGCCATATTACATACAATTTTCTCTGTGGCCATATTACATACAATGTTCTCTGTGGCCATATTACATACAATGTTCTCAGTGGCCATATTACATACAATGTTCTCTGTGGCCATATTACATACAATGTTCTCAGTGGCCATATTACATACAATGTTCTCTGTGGCCATATTACTTACAATGTTCTCAGTGGCCATATTACATACAATTTTCTCAGTGGCCATATTACATACAATGTTCTCAGTGGCCATATTACATACAATGTTCTCAGTGGCCATATTACATACAATGTTCTCAGTGGCCATATTACATACAATGTTCTCTGTGGCCATATTACTTACAATGTTCTCAGTGGCCATATTACATAAAATTTTCTCAGTGGCCATATTACATACAATGTTCTCTGTGGCCATATTACATACAATGTTCTCAGTGGCCATTTTACATACAATGTTCTCTGTGGCCATCTTACATACAATTTTCTCTGTGGCCATATTACATACAATGTTCTCTGTGGCCATATTACATACAATGTTCTCTGTGGCCATATTACATACAATGTTCTCTGTGTGGGGTGAGGTTCAAGACAACATGAAATGTTAGAGAAAGAATGTTGAATTTATGTTGTAGAAAGAAATTTGAATTTATTTACGGCAGATATACCAATGTTTGGGTCCACCGCAGCCCCCACACCAATTTGTTTAAAAAGGAAATCCCCTTCCCCCCCCCCCCCCCCCCCCCCCCCCACCGACACTTTTCTTTCTGTAAAAATAAAATGATATGACGTCATTGTGAAACGTTTCTATTGGAAAGACTTCTGGTCACCGTGGCGCATTAGGAGTAACATCGTTTATTGTCAGGGTTTTCAGCGGGCCCACCCCACCACACCACACAAATATGTGTACCGTCATATTCTAAATTATCTATTTTAAGTCATTGAAAAGGTTTCTCTAAAAATGAAATAGCAGAATTAAAACTTGTATAAAAAATATTTCAAAAATAGTTTGTAAAGACAATGGGAAATGTGTGCATAGATAATGTGAAATGTGCGCATATATAATGTGAAATGTGTGCATAGGCAATGTGAAATGTGTGCATAGGCAATGTGAAATATGTGTATAGGCAATTTGAAATGTGCGTATAGATAATGTGAATTGTGCGTATAGGTAATGTGAAATGTGCGTATAGATAATGTGAAATATGTGTATAGACAATGTGAAATGTGTGTATAGACAATGTGAAATGTGTGTATAGATAACGTGAAATGCATGTATAGATAATGTGAAATGTGTGCATAGACAATGTGAAATGTGTGCATAGACAATGTGAAATGTGCGTACAGACAATCTGAAATGTGTGTATAGACAATGGAAAATGTGCGTATAGAAATGGTAGATTTGTGCATAGACAATGTGAAATGTGTTAATAGACAATGTGAAATGTGTTGTTATAGAGAGCTTGTTTACATAATATTTCTCGTGCGTGCCCTCTGATTGATCCCGCATGAGACGCTGTGTTCACAAAGGGGTGTGGCTTAGGCCTTTGATATATTCTTGTTTACACCGCTAATCTACTAAAAATAATTAATCTGTTCCAAGTAGTGTTTTGTAGAATGATTCGGATGGTTCTAGAAACGTCATGAAGCTTGTCGAAGGCAGGGCTTAGGCGTCGGTAGACCCACCTATATAAGGGATTGACAGGCACGGACAAGGGAGGGAGATTTTCTAATAATTTTTCTTAACATTACGAGGCGTGTTTTATTCTTTGTGTATTTGTGTGCTCCTACTTATGTGTTTATTTCGCATTATTTATTGGCATCATTATTTCTAATTGTATTAACTGTGTACCGGTACAAGATCTACCATACTGTAAGTTGAAGATTGTAATTTTCTTTTCTTTTCTTTTGTAATTACCTTAAGACATAATAAATCTTAATTAATTGTAACTAGAAACTGTTTGGGTCGTATCTTTAATATTGTTGATTCTATGGTATCGTCCTTTGTTAGGCACTGCTTACAACGAGCCAATTAAAATTAAAATATGAGATTAATTTCTCCCAATACAAGTCAGTGCGTAACAAATTGGGGGCATCGTCCGGGATCACCGAATCCATATTTTTTTCTCATTAGTCCCAAATTTTAACAAATTGTGGGCTTTTCCAAGGATAATTTTAATCCATAATTTTTATAGAAATGGTAGATTTGTGCATAGACAGTGTGAAATGTGTTAATAGACAATGTGAAATGTGTGCATACACAATGTGAAATGTGTGCATAGACAATGTGAAATGTGAGTATAGATAATGTGAAATATGCATATAGACAATGTGAAATGTGCGTACAGACAATGTGAAATGTGCGTACAGACAATGTGAAATGTGTGAATTTACAATGGGAAATGTGCGTACAGACAATGTGAAATTTGTGTATATACAAAGTGAAATGTGTGTATATACAATGGGAACTGCGTGCATAGACAATGTGACATGTGTGCATAGATAACGTGAAATATGTGCCTAGACAATGTGAATGTGTGTATAGACGATGTGAAATGTGTGTATAGACAATGTGAAATGTGTGTATAGAGAATGTGATTGAATTCTGCATTGGACGTGGATCTAATGATATCTGGAAATGGATTCAATTAAATTGAATAAATGAGTCGTACATTTCTACTATTAGAAATAACCCAGCAAACCATCGCGAAAACATGGAGACCAAACAACGGCTAAAACATAGAGACCAAAACAACGGCTAAAACATAGAGACCAAACAACGGCTAAAACATAGGGACCAAACAACGGCTAAAACATAGGGACCAGACAACGGCTAAAACATAGGGATCAAACAACGGCTAAAACATAGAGACCAAACAACGGCTAAAACATAGGGACCAAATAACGGCTAAATTATAGAGACCAAACAACGACTAAAACATAGAGACCAAACAACGGCTAAAACATAGAGACCAAACAATGGCTAAAACATAGAGACCAAACAACGGCTAAAACATAGGGACCAAACAATGGCTAAAACATAGGGATCAAACAACGGCTAGAACATAGAGACCAAACAATGGCTAAAACATAGGGACCAAACAACGGCTAGAACATAGAGACCAAACAATGGCTAAAACATAGGGACCAAACAACGAAAACCTAGAGTTATTTGAGAAGACATGCATTCAAATAGCGCACTCTCAGTGCGATCTCCATTGATTGGCTTTCTGTAAAAAATAAAATATTCACGAAAATCAGTTTTTTTAAAAATCCCATTTAGGAATAGGAATTTTATCAAACGGGTCCTCAAAAACACACATCTGCACGCGCTGTTTGATGAAGTTATTAAGACATTACAGCCGAGATTACAGCCTTACATAGATAAATACCAAAATAATGATTATCCCTGACGTAGTGCCTACACCCCCCCACCCCCCTTTTTCTTACGGCAAGCATAACCCCCAACAACTTTGTGAAACTTCTGTAAAAATGTATCTAATCACCATAATATTCACAAGTATGTCACCGTCATGTCACCATTATATTATCCTTATATTACATCATGTCCTCATTATCTACCATTACATCAGCCATAAATAAATTACGCAATAAATAACTTTGCAACTATCTAAAACTATTACCTCTACAACAACAGCTTTAATTTATAGATGTATTAAAACTTAAACTAAAAAAATGTTTAAAAAATTTTTGAAAATGAGAAAAGAAAAAAAAAATTGAATCAAAAGTTTGTTTTGTAGATCCTCGAAGACACACCGCAAAAAAATTTTAAAATCCAAAATTTTAACTATCTTCTACGTCTTTGAAACATGGAACGTAATCTCTAAACAAATCGTAGCGAAATACATTTTCTTTGAGAAAAAAAATCCAGGTGAATTCCTTGAACGAAAGCACAATTTTCACACAACTAATGACTAACTCTTCACCAATCAGGCGAATAACTCTTCACCAATGAGGTGAGAGGAAATTTTGTTATAAAACGAATCACAAGTCGTAGAATTTATTTTTTGTTCCAGTTCGTCGATAGTCCCCTAAACAAGACACAAAAAAACGTACGGATCAATGATCCCATCCAGCGATTGGATGCCAGGCATGACGCACGTACGCTGTACCCGCCATCTTTCAGGGCGCAGATACCAATAATAAAACACTCGGGGAAAAAGTGTGGAGTATGGGGGGGGGGGCGAGCTCGGCATGTCCTCGAGTCCTGGGTGGTATCACTGCCAACAATAGACTCGTTTCCCTGATGAGGAGTGTCGTCCCCCCCCCCCCTCTCCCACANCAACAATAGACTCGTTTCCCTGATGAGGAGTGTCGTCCCCCCCCCCCTCTCTCCCACAGACACACTCACACACTCGATAACCGTCTTCATGTGATATCGATATAACAAAGGGACGATAAATAAACAGGTGTCGAATCCGTGGTTTGGATTCAATGAGAGGGTAGTCGGTAGTAATAATAATGTATTCGACTACGTTCCTGGACTGAAAGTCTTCAAAAGTCCTTTGATTGTTTGTGCTTTATCATCAGTACAAGGTGAGCACGGCATGACGCAATACACGTCATAGGAGTCGAAATGTAGACCTGGAGTCGAGGAAATTTGGTATCGAGTAAAAAAAAAAAAAAAGGAAACTGTAGTAAGTGATTATCCTTGTTTAAACAAGGAAGCGGTATATGAAGTAGATCGTTAGGTAATTGTTGGGTGGTCGAACTTAGCGCTATCTTTGTACTAGGTGAGGAGAGAGATCGTCATCTTTAAGACGGTTATGTCAGGGAAGCGATGGTTATGTAAGAGAAGCGATGGTTATGTAAGGAGGCGATGGCTATGTAATGGGGCGATGGTTATGTAAGGGGCAATGGTTATGTAAGGGGCAATGGTTATGTAAGGGGCAATGGTTATGTAAGGAGAAATGGTTATGTAAGGGGAAATGGTTATGTAAGGGGCAATGGTTATGTAAGGGGAAATGGTTATGTAAGGGGCAATGGTTATGTAAGGGGCAATGGTTATGTAAGGGGCAATTGTTATGTAAGGGGCAATGGTTATGTAAGGGGCAATGGTTATGTAAGGGGGTGATGGTTATGTAGGGGGTGATGGTTATGTAAGGGGCAATGGTTATGTAAGGGGGTGATGGTTATGTAAGGGATGGTTATGTAAGGGGCAATGGTTATGTAAGGGGCAATGGTTATGTAGGGGCAATGGTTATGTAGGGGCAATGGTTATGTAAGGGGGTGATGGTTATGTAAGGGGGTGATGGTTATGTAAGGGGGTGATGGTTATGTAAGGGGCAATGTTATGTAAGGGGGTGATGGTTATGTAAGGGGAAATGGTTATGTAAAGGGGTGATGGTTATGTAAGGGGCAATGGTTATGTAAGGGGAAATGGTTATGTAAGGGGCAATGGCTATGTAAGGGGCGATGGTTATGTAAGGGGCGATGGTTATGTAAGGGGCGATGGTTATGTAAGGGGCAATAGTTATGTATGGGGCAATGGTTATGTAATGGGGCGATGGTTATGTAAGGGAAGCGATGGTTATGTATGGAGCGATGGTTATGTATGGAGACGGAGGTTGTATAAGAAAGCAGTGGCGTATGAATGGGATGCCGAGGGAGTGGTCCACCCCTGGGGCACTTTTTTCTTTTATAGAGCGGGGTGGTACGTTAGGCCAATGGCAAATGCTTTTTATGTGTGGAAGAAGGGTGACAAAACACCTGGCCCGCCTTAGAAGGCAGTAATGCTGTTTAACTCCTCTGTAAGAAAGAGGTGGTTATGTAATGGCACAAACGGTTATGTTTGAGAAGTAGCCATGTTTTAACCAGTTGAGAGAAATAGCCATGTTTTAACCAGTTGAGAGAAGCAGCTAGGTTTTAACCAGTTGAGAGAAGTAGCCATGTTTTAACAAGTTGAGAGAAGCAGTCATGTTTTAACTAGTTAAGAGAGTGAGAGAGAAGCGTGAAGTGAGAAAGAGAGAGGGGGGATAAGGAGAGCGATCGAAAGAGGGAGATAGTTTGTGTGAAGATGATAATGAGTAACAGAACGAATGAGTGAACTAGTAAGATAAAGAGGGCTATAAATGGTAGGAGTGAGATCGAGAGAGGGATCGAGAGAAAAAGCAACTTAGATAGGGAGATAAAGTGAGGGAGAGAAGGGGGATAAAGAGAGAGGAATAGAGAGAAAGAGAGGGGAATGGAGAGGTAAAGAGAAGTTGGATGAAGAGGGAGGAGAGAAAGAGAGAGAGAGAGAAAGAGAGAGAGAGAGAGAAAGAGAGTGAGAAAGAGAGAGGGGAAAGGGAGAGAGAGAGAGAGAGAGAGAGAGAGAGAGGGGGGAAGGACAGGAAGTGGAAGAGACAGAGAGAGGAAATGATGGGAGCATTAAAAATGTGTATCCCTAGGTATGCTATCTGGATTCCATCTTGTGATGACGCGCCATGAAGAGAAACCTCGTGACTCGACAGTGACAAACAAGCTGTGGCAACTGGCAACAATGGCGAGAGCTTTGAGAAAGTTGACCGTAACTATACGTCGATACTTCGATACTCGGACGTGCGAATATGTTTCCTTTGGTACCCCGAAACTCCACCTACTGGTCAACGAATCAGCATCATGATGCATGGCCAGGTTTGTTCCATGGTGTTGGTAAACTAAAATGAAATAACACAGCGAAGACTTGTCTCGATACACCGATAAGCTGATTTCGATACCAACCACGCAGATAACCTGCTTTCGATACCAGCCACACAGATAAGCTGCTTTCGATACCAGCCACACGGAGAAACTGATTTCGATACCAACTACACAGAGACACTGATTTCGATACCTGCTAAGACTGGGCAGCTTGGCTTTTCGAAGACCAAACCGGCGCGCTTTGTTCATTTGTTTGTTTGTTTACAGCGCCACCCCACGGCCACCATTCACAGAGCTGTTGCCGTTCACATCATCAAACAATTCCTGCCTTCAAATTGGGAAGTTTATTTGTATTGGAGATTTAACATTAGCATGCATTGCTGTGTACAGGAGATAAACATGAGAATGTTTTTAAAAAGTATTTGAAATGCCACGAAGCTGTTAAACATCTCAAAGATTTTATGACATGTTTTAACCAGTTGAGCGAAGTAGCCATGTTTTAATCAGTTGAGAGAAGCAGCCATGTTTTAACCAGTTGAGAGAAGTAGCCATGTTTTAACCAGTTGAGAGAAGTAGCCATCTTTTAACCAGTTGAGAGAAGCAGCCATGTTTTAACCAGTTGAGAGAAGCAGCCATGTTTTAACCAGTTGAGAGAAGCAGTCATGTTTTAACCAATTGAGAGAAGCAGACATGTTTTAACCAGTTGAGAGATGAAACATTGAAGGTTACATTTATAGTATCACGGAGGCAGGAAAAAGAGAATACAGGGGCAGATCCAAGGAGGAAGTGGGCGTACACCTAGCGGCATCCAAAAACCAATATGAACAGGTAAATATGACGGGTGCAAGCTACGGTTGATTGATTCTCTCTGTCGGCAACTGACAGTTAGGCTCGAGGAAATAAAATTGCCGACACTTAGTAACAAGTTTGGCATTTCAAGATATAGATCATGGCGATGAGTCCGAGGACGATTACTTCGACCCAAAGTTCTTCACCTGCAATGGGAAGTCTAGTTGGAGACTCCCTCTCTATCATCTTGTCAGCCGACTAAAAATACACCCCACCACAAAATCTTTCATTAAACCCAATTGAGATTTACCCTTTGCCCCAAACCTGATCCGATCCCTCAACCCACTCGAGGTCCAATCAGTCAACCCATTCGAGGTCCAATCAGTCAACCCATTCGAGGTCCAAACATTCAACCCATTCGATGTCCAATCATTCAAACCATTCGAGGTCCAATCATTCAACCCATTCGAGGTCCAATCATTCAACCCATTCGAGGTCCAATCATTCAACCCATTCGAGGTCCAATCATTCAACCCATTCGAGGTCCAATCATTCAACCCATTCGAGGTCCAATCATTCAACCCATTCGAGGTCCAATCATTCAACCCATTCGAGGTCCAATCAGTCAACCCATTTGAGGTCCAATCATTCAACCCATTCAAGGTCCAATCATTCAACCCATTCAAGGTCCAATCATTCAACCCATTCGAGGTCCAATCATTCAACCCATTCGAGGTCCAATCATTCAACCCATTCGAGTTCAAATCATTCAACCCATTCGAGGTCCAATCATTCAACCCACTCGAGGTCCAATCAATTAACCCATTCGAGGTCCAATCTTTCAACCCATTCGAGGTCCAATCATTCAACCCACTCGAGGTCCAATCAATTAACCCATTCGAGGTCCAATAATTCAACCCATTCGAGGTCAAATCAGTCAAACAAGTCGAGGTCCAATCAATTAACCCATTCGAGATCCAATCTTTCAACCCATTCGAGGTCCAATCATTCAACCCATTCGAGGTCCAATCATTCAACCCATTCGAGGTCCAATCATTCAACCCATTCGAGGTCCAATCATTCAACCCATTCGAGGTCCAATCAGTCAACCCATTTGAGGTCCAATCATTCAACCCATTCAAGGTCCAATCATTCAACCCATTCAAGGTCCAATCATTCAACCCATTCGAGGTCCAATCATTCAACCCATTCGAGGTCCAATCATTCAACCCATTCGAGTTCAAATCATTCAACCCATTCGAGGTCCAATCATTCAACCCACTCGAGGTCCAATCAATTAACCCATTCGAGGTCCAATCTTTCAACCCATTCGAGGTCCAATCATTCAACCCACTCGAGGTCCAATCAATTAACCCATTCGAGGTCCAATAATTCAACCCATTCGAGGTCAAATCAGTCAAACAAGTCGAGGTCCAATCAATTAACCCATTCGAGATCCAATCTTTCAACCCATTCGAGGTCCAATCATTCAACCCATTCGAGGTCCAATCATTCAACCCATTCGAGGTCCAATCATTCAACCCATTCGAGGTCAAATCAGTCAAACAAGTCGAGGTCCAATCAATTAACCCATTCGAGATCCAATCTTTTAACCCATTCGAGGTCCAATCATTCAACCCATTCAAGGTCCAATCATTCAACCCACTCTAGTTCCAATCATTCAACCCACTCGAAGTCCAATCAGTCAACCCATTCGATGCCCAACCATTCAACCAATTCAAGGTCAAACAATTCCACCCATTCAAGGTCCAATCATTCAACGAACTTTATCCAATCATTGAACCCATTCAATGTGCAACCATTCAACCCACTCAAGGTCCAACCATTCAACCCACTTAGATAAAAAGATAGAGCAGATTGTATGTCAAAACGATAGAGCAGATTGTATGTCCAAAAGATAGAGCAGATTGTATGTCCAAAAGATAGAGCAGATTGTATGTCCAAAAGATAGAGCAGATTGTATGTCCAAAAGATAGAACAGATTGTATTGTCCAAAAGATAGAGCAGATTGTATGTCCTATAGATAGAGCAGATTGTATGTCCTAAAGATAGAGCAGATTGTATGTCCTAAAGATAGAGCAGATTGTATGTCCAAAAGATAGGGAAGATTGTATGTCCAAAAGATAGAGCAGATTGTATTGTCCAAAAGATAGAGCAGATTGTATGTCCTATAGATAGAGCAGATTGTATGTCCTAAAGATAGAGCAGATTGTATGTACTAAAGATAGAGCAGATTGTATGTCCTATAGATAGAGCAGATTGTATGTCCTAAAGATAGAGCAGATTGTATGTCCTAAAGATAGAGCAGATTGTATGTCCTAAAGATAGAGCAGATTGTATGTCCTATAGATAGAGCATATTGTATGTCCTAAAGATAGAGCAGATGGTATGTCCTAAAGATAGAGCAGATTGTATGTCCAAAAGATAGGGCAGATTGTATGTCCAAAAGATAGGGCAGATTGTATGTCCAAAAGATAGGGCAGATTGTATGTCCAAAAGATAGGGCAGATTGTATGTCCAAAAGATAGAGCAGACTGTATGTCCCATGTAAAGGGAAATCGCTACAAACAAGGATTCATTGGTCTTGTATGATTTTGAAATTTAACCGCACAGCCAGCGACCACACACTGATTTATTAGAATTAAAACTAAAAAAAAAAATCAAATAATTATAGAGCTACTAAAATTAATTATGTGAAAACTCAATTGATAAAAAAAAAATTGATTTGCTGAAAATGTGAAGGGTTCTTGAGCTACCAGCGAATTAAACGGGCTTGTGATCACTATCTTTATTAAAAAGTTAATACCATCTAACCATTATTTTAAGCGTAAATTATTGTAATACTAATGGTTCAATTTTCATAGTAGCGTCGGTGTCAGGGGCGTGGTATTGGCGCTCCAACTGCGACTGCAGGAAGGTGCAAATATTACAGGAGCATGGAATGGTTTGTGGAAAAAATGAGTAGAAAAGATTTCTATAAATTACTAGTTAAGTAATTTCATGGGTCATCTGATTATCCCACCCCTTCCACCGATTATGCCCCTTTCACCCATGATGATTTCACTAACGCTGTTTGGGATACAGCACGCCTTGAGTGTTATATTTTCCCTTATTATATGTGGCACAGCGGTGTAGTCGTTTTTACATATGGAACTCTTGAAACCAGTACAGTGAATCCCGGTTATGTCGACGCCCTCATGGTTTTCCAAAAAAGCATCGAGATAACCGATGATCGAGATAACCGAAAACCGATATGTCGGCAATATATTAACATGTGCTTGAAATTTATTTATGTACATTATGTGCGTTAATAAATGCAGGTACTTCAGTAAAAAAAATATATTTTTTTTTAAATATTACAATTATTGAGAGCAAATTTGTAATTTAAAAAATACAATCAGAATCCACTTTTTAACTTTAGTAATTTTTTAGCTACGAATTTTTAGAGTGCGAGTTCATTTGGTATTTTCTACTATGGACGAAGCCTCCACATTTTGTGACCTCATTCTGCTGATCATGTCTTGCGCAATGACTACAGTTTTATAGTTTATATAAGGCAATGCATCCTCTTATTACTAAAAAATACTATTTAGGGACTACTTATTTTGAACTTTCAATTTTGGCGCATGCCTATTTAATTAAATCCTTCCCAGACCAATGGTTGAATAGCTTTTGCACAGGGCAAACTCTTATGAATGAAACTCTGACGTAGTGCCGCGACATAGCCATTATGCAAGTGACCGTGAATAGGCTGCCCATGACAACGTTTCGCGCACGGCAAATTATGATCATTTATAGTATGGACTCTACCGGGTTTTTAAACCTCGAATCAAAACATGTTTATTTAAATTACTTCCAGGTTCATTCTTAAACACAAGTCCTGTATTTTGAGAAATAAATAATTATTTTTAATTGTGAAAAACTTGTTTATTTGTTGTTTGCTATTTCTTCTTGTGGAGTTCAAAAGCTGGCGATTGGTCATGGGGATCGAGATAGCCTAGGTTAAGTGGCAAATTTGGCCACCTTTAGTGCTCGAGATATTAGGGTTCTTTGACATACAAGAATCGACATAACCGTGGAGAAAATGCTAAGTAAAAGAGAGAAATTGGCGGTTCCACTTCAGAAACGTCGACAAAACAGGGTGGGCGAGTTAACCGAAGTCAAGATAAGCAGGTTCGACTGTACTTGGCTTTGGAGTTATAATCCTGTAGGAGGCAATTTTATTTTATCAAATTTTGTTCCAGACAAGAAAATTATAGGCAGTATTTCTAATAATTTCTTAGCCTGTCCCCTGACAATTTCAGTGACCCCTCTCTGGATACAACAGGTTGGGACTCCTTGCTCTTTAGCAGTGTTTCCAAACATTTAACACTGGTGGAAAAGTTTCAAATGGCACCACGGACCGATGCCAGGGTTAATAATTATTTTGTCTTTTTTTTTTACTAGCCCTTGAATATCTCATAAAATGGTTTTAATCCGCGACCAGTCAATGCCGGAGTTAATTTACTAGTACCTTTAAATAACAGGTGGTATTCGTTCTTTTTGTTACAGCTGTTTAACGTTGTTTAACTTTGTTTAAAATTGTTAAAATTTGTTTAACTTTGCTTAACTTTTATCCAATTCTTTGTTTCATTTAGCCAGTACCGGCAACGTTGGATGCAAGAGGGGGGGGGGGGCACAACACCGTAAAGTGTCAGGTGGAACTCACAAAGTCACGTGACGGCTCTGATTCATTGTGACATCTGGAACCAAGCCAATAAAATGCAGCAGTGACCAAGGTTCCAGGGGCAGGGGTGGGTTGAGGGGGGGATAGACGCTCCTGACCAAAGATATATCTTGCAACATATCATCATCGACCAGCCGCCAAGCCTTGCTAAATTTAAAATAAATATTACCGTTGAGTCCAAGGCGTGGAGACAAATTGTTGGTCTCTGCGACATAGGGCGGTAGATTAAACAAGACGTACAAGAAACTGACGTAGATGCACGCAATGCGCACATGTGTAACTTTATTTGTCCCTGCACAAAATGTTTCGTTTTCTAATCACTTCCGGTTGCGCTCCATAAACGAAACAGCCCGTCGACCTATCTCCGTATTTTTAGAATCGGAAATTCAAAAAAAGTTTCATACTCTGAAACACTGCTCGAAAGTCAGCAACTTGTTCATGCTGTGTGGTGCAAGACCCTGGAGGTTTTTCTAATTGAACCAGGAGAGCAAAGTTCACCGCTTTATTTAGCGAAATATTCAAAGATCGAAAGATCCCCAGAGAAAGATTTATACACTTATCAATAGATTCAACGAAATATTCTGAGATTTATCCAGACTGACCCGAGTGACCTCTACTAATCCATTGACCGTTTCATAAAAACCTACGCACTCATTCTGTGACTATCCATTTTAAAAACAAATGCCAGCCGTTGATTGTTTCATTACAGATTAGAGAGTTTGTTAACTTCCTAGGTTTCAAATGTAGGAATATTATTTTAACGCCATTACCGCCCCCCCCCACTTTTTTTTTTCTTCACAAAATTAAAAAAAATTAAAAAACAGTTCTGCCATGAATACGTAATGATGCTCAATTTTTAAATGCTAAACAAAACAACCAAAGAAAACAATTAAAAAAACCCACATTTTTGTTGTAATTGCTCTATACTTGTCAAAGTCTATAAAAGAAAATGGTGAGCTCTAATTCATTGAATGGAAACAAAGCGTACACTTTTGACTATTTCTTAACCAAGAACACAGTGAGTGTCAACTACACAACCTTCTCGTGTGGCCTGTGTCAACTACACAACCTTCTCGTGTGGTCTGTGTCAACTACACAACCTTCTCGTGTGGTCTTCGTCAGCTATACAACCTTCTCTTGTGGCCTGTGTCAACTACACAACCTTCTCTTGTGGTCTGTGTCAACTACACAACCTTCTATTGTGGCCTGTATCAACTACACAACCTTCTCTTGTGGTCTTTGTCAGCTATACAACCTTCTCTTGTGGCCTGTGTCAACTACACAACCTTCTCTTGTGGTCTGTGTCAACTACACAACCTTCTATTGTGGCCTGTGTCAACTACACAACCTTCTCGTGTGGCCTGTGTCAACTACACAACCTTCTCGTGTGGTCTGTGTCAACTACACAAACTTCTCGTGTGGCCTGTGTCAATTACACAACCTTCTCGTGTGGTCTGTGTCAACTACACAACCTTCTCGTGTGGTCTTCGTCAGCTATACAACCTTCTCTTGTGGCCTGTGTCAACTACACAACCTTCTCTTGTGGTCTGTGTCAACTACACAACCTTCTATTGTGGCCTGTATCAACTACACAACCTTCTCTTGTGGTCTTTGTCAGCTATACAAACTTCTCTTGTGGCCTGTGTCAACTACACAACCTTCTCTTGTGGTCTGTGTCAGCTATACAACCTTCTCTTGTGGTCTGGCACCATTGAAGACATCGAGGAACCAGTTCAGCTTGTCGAACACCTTGTTGGTGACCCCCTCTATTGACCGAAACAATGTGGAGCACCAGTGATAAGATAGAGATGAATGCTGCGGCGCACCCTGTCTAAATCCCACACGGGGTGGGGGGTCGACCCCCTAACACATTCACACACACGCTCCATTTATATAATGTCATAAAATATTAACCTCCAAACTTGCGCCCGAGGCAGTCGCCCGATTGGCTCCCCTAGTTGTGTCACTGGATGCACTCTGGGGGATATGTGCACTGTAGGGGAGCATCAACTACGTTATTTCACAGTACAACAAACTGACGTGTGGGCAGCGACGCAGCAAGGTGGGGGACAAAGTGGGTGGTCTGCCCCTGGCGGCACTTAAAAAAAAAAAATTAAATGGACAGACGTTATTTTCGGCCAACTGCGGAGTTTTTTTTCATGGAAGGAAGGCGGTAAAACTCTTAGTCCACCCTGGTCGAAAGTAGCTCTAGCTACGCCACTGCCTGCGGATGCATAGAGGATAACAAAAATATATTTCTTTTACTCACAAATGTAGCCCAAAATATATTTTATTGTACACCAGCTTTGTTTACACTGTATAGATCCACCACTGAAATGTATTCATCGGGTCTTTACGGAGGCGTCCTCATAAAAAAATGCTAGGCTAAAAATAGACTGTGCCGGCACAGGAGAAACGTGGCTTAAATAATATAGTGTTCGGAAATCCAAGCCGCAGAGTCGCCATGACAACGGCTTGTTGTCTCTCTTTGTATGTGTCACAAGTGGGTGGTCAATAAAAAAAAAATGGGTGCAGAGCAAGGCGTTTGTGTGTCTGTGTGTGTGTGTGTGTGTGTGTGTGTGTGTGTGTGTGTGTGTGTGTGTGTGGAGGGGGGGGGGGTTTGGGGCGAGGCAGTGAGTGTAAACAAATCTATAACAATCGGATACATTAACGACACGTGACAGATTATATATAAAAGTCTCTCTTTGTATGTGTCACAAGTGGGTGGTCAATAAAAAAAAAATGGGTGCGGAGCAAGGCGTGTGTGTGTCTGTGTGTGTGTGTGTGTGTGTGTGTGTGTGTGTGTGTGTGTGTGTGTGTGTGGAGAGGGGGCAGGTTTGGGTCGAGGCAGTTAGTGTAAACAAATCTATAACAATCGGATACATTAACGCCATGTGACAGATTAAATATAAACAAATGACAGAGACGATAGGTATGACAGACAAAACAGTGACAGAATATCTGACCGACGGAACATTCGGTGATAAATGATATGCGTGACGGACATGCCAGTGACAAACTTACATGTGTGGCACGCCTTTCAGTGAAAGTCACGTCGATGACAACTGAATCAGTCATCAGTGAATAGAAGGTTTAAAAAAAAAACCAGTAACTGTTTATCCACTTGACAAGCTGATTTGTTATAATTGTGACAACCTTAAACTGTTTATTTCCACGGTAAATTGCCATGAGTGCCCCAGCTGACCATCTCAGTCCCTGTCCCTCTAACCCTGCCCCCCCCCCCAAAAAAAAAAAAAACCTTAAACTGTTTATTTCCCCGGTAAATTGCCCTGGGGGCCCCCGCCGACCCTCTCAGTCCCTGTCCCCCTAACCCCGCCCCCCCCCCCCCCATGGTCCTGTTGTCTACCAAAATCCCAGCCCCAACCATTAATTTAGAACACCCGATGAAAACGGTTACCGGAAATTTGTTTGAAAGAAATTTCGTCGAAGGAAAATTGATCGACGGAAGTTGGATCGAGCGGAAGTCGGATCGAGCGGAAATTTGATCGAACGGAAGTTTGATCGAACGGAAGTTTGATCGAACGGACATTCTATCGAACGGAAAGTTGGTCGAAGGGAAATTTGATCGAATTTTCTCTTCAGTTCACACGATCTACATTTTCGTCAAATTTATTTGTTATCGAATTATTTTGATTCACTATATAGTATATTGCAGGGGTCGGGAACATATGGCTCGCGAGCCAGATGTGGCTCTATTGATGGCTGCATCTGGCTCGCAGACATATGGTCGATTATAAAAAAAAGTGGCATTAATGGTAACAAATCCTCATTATTGGATAGCAACAGCATCACAATGTTATTAAAAAGAAGTCAGAGACCTAATTATTGCATTTTTAGTGTTGAAATTACACAAAATGCACACAATTACTTGGATTTTTAGTTTTAAACATAATGTATGGCTCTCATAGAATTAATTTTCAAAATATGTGGTGTCCATGGCTCTCACAGAATTACTTTTCAAATTATGTGGTGTCTATGGCTCTCTCAGACAAAATGGTTTCAGACCCTGGTGTAGTGCGTAAAAAAAGAAATTAGACGCAAATTTCATTAGTGTGAACTGAAATAAAAATTCGATCTAAATTCCGTTCGACCAAACTTCCGTTCGATCAAATTTCCCTTCGATCCAACTTCCGTTCGAACAATTTTCCGTCGACGAAATTTCTTTCAAACAAATTTCCGGATACGGATGAAGACCAATAGGGCTGCCGTCTATAAAAACAGGGGCGTTTCCTCAAGTGTAATCGTGTTTTTATGTCTCTAGCCTATGGCATTTTCTCCCATGTTCTCTGTAACATACCATTAAATAGATGATAAGTTTTAAACATTGAGCAAACCCCCCCCCGCCCCAGCTCTTCCACCATTATCAAAATATTTCCCATGGTCAAAATAAATGTGCGAATAGATTTGTGGACACAGCCAACGCATTAACATATCAACGTCTTAATAAAAACTCGCTTTGTGTAAATAGTCCACATTGTTTGTGTCAACAGATCGTTGTGTCGAAATCAGGCCCAGGTTTAGCGGCATTAATTATGTGTATTAGATCCGAACTGCCTGTGTAATTAGATCCGTCTCTAATAATGTAATTAGATCCGCATCTACCCGTGTAATTAGATCTCTATCTACCTGTCTGTCGCACTACCCAAATGAGATAATCGTGACTTAAGTTCCGTCGCCCCAGAGGGCCCGATGAGCTGTATCCGCTAAAATTGTGTCACGCTGAGATGGATTGACCACGCGCTCGTGATGCGAGCAGACGACCCGAGCGTCCACAAGAGGGATACATCATCGCCTGCTTACACTTGATTGTGTGGAACGACCCGGCAGACGATCAGCGGCAAGTGAAAGCCAGGTCCCTGAATTGATCGTTTAATGATGCGGCTTGTGGGATATTTGAGCAGGGTGTGCGTATGGTTGGGGGGGGGGGGTTAAGGGATATGTTGTGGGCTTTGGGTTGGGGGACCGTTATCTCATTGTGTGCTAGGCGTTGTGTGNGGCAGACGATCAGCGGCAAGTGAAAGCCAGGTCCCTGAATTGATCGTTTAATGATGCGGCTTGTGGGATATTTGAGCAGGGTGTGCGTATGGTTGGGGGGGGGGGGTTAAGGGATATGTTGTGGTCTTTGGGTTGGCGGACCGTTATCTCATTATGTGCTAGGCATTGTGTGGATCTTTGGGTTGGCAGACCGTTATCTCATTATGTGCTAGGCATTCTGTGGGTCTTAGGGTTGGCAGACCATTATCTCATTACGTGCTAGGCATTCTGTACGTATTGTAAAAGAAATAATTTAGGCATTTTCTTTTCCTTTAGTAAGTACTCAACATTTGTAGTGTTTTCTCGGCATGGAATCAACTTTCCAAAGAGAAAGTTTGGCAGAAGGGCATAAGGGCAGAAGGGCATAAGGGCATAAGGGCATAAGGGCATAAGGGCATAAGGGCAGAAGGGCATAAGGGCATAAGGGCATAAGGGCATAAGGGCATAAGGGCATAAGGGTAGAAGGGCAGAAGGGCAGAAGGGAGGCAGAAGGGCATAAGGGCAAAAGGGCATAAGGGCATAAGGGCATAAGGGCATAAGGGCATAAGGGCAGAAGGGCATAAGGGCATAATGGCATAAGGGCATAAGGGCATAAGGGCATAAGGGTAGAAGGGCATAAGGGCAGAAGGGCATAAGGGTAGAAGGCATAAGGGCAGAAGGGCAGAAGGGCAGAAGGGCATAAGGGCATAATGGCATAAGGGCATAAGGGCAGAAGGGCATAAGGGTAGAAGGGCATAGGGCAGAAGGGCAGAAGGGCATAAGGGCATAAAGGCATAAGGGCATCATGGCCTCTTGTCACAATTGGTACTTAAAATAGTTGAGTCAGTTCTGGTATAAGAACACCTGGAACAGGGCTGCACAATTCGAAATTTGTATACACATAACCTTGAACAGGGCTGTTTAAGACCGGCCATAATGCATAATGAACACAACGGTGTGGGGAAAGCTATTCAAGAAAAGGATACAAATAAAGAAATGATTGTTTATCACAGACACTAATTGTCTAGATAAGTATTTAGGCAGGTATGGCTGCAGCGCCGTGTTCAATAGGAGCCCAAAATAAAATTTCTAAGAAGTCAGCACTAACTGGGGAATCTTAGAAAGCGAGTTATTTTCATGAACGTTGTGTCAAGTTAATTTAGTGGATAGGGAGTTCAAGCATTTACGCTGCCATTGTTTTGAGGGCTACTTATAGATATGGAATAAATTTAACGAGATACCATATCAAATAATACATTACTAATTTATGTATTTATTTATCGTCATTTCTTAATTAATTCTTCTTAAGACATCACACATAGCATTACGGCTGCCGCTCATGGATTTTGACGCGAGGCTGGATGTACACCACCCAGCATTGTATGGTGCTCTACTGTCATAAAATATGGTCCTCTACTAGCATTGTATGGTGCTCTATCATAAGATGGTCCTCTACTAGCATTGTATGGTGCTCTGTCATAAGATGGTCCTCTACTAGCATTGTATGGTGCTCTGTCAAAAGATGGTCCTCTACTAGCATTGTATGGTGTTCTGTCATAATATGGTTCTCTACTTTGTATTGTGTTCTTCTGTCATAATATGGTCCTCTACTATCCTTTTATGGTGCTCTACTGTAATAATATGGTCCTCAACTAACATTGAATGGTGATCACCTGTCATAATATGGCCCTCTACTAACATTATATGATACTCTACTGTCATGATATGGCCCTCCACTAACATTGTATGATGCTCTACTGTAATAATATGGTCCTCTACTAACATTGTATGGTGATCACCTGTCATAATATGGCCCTCTACTAACATTGTATGGTGCTCCTATGATGTTTCTATCGATCCTCGCCCTGACAGCGATAAGTTGATACGCCTGACATAAGCATGACATAATCACGACACCAGCACGGCACTGAGCTGTTTGGTCGTGTCACAAGGCTAAGCAACAGAGCTGAGATTTCAAACTCACCCAAAAAAAAAAACCAACAAACAGACACGCGCAATCGTGACTGAAAACATCATGTGATGAAACTATTGATTGGCCACACCCTATTCAGTGCGCATGCACCGCCTCTTGCCTTATCTTTCCTGCTCATCCAACCCGACCACTGAGCTGTTAACTTATTGCTGAACCACCTAACAACAATTTCAACGATTTTCTCATTGAACTCGTGTGACAGAATCAGCCAGTGGTTCGTTCATTTCTTTCGTCCGCGTGCCTAGCTTCCCGCGCCTAGCTTCCCGTGCCTAGCTTCCCGTGCCTAGCTTCCCGCGCCTAGCTTCCCGCGCCTAGCTTCCCGTGTCTAGCTTCCCGTGTCTAGCTTCCCGTGCCTAGCTTCCCGCGCCTAGCTTCCCGCGCCAGGCCCAACGTTTCATCTCTTTTTAAACAGAATAAATCACATTTTTGACCAGGTATGATACAACTTTGACATGCAGCAATCAAAACTGTGAAATCAAGGTCTAAGAATAGGAAAACCACTTGAAGGAATTGGGTCTAAAATTGAAGATTGCATAGAATACGTCATATATCGTTGTAAAGTCTAAGTTCCTGGTTGCGAAAGGTTTGGAATGAGATACAGATTTGAAGTAGATTAATGAGACACAAGCGATCTGTGTAAATAAAACTATATATGATTAAGCTTTAATCGTGATTAGACAAAATACAAATTCAAATGTTTATGCATCGGTTCAAAACAACAATAATTTTAAAAAAAAACAACAAACAAACAAACTATGGAGATAATTGTAAACTAAATTGATATAATACTACATCCATATCCTACCTAGACATAAAAATGAAAGAAAAGAATAAACAAGATGAACACGGTGGATGGAACGAGGTGTGTCACGTGCCGAATAACACCTTCAAAGAAGGGAAACTCTGACGGACTCAAGACCTCAAAATAACTTGGTCCAAACAGAAAGTGGGTTGTCTATCCCCTGCTCCACCAGGGCTGCCAAACCTTGGAATTTTCCCAAGATCTTGGGAATTCACTACCACATTCAGGACAAAACCTCTTTTTTAAAAAAAAATTCCCAAGATTAAAAAAAAAAAATCATATATTTTCATGATCATGGGAAATCTTGGGAAATATTTTGACAAAATCTTAGGAATTAAAAAAAAAATGAGTGGTAGCCCTGCTCTACCTCTGCACACAGGCCGTACGTACACTGAACAGCAAAGAGGACCGGTCAAACTTGCAAACTCCCCCCCCCCACCTAGATGACCTTGAGATTTAGCAATGATCAGACGACAGCCATACACAAAATAAAACAAGACAGAGGTGAAAAAGGGGGGGGGGGGGCAAAAAAAAAAAAGCGTTACGGAGAAGGCGTTACGGAGAAGGCGTTACGGAGAAGGCGTTACGGAGAAGGCGTTACGGAGAAGGCGTTACGGAGAAGGCGTTACGGAGAAGGCGTTACGGAGAAGGCGTTACGGAGAAGGCGTTACGGAGAAGGTGTTACAGAGAAGGTGTAGCAGAGAAGGTGTAGCAGAGAAGGTGTAGCAGAGAAGGTGTAGCAGAGAAGGTGTTGCAGAGATGGTCTTGCAGAGAAGGTTTTGCAGAGAAGGTGTAGCAGAGAAGGTTTTGCAGAGAAGGTGTTGCAGAGAAGGTGTTGCAGAGAAGGTGTTGCAGAGAAGGTGTTGCAGAGAAGGTGTTGCAGAGAAGGTGTTGCAGAGAAAATGTTACAGAGAAGGTGTTGCGGAGAAGGTGCTACAGAGACGGTGTACAGAGAAGGTGGTACAGAGAAGCTGCTACAGAGAAGGTGCTACAGAGAAGGTGCTACAGAGAAGGTGCTACAGAGAAGGTGCTGCAGAGAAGGTGCTGCAGAGAAGGTGCTACAGAGAAGGTGCTACAGAGAAGGTGCTACAGAGAAGGTGCTACAGAGACGGTGTACAGAGAAGGTGGTACAGAGAAGGTGTTACAGAGAAGGTGGTACAGAGAAGGTGCTACAGAGAAGGTGCTACAGAGAAGGTGCTACAGAGACGGTGTACAGAGAAGGTGGTACAGAGAAGGTGTTACAGAGAAGGTGGTACAGAGAAGGTGGTACAGAGAAGGTGGTACAGAGAAGGTATTACAGAGACGGTGGTACAGAGAAAATGGGACAGTGGATAATCAAATACGGATTTCAGAGAGCCAGAGGTGCATTACACCTATTTCTGTAGGTCAAAATCATAAACTTAAAAATTCGCAAACCGAGGATTTGTGGTTCGAGGTCGACCAATCATAAACCTAGCTGAGCACCCCAAACCATATCACGATATCCATTATCCCAATCCTATTCACAACACGCTATCCATTATCCCGCTCATATCCACATCACGATATCCATTATCCCGCCCCTATCGACATCACGATATCCATTATCCTGCCTCCATCCACATCACGATATCCATTATCCCACCTCTATCACATCACGATATCCATTATCCCGCCCATATCCACATCACGATATCCATTATCCCGACCCTATCCACATCACGATATCCATTATCACGCCCCTATCCACATCACGATATCCATTATCCCACCCCTATCGAAATCACGATATCCATTATCCCTCCCCTATCCACATTACGATATCCATTATCCCGCCCCTATCCACATCACGCTATCCATTATTCCACCCCATCCACATCACGCTATCCATATCCCACCCCTATCCATATCACGATATCCATTATCCCTCCTCTATCCACATCACGATATCCATTATCCCGCGCATATCCATATCACGATATCCATTATCACGCCCATATCCACATCACGATATCCATTATCCCGCCCCTATCGACATCACGATATCCATTATCGCTCCAATATCCACATTACGATATCCATTATACCGCCCCTATCCACATCACGATATCCTTTAGCCCGCCCCAATCCACATTACGATATCCATTATCCCGCCCCTATCCACATCACGATATCCATTATCCTGCCCCTATCGACATCACGATATCCATATCCCGCCCATATCCACATCACGATATCCATTATGCCGCCCTATCCACATCACGATATCCATTATCCCTCCCCTATCCACATCACGATATCCATTATCCCGCCCCTATCCATATCACGATATCCACTCTCCCACCCCTATCCATATTACGATATCCATTATCCGGCCCCTATACACATCACGATCTCTAATAGGACTCCCCTAACCACATCACGATATCCATTATCCCGCCCCAATCCACATCACGATCTCTATTAGGACACTACTTTCCACATTATTTTCCACATTTTCGCGCTTCTACCCACAATCCCACATAAGAATATTCATATGGACGCTTCTAGCCACATAATGTTGTCTATATGGACGCATCTAGACACATCATTATGTCTATATGGACGCATCTAGCCACATCATTATGTCTATATGGACGCATCTAGCCACATCATGATGTCTAGATGGACGCTCTTAGCAACATCATGATGTCTATATGGACGCTCCTAGCCACAGAATGATGTCTAGATGGACGCTGCTAGCAACATCACGATGTCTAGATGGACGCTGCTAGCCACATCATGATGTCTAGATGGACGCTCTTAGCCACATCATGATGTCTAGATGGACGCTCTTAGACACATCATGATGTCTATATGGACGCTTCTAGCCACATCATGATGTCTATATGGACGCTTCTAGCCACATAATGATGTCTAGATGGACGCTGCTTGCGACATCATGATGTGTAGATGGACGCTGCTTGCGACATCATGATGTCTAGATGGACGCTGCTTGCGACATCATGATGTCTAGATGCTGCTAGCGACATCATGATCGCCGTCAGCTCAGGCTCATCCCTCTATGAAGGAGGTGGCACTTACCAACGCCCCGCCCTTAAAGCCCACCTAGAGACACGCCCATTTACTTGGCCGTCTTTTTTTATTTGTATCTAGCACGAGAATCCCTGTGATCTCCAGGGCTAATGTCTTTGTGTTCATTGATTCTCTGCGCCTTTCTACAAAATGTCAGGTCTTATTTTTTGCCTAATTGCCAGATTTATTGACGTCATTGTGTTGAGTTCAGCACGCCGGGACGTGATCATTTTGTTTAATGCACCACGCCCCACGTACAGCCCCCCCCCCTTGCGCCCATCCCAACCCAGATAACGTCACATCAAGCATAATGGATTTGAAAATTTTAAAACTTTAGAAAAATCCTTTATATTAACTTGGCTTTTGTTCATGGCTACCTGGCTGGCTACCTGGCTGGCTACCTGGCTGGCTACCTGGCTGGCTACCTGGCTGGCTACCTGGCTGGCTACCTGGCTGGCTACCTGGCTGGCTAAATCTTCGGGCGGCTAATTATCTCACTTCCCATCAACCTATCGAGCTGAAGCTTGGTAAAAAGAAATGTTGCCGATGACAAAAAATTCTGTCAAATTGTTAGCCCCCAAGCCCTACACCCAAAAGTAAGTTTGTGCTGTTGTTCAAGATGAAGGTAATATGATGACACCGGTCGCATGAAATAAATTCCCGATAACTGCGCTCAATGAGCGTCTTAAAACACACAAATATATCGCAAGTGAGTTTGGTGCGTAATATTTTCTATTGTTTTGCCTGAAATAGTTGGTGAAATAAATCTGCGGTGTTTAAGTGGGTGGGTCATTAGAATTTTGATAGAGTTCAGGGGCGTGGAAAAAAAGTGCGTGGGGGGGGAGTACTAATTAGGATTCCTATAAAGCACGTTACTTGTATGCATGTCAAATTTTCAGCGCCCCCCACCCCCCCCCCAATTGCTCGATATAACATTTTATAAAGAATTTCCAGAAAAGCACGTTACTTGTATGCATTGCAAATTTTCAGCGCCCCCCCCCCCCCCCCCCAATTGCTCGATATAACATTTTATAAAGAATTTCCAGGGTTTGTTTGATTTAAGCTTTTGCTTGGCTTTCCTATAATCAAAATATTCTAGTATTTTTAATGGCCTTTGTAATTTAGTGTACAAGTAGTGCGATCACATGCATGGCTTGGTGTTGTACCAGTCTGTTCCTGTAACAATGTTGTTGTTTTTTGTGTGTGTGTGTGTGTGACAAGTACGAAGTTAGTTAAAGTCATGCAGACAGTCACTTCAGACAAATGGTGTCTCGTAGACAGTCAAATAGTGTCTCGTAGACAGTCAAATAGTGTCTCGTAGTCAGTCAAATAGTGTCTCGTAGTCAAATAGTGTCTCGTAGACAGTCAAATAGTGTCTCGTAGGCAGTCAAATTGTGTCTTGTAGACAGTCAAATTGTGTCTCGTAGACAGTCCAAATAGTGTCTCGTAGAAATCAAATAGTGTCTCGTAGACAGTCAAATAGTGTCTCGTAGACAGTCAAATAGTGTCTCGTAGTCAGTCAAATTGTGTCTCGTAGTCAAATTGTGTCTCGTACACAGTCAAATAGTGTCTCGTAGACAGTCAAATTGTGTCTCGTAGACAGTCAAATTGTGTCTCGTAGACAATTCAAGGGTCGGGGACAAGGTCACAGGCTAGTATTCAAAGTAACTGAGTTTATATTTGTCTCGTTGAGTCGATACGCTTGAGATCGATGGGATTGCGTGTCAAAACTGTTTGAATGTTTTTAAATCAGAAATCAAGATACTATGGTTCCACTTTATGGATAATGTCCATGTTTTGAAAGATTGTTGTAGATTTAAGAAACTATACATATATTCATTCCATGCGTATAGCTTTTCTCTTGGTCTCGCCATGAAACAAAGGGTCTCACGATGGTGGAGTCGGTGTTCCGTTGAGGGAATCCTGGTCTAACTGATTTAATAAGTGGATATTTGAAGGAATATGACGTATAGTTTGGGAGAGGGGGGGGGGGTGAAACAGCAGCCAAGCCTCTTTTCTGATTTCTTTCTCACTCTTGACGGACGGCGGAGTTTATTTTCTCCGCCTCTGGTTCTCCCGATGTTTGTTTGCAGCGACCGTTATTACCTAATCATCGATGCCTCTTTCATTTAATCTACATCTCTTGGGGTCAGCTATCGTTATTTACGAGACGAGAGTTAAATCATGTTTGGTTAAAAAATAAAATTAATAATAATAATTTAAATTAAAATAAATTTGTATTTATTGTTTTGCAGTTTGTTGAAAGCTGTGTTGTGAGTGTTGTGTTCATTTGGAAAGAACAATTATTTAAAATTAAACACTATGGACAAAAAAACAACCTCTTAAAATGTTTTAAAATTTTGCTGCTTTTAGTGATAAGAAGATAAGAAGATAAGAAGATATGAGGATAGTCTTGCCGTCTTCGGAAAGCTAGTGGTCTGACATTTTCTATTTATCAAAGTTTCAGCTGGAATGCTTGTAACGTTACAATGTACGAACTAAAAGATGTAAAAGATGGCGAACAAAAAAATCTACCGCGGTTCAACGAGGTAAACAAGGGACATAACTCAAAATTAATTATGTTCACGAAGTAATGGCTGATTATTTCCCCTTAATGTGTTGAGTTTTCTGATTTTAAGTTTTTTAAATTTTTTTTATTTTTAGGTTTTGCTTCATTTCTTGTAAATACGCTGATAGCAAACTCATATTCTTGTTATCAAAGAATCCTCCTTCTTGTGAATGTTGAGTCAAATGTGTCAGCTTAACAAATAAGACTGATACGGAATCGAGGACTATCAAAGGGAGTACACCCAAGGTTGTTCCATGGACGGACCACGGCTGACCCAATGTTGACCAAAGACACAATGTGAGAAAGTGACATTAGACAGACGTTGAAAAATGGGCTGAGTGAAAAGATCTGGAAGGAAACAACGAATTGAATGGATGGGATGAAAGGAGGATAAGGGGAAAAAAAGAGAGTGTTACAGAGCTGAGAGAGGGTGAGAGAGGGAGATAGAGGGCGAGAGAGCAGAAGGGGAGAATGGGAACTGGAGAAGGGAATAGAGTGAGGGAAAGAGGGGTATAGAGAAGGAGAGATCGAAAACATAGAAAGAAAGAATTGGATATGGAAGGAAAGGAAGAGAAAGAAAGTCAGAGAAAGAGAGAGAAACAAAAATAGAACAAGAGTGAAAGATGAGAAAGAAAGAAAAAGATGAAAGAGGTAAAAATAGAGAGTCTAAGAAAGAGAGAAAGCGAAATAAAGAGAGATAAAGAAAAAAAAGAGATCGAAAAAGAGAGGTAATGAGATGGAAAGAAAATGGAGAGGGAAAAGAGAGGTGAGAAAATAATATAGAGAGGTTCAAAAATGTAGATAGAAAAAGGGAGTAAAAAATTAGAAAGAGTGAGAAAGAGAAGAAGAAAACAGAGAGAAAGAATAAAAGTGGGAGTGAAAGGAATAGAGAAAGGGAGAGAGAAAGAGAAAAAGAGAAAGATAGCGAAAGTCGATAATAAAATAGGATGAGCAGTACAGATATAGATTGTCATAACAACAAGTTCATGGCCGAGGAAACAATAGAGTTGTATGGGGGGTGGGGTGGTGAAGGGTGGGGGTGGTGGTGGTGGTGGGTGGGGGTTATGGAGGGTTGGGGTGAGAGGGATGTTGAGAGCTGAGAGATTAAGTGTAGAAAAGATCGCTCTACTGGCCACTATGGTTGATGCGGCAAGCCTAGAGATTGATGTCATAGATAGACACTTTGTGGAGTTTGATGTCATAGATAGATATTTTGTGGAGATTGATGTCATGGACATTTTGTGGAGATTGATGTCATGGACATTTTGTGGAGATTGATGTCATGGACATTGTGTGGAGATTGATGTCATGGACATTTTGTGGAGATTTATGTCATGGACATTTTGTGGAGATTGATGTCATGGACATTTTGTGGAGATTGATGTCATAGATAGATATTTTGTGGAGACTGATGTCATGGACATTTTGTGGAGATTGATGTCATAGATAGACATTTTGTGGAGACTGATGTCATAGAAAGACATTTTGTGGAGATTGATGTCATAGATAGATATTTTGTGGAGACTGATGTCATAGATATATATTTTGTGGAGACTGATGTCATAGATAGAAGCTTTGTGGAGATTAATGTCATAGATAGACACTTTGTGGAGATTGATCTCACTGACATTAGACCATGACAAATCAAGCAGACTCGTGAACAAGTAATATTCCCCCGAGTGGCGATCGAGGTCCCACGCTCAATAATACATGACGAATAAAAGGCTGTGTGGTTAAGAGCCACTTTGTGTGATCGTCGCCAGGGTTAAAGTTCAATCATGTTTGGAAGCTGCAGATGATGGTGTGGTGATTTTCTGGTAGGTTTGTCGTAGGGCATGTTGTGGCTTGATGGTAGGTTGGACGTGGGGCATGTGGTGGCTTGATGGTTGGTTGGACGTAGGGCATGTGGTGGCTTGATGGTAGGTTGGACGTGGGGTATGTGGTGGCTTGATGGTTGATTGGACGTGGGGCATGTGGTGGCTTGATGGTAGGTTGGACGTAGGGCATGCGGTGGCTTGATGGTAGGTTGGACGTGGGGCATGTGGTGGCTTGATGGTAGGTTGGACGTGGGGTATGTGGTGGCTTGATGGTTGGTTGGACGTGGGGCATGTGGTGACTTTATGGTAGGTTGGACGTGGGGCATGTGGTGAGATGTGTTGGCTTGTGGGTTGGTTGGTGGTGGGGTATGTGGTGGCTTGATGGTGGGTTGGACGTGGGGCATGTGGTGGCTTGATGGTAGGTTGGACGTGGGGCATGTGGTGGCTTGATGGTAGGTTGGACGTGGGGTATGTGGTGGCTTGATGGTTGGTTGGACGTGGGGCATGTGGTGACTTTATGGTAGGTTGGCCTTAGGGCATGTGGTGGCTTGATGGTAGTTTTGACTTGATAGGTTGAACGTAGGGCATAGGGGTTACAGGTTTATAGAGTATCTTAAACTATCCACTGAGATAAATGATATTATTCATGTAGAATAAAATGTACAATGACAGGGTTCAGTGACAGGGATAACATACAGTGAGAGCGATACTGTACTACGGTACGAGCAACGCACGATATATACATATTAATGTTCTGTTTTCGCTTTAAACTTATGACGTCACGCTGTCATGGCATTAATTAACTCACAGTAGACGAATTCATCAATAGTTCAATGGTTCATCAATAGTTCAATGGTTCATCAATAGTTCAATGGTTCATCAATAGTTCAATGGTTCATCAATAGTTCAATGGTTCATCAATAGTTCAATGGATAAGTTTCGATTGTTAAAGAGTTTCTATCTTATCGCAAATCCATAAGATTTGTCTGTAAATTTGCACATGAATTTTGTTGTTGTCACACTTGACCCTCTCACTCATTTGATTGTGGTTGATCACATCCAGGGGCGTCTAGCCCCTCACCCCAACCCCCGCCCCCCGATCAAATTGTCGTGGGTTGGACGGGTTTGCTTCACGGCTAAGTAAAAGGGTGGGTGGGCGGGCTCAAATCGACTTTTTTTCTCCTCTAGTTTCATGCCTCGGGTACAGAGCAAATCACTTTAAGCGGGATTTTGTAATTGTCAAATTTTCATCAAATTTCATTTTGAACGCACTACGCTGTTAGACAAAATAATGCCTTCAAAAAGAAATTTGACGAAAATTTAATCGTGTGAACTAAGCGATTGTCTAACACCCCCTGAAAAATATAAATGCGTTTATAAATTAAATTGAAAAAAAAAAATTATAATCAATTTCTTTGATCCACCCCCCCCCTTCCCTGTCAAAAGGCACCGTCACACAATGTCAGAACACGTCAGAACAACTAGGGTACGCATTACACAAGACCGGGGGCCGCTGATTTAACATGGGGCAACTCAAAAGTGATCAGACCCACTCCAAACAAATCAACGTAGAGAAATCTGGTCGCAGAGAGACGTTCACCCGCTTAGACACTATAGTGATGTGTGTTTGACTACAATCTGTGGAAAATTCTCTCACTTATCCTTTCAGTCAATTATTCTTCTAGTCAATCATTCTTCCATTCAATTATTCTTCCAGTCAATTATTCTTCCAGTCAATTATTCTTCCAGTCAGTTATTCTTCCAGTCAATTATTCTTCCAGTCAATTATTCTTACAGTCAATTATTCTCACTGTCATTTATCCTCCCAATCAATTTATGTATGGATTCCTCATAATTCATGTGCTATTTGTTTTATTGTTTGGAGTGATCCCAGTCTATGTAATATATATCTGGCTTTAGCCCCATAAGTTTAGAGTGCCCCATAGTTTGGAGTGCCCCATAGTTTGGAGTGCCCCATAGTTTGGACCATGCCATCATATGAGCATTAACCTATGACCATGTCATCATATGACCAGTAACCTATGACCATGTTATATGAGCAGTAACCTCTGACCATGTCATCCTATGATCAGTAACCTATGACCATGTCATCCTATGAGCAGTAACCTATGACCATGTCATCCTATGAGCAGTAACCTATGACCATGTCATCATATGAGCAGTAACCGTGACTCTATTTTAAAAACTTAATTAGTGTGTATAGATAGAGTTCTCACCAATGTTGAATTTCTCTATATTCAGATCAAACACCTGCGCCACAGTACTCCGTTCCTCAAGTCGAGACCCATCGAGTACTTCTGGCAACGTTGTCGAAGGTACACTGCAACACTATCATCCTATGAATTAACACTGTAACCCCATGACCTGACACTTTGACACTGTCACCCCATAACCTGACACTGTAGTCCTATGATGCACTGACACTGTCACCCTATGTACTAACACTGTTATCTCATGATGCACTGACACTGTCACCCTATGTACTAACACTGTCATCTCATGATGCACTGACACTGTCACCCTATGTACTAACACTGTAATCCTATGATGCACTAACACTGTCACCCTATGTACTAACACTGTAATCTTATGATGCACTAACACTGTCACCCTATGTACTAACACTGTAATCTTATGATGCACTAACACTGTCACCCTATGTACTAACACTGTAATCTTATGATGCACTAATACTGTCACCCTATGTACTAACACTGTCAACCTATGAGCTAAGAACCAGGCACACCGAATACTAGAGCACCCACATATTATGCATTAACGTGGTTCACCTTCATTCCGGGTGCATGACTCACAGACCAACGTGGTTGCAACAGTTCCTCTTAACCAATGACTATCCGAAAAACACGATCTATCACCATATCACAAACTTTCTCATGAACTCTCTCCTTAAACAACTCCCGTGAAATCGCTCCGTAAACAACTTCCCGTGAGCTCTTATGATCTCATGCCTCACATCCCCATACTTGTTTGTTCTGCCGGTTCTGTCCCCCCGTGACCATTTAGCCGCAACAATACAATTCATGACACAACTCACGGACCAAGAAGTGTTCACTCTAACACCCAGTGATTCTCAAACCCTTGCCAACGTGTAAAAACAATCAAGACAAACACCACACACTCTGTGCTCTCCCATTTATTATCCTCAACAATTGCGATCATCTATGTACAATGCCTTTTTAAAAGAATTGATTTCCCTGAAGTTCTAAGCCTCTTGTGGACAACTCATTTAGGTATAAAAAAAAAATTAAAAAAAATTACGGACAGTCCGTATAGTTGAGGACGTTGGGCAACACTGAAATGGCATTTAGTTCTTTCCCATGGTTTCATCACTAAGCAATGGTCCCGTTATTAAAGTTGATCACGTGAAAGAGAATAGGCTGGCAGGTTACATCAAAACTTTGAAAAGACGTAAGAAGCCTGCATGAAAAAGTCCAACTCTATGACACTGATGTGCAGACGACTGAAACAAAGTAATACATGCAGTGGCGTAGGAAGGAGGTGTGTGTGTGTGTGGACGGGGGGGGGGGTTCAGTCCGGCACGTGGACTTGTCACTTTTACATGGAGTGGTTGCATTTCCGTAAGTTGAAATGCGGGGGTTATTTTTTCGTGGAAGTGCGGGGGTGGGGGGTGGGGTGGGGTGGGGGTTGGAGACGGCAAAAATCTCGGTCCAGCCCGGCAGGAAGTAAAACGTAGCTACGCCCCTGAAATGTTCACGAAATCATTCAAAAGTGATTTCTTCTCGAATGATTAGATTCATCAGCTCAACAATTTTCACCGAACGCAGAACTCCCCGCTTTTGGCACGGTCGATTTATTTTATCTACCGGTAAGCAAGGTAAACACAATCAGGCTGACATAGTGAGGGGAAGAATTGCTCTGAATTTAATTATGTATTTGGGTAACTCCATTGATCCGCTGAAAGGTTGCGGCTTAGCTAGATGAAATAAACACACAAACACATTTCTTATTTATAGGTTTATCTTGAGAATCTCTAGATTGAAATTTATTGACGCCGTCAGGCGTCTACGGGGGTTCTTAAGGTATTTGCGAATCTCATTTATTTCTCTATCTTAAGTTCCAGTAGCAGTGTGGAAAAATGTGCATTTACAGTTGTCGTCAGCAAAGGAGTTTTCAAAAGTGTTAAATGACTACAAGAAATGGAAGTTGCTGATAGTAATGTATAAATATTTTAGGCTAAGATTTGGAGAATTTTGAAAAATCTATTTTAAAATTTTAGAACCGCTGTCAAAAGCGTACATTAATAATGCTATCATTATTTTAGTTTAAATGTGTTATTGCAAGTTGTAGTTTGGAAGATAATAATTCTATTGCGCACTGAAACATTTAGACCGACACAAGAAGTTATGGATACAGACTTATTTAGAATAGCGAATAGGCAGACATGTTTGCAGACAAGGTAACAGACATAGGTGTGTGAGCAGTGCATGGAAAGCTCTGTCAATTGTAGTATTATTATTGGTGTTTTTTTTTTTTGAAGCGCTGTTTCATAAATTCGTGGTTGGTAGCGTGATCGCCGACCGACACATGCGGCAAGTGACCCACACGTATGGGGAGTATCCGACACATTTGGCGAGTGACCGACACCTGTGGCAAGTGGACCTCCAACGATCGGCGACTTTGGTTATCACAAGAGGGAAAAAAAAAAAAGAAAAAAAAAATTTGAAAAAATTATTATTCTTAAAACATCAACATTGATCAAAATCTTATCGTACTTAAATATTAAACATCCAGTTAGTTGAATATTTGTTATTGTATATTTAAACACTTTTCAATGGACTGTTAATTTATAATGAATAATTTAGGTCTAGATTTATGTCGTGTCGCTGTATTTCTTCTTAGTGCTGTGTTTTTATGTATCCCTGGATATTCTGGTCCATTATTAGTGTCGACCTCATTTCTCACAATGTCAATATTTATATTCTCTTGCTTCCTGTCTTTCCACTTCCGGTGAAAACAATGGCTGTTTCATGACTGGTTTACTGTCCTCCGCTCTTTAAGATATCTTCATTTATCCTGTGTGCTAAAGAAGGCTGTATGCCAAAACGTCCCAATCTTTTTGTCCTGTTCTCTAATTCAAGCTTCCACATACCGCGTTTTTTGCTATTTCATGAAATCAGTCAAACTGGTTTGCAGGAAATTGTAGGGATATAAAATAAAGAAATCCGAAATCAGCAAACAGCTGAAAATATCTCCTCCAATAACGCAAGTGCTATATTTGACCATATTAACTTTACAGCCAAATCAGAACAATAGAAGTGTTAGAAATTAAATACACGAAGTGTTAGAAATGAAACACACCCAGAAGTGATTTATTTAATTCAGTGCTACTACTACAGCTCAGGACTATGAAAACTGACACAAAAATTCTTGTTTCCATAAAAGTATATTTAAAAAACAAAAAAAAACCACACATATCAAGATGGCGGGTTTTAAAATTGGCTGAGCGCATAATCCCAGGATTATGTTTTTTTTCAATGACGTATCGATAAATTCAGCGTATAGACAAACACGCTTCAGGCGACACAAACGATCATGTTGACAAGAGAAACAAATAGAAATTATCTACATACAACCATCAAAGAGAGTTCGAGTCTAGACAGTGACGTCATTCGCCTACATAAACTCACTCAAACAAGTGTGTCATGAGGTCATCTTGAACATCACAGACGCTTGTTATAGCCCGTGTCCTGACCTAATATGAGCTCACCGACACGAAGAGCTGAGGGGTCAACCACTCCTCTCCCCCCTTTTTAGTTTTGTTATCGATTTAACCGATTAAATGTGTAGCGCTGTATTAACCCAACCCCTCCCTTGGTTGGGGAAAGTTTGTTTACGTTCGAATACATTCTAGTTTGTTCTGAAGAATAATTTCAGGTGATGCAATTTCTTTTCAGGGAAGGTTCCAAATTTCTCGCTATAAATAAGGCGGCAGCTTTCCTGGCCTAAAGAAAGAAAGAAAGAAGGAAAGAGATAGATATATATATATATATATATATATAGAGAGAGAGAGAGAGGAAGAGACAGAGAGAGAGAGGAAGAGAGAGAGAGAGAGAGAGAGAGAGAGAGTTTACTACCATTTTTCTTAAACACTTAAGAGACGTAATATACTTACAAGATTGTACTCTTTATGTGTGTAAGCAAATTGATCTTAGTATCTCTCACGGATTGTACATTTTTACTTGCTGTGCTGTGTGTTGACATTGTCTTTACTTCTGTATCTTGGACTGTTTATTCTTTATTTAAATTTAATGGTATAATTAAATTGAATATGGTTAATATCACTAGCTTGAATCTACTGGTTTTCTGCCCCTTTGTTTGGTATTGTTGATTATTTAATGGTATAATTAAATTGAATATGGTTAATATCACTAGCTTGAATCTACTGGTTTTCTGCCCCTTTGTTTGGTATTGTTGATTATTTAATGGTATAATTAAATTGAATATGGTTAATATCACTAGCTTGAATCTACTGGTTTTCTGCCCCTTTGTTTGGTATTGTTGATTTAACGGGCCAAATCAATCTTAAAACAGATTAAATGTACCACAAAAAAAAAAAAAATAATAAAAAAAAATAAAAAAAATAAAATAAAATACAACGGCACGTAACGAATTAAGGGCCTTGTCCGGGATGGCAACCATTTTTTTCCTTGCTGCCACCAATAACAAATTGAAGTTTGTCCGGTGATTTGCATCCATCTTTTCTAACGGACACAAATAACAACCTCTCACTGACGGAGGAGTGTGGCGATGTATCATCACCAACCCGCCCTTGATTGGGAAAAGGTTTAATGGCATTCGAATACCTCCTCATTTGAGCTAAAGAATGCCCTTCACGTCATGCATTTTCTAGAGCGTCCTTTTCTGGAGGGTTCCAGCTGTCTCCCTATAAATAAGGCGGAAGCTTTCCCACCCGAAAGAGATTTTTGCTGGTTACCCCAGACCATTGCGGGACGCAACAGCCAAATTTTAAAAAAAGTTAAATTTACAAACGTCACACAACGGTACGTAACAACGCAGACTGTGTGACACATTGGGATCCGGTGAACTGCTGGACATTGGATTGTGTGATACACTCTCAGGGTTGTGTGATACACTCTCAGGGTTGTGTGATACACTCTCAGGGTTGTGTGATACACTCTCAGGGTTGTGTGATACACTCTCAGGGTTGTGTGATACACTCTCAGGGTTGTGTGATACACTCTCAGGGTTGTGTGATACACTCTCAGGGTTGTGTGATACACTCTCAGGGTTGTGTGATACACTCTCAGGGTTGTGTGATACACTCTCAGGGTTGTGTGATACACTCTCAGGGTTGTGTGATACACTCTCAGGGTTGTGTGATACACTCTCAGGGTTGTGTGATACACTCTCAGGGTTGTGTGATACACTCTCAGGGTTGTGTGATACACTCTCAGGGTTGTGTGATACACTCTCAGGGTTGTGTGATACACTCTCAGGGTTGTGTGATACACTCTCAGGGTTGTGTGATACACTCTCAGGGTTGTGTGATACACTCTCAGGGTTGTGTGATACACTCTCAGGGTTGTGTGATACACTCTCAGGGTTGTGTGATACACTCTCAGGGTTGTGTGATACACTCTCAGGGTTGTGTGATACACTCTCAGGGTTGTGTGATACACTCTCAGGGTTGTGTGATACACTCTCAGGGTTGTGTGATACACTCTCAGGGTTGTGTGATACACTCTCAGGGTTGTGTGATACACTCTCAGGGTTGTGTGATACACTCTCAGGGTTGTGTGATACACTCTCAGGGTTGTGTGATACACTCTCAGGGTTGTGTGATACACTCTCAGGGTTGTGTGATACACTCTCAGGGTTGTGTGATACACTCTCAGGGTTGTGTGATACACTCTCAGGGTTGTGTGATACACTCTCAGGGTTGTGTGATACACTCTCAGGGTTGTGTGATACACTCTCAGGGTTGTGTGATACACTCTCAGGGTTGTGTGATACACTCTCAGGGTTGTGTGATACACTCTCAGGGTTGTGTGATACACTCTCAGGGTTGTGTGATACACTCTCAGGGTTGTGTGATACACTCTCAGGGTTGTGTGATACACTCTCAGGGTTGTGTGATACACTCTCAGGGTTGTGTGATACACTCTCAGGGTTGTGTGATACACTCTCAGGGTTGTGTGATACACTCTCAGGGTTGTGTGATACACTCTCAGGGTTGTGTGATACACTCTCAGGGTTGTGTGATACACTCTCAGGGTTGTGTGATACACTCTCAGGGTTGTGTGATACACTCTCAGGGTTGTGTGATACACTCTCAGGGTTGTGTGATACACTCTCAGGGTTGTGTGATACACTCTCAGGGTTGTGTGATACACTCTCAGGGTTGTGTGATACACTCTCAGGGTTGTGTGATACACTCTCAGGGTTGTGTGATACACTCTCAGGGTTGTGTGATACACTCTCAGGGTTGNTTATTGAAGGACATGTGGTACAGTGTTAAGAATACACAAGAGCTTTATTGAAGGACATGGTGTACAGTTTTGAGAATACACAATAGCTTTATTGAAGGACATGTGGTACAGTGTTAAGAATACACAATAGCTTTATTGAAGGACATGGTGTACAGTTTTGAGAATACACAATAGCTTTATTGAAGGACATGTGGTACATTGTTAAGAATACACAAGAGCTTTACTGAAGGACATGGTGTACAGTTTTGAGAATACACAATAGCTTTATTGAAGGACATGTGGTACAGTGTTAAGAATACACAAGAGCTTTATTGAAGGACATGGTGTACAGTTTTGAGAATACACAAGAACTTTATTGAAGGACATGTGGTACAGTGTTAAGAATACACAAGAGCTATATTGAAGGACATGGTGTACAGTTTTGAGAATACACAATAGCTTTATTGAAGGACATGGTGTACAGTGTTGAGAATACACAAGAGCTTTACTGAAGGACATGTGGTACAGTGTTAAGAATACACAAGAGCTTTATTGAAGGACATGGTGTACAGTTTTGAGAATACACAATAGCTTTATTGAAGGACATGTGCTACAGTGTTAAGAATACACAAGAGCTTTACTGAAGGACATGGTGTACAGTTTTGAGAATACACCATAGCTTTATTGAAGGACATGTGGTACAGTGTTAAGAATACACAAGAGCTTCATTGAAGGACATGGTGTACAGTTTTGAGAATACACAATAGCTTTATTGAAGGACCTGTGGTACAGTGTTGAGAATACACAAGAGCTTTATTGAAGGACATGGTGTACAGTTTTGAGAATACACAAGAACTTTATTGAAGGACATGTGGTACAGTGTTAAGAATACACAAGAGCTTTATTGAAGGACATGGTGTACAGTTTTGAGAATACACAATAGCTTTATTGAAGGACATGTGGTACAGTGTTAAGAATACACAAGAGCTTTATTGAAGGACATGGTGTACAGTTTTGAGAATACACAATAGCTTTATTGAAGGACATGTGGTACAGTGTTAAGAATACACAAGAGCTTTATTGAAGGACATGGTGTACAGTTTTGAGAATACACAATAGCTTTATTGAAGGACATGTGGTACAGTGTTAAGAATACACAATAGCTTTATTGAAGGACATGGTGTACAGTTTTGAGAATACACAATAGCTTTATTGAAGGACATGTGGTACATTGTTAAGAATACACAAGAGCTTTACTGAAGGACATGGTGTACAGTTTTGAGAATACACAATAGCTTTATTGAAGGACATGTGGTACAGTGTTAAGAATACACAAGAGCTTTATTGAAGGACATGGTGTACAGTTTTGAGAATACACAAGAACTTTATTGAAGGACATGTGGTACAGTGTTAAGAATACACAAGAGCTATATTGAAGGACATGGTGTACAGTTTTGAGAATACACAATAGCTTTATTGAAGGACAAATTGTACAGTGTTAAGAATACACACGAGCTTTTTAAAGGACATGTGGTACAGTGTTGAGAATACACAAGAGCTTTACTGAAGGACATGTGGTACAGTGTTAAGAATACACAAGAGCTTTATTGAAGGACATGGTGTACAGTGTTGAGAATACACAAGAGCTTTACTGAAATACATGTGGTACAGTGTTAAGAATACACAAGAGCTTTATTGAAGGACATGGTGTACAGTTTTGAGAATACACAATAGCTTTATTGAAGGACATGTGGTACAGTGTTAAGAATACACAAGAGCTTTACTGAAGGACATGGTGTACAGTTTTGAGACTACACAATAGCTTTATTGAAGGACATGTGGTACAGTGTTAAGAATACACAAGAGCTTTATTGAAGGACATGGTGTACAGTTTTGAGAATACACAATAGCTTTATTGAAGGACATGTGGTACAGTGTTGAGAATACACAAGACATTTATTGAAGGACATGGTGTACAGTTTTGAGAAAATACCAAGAACTTTATTGAAGGACATGTGGTACAGTGTTAAGAATACACAATAGCTTTATTGAAGGACATGTGGTACAGTGTTAAGAATACACAATAGCTTTATTGAAGGACATGTGGTACAGTGTTAAGAATACACAATAGCATTATTGAAGGACATGTGGTACAGTGTTAAGAATACACAAGAGCTTTATTGAAGGACATGGTGTACAGTTTTGTGAATACACAATAGCTTTATTGAAGGACATGTTGTACAGTGTTGAGAATACACAAGATCTTTATTGAAGGACATGTTGTACAGTGTTGAGAATACACAAGAGCTTTATTGAAATACATGTGGTACAGTGTTAAGAATACACAAGAGCTTTATTGAAGGACATGGTGTACAGTTTTGAGAATACACAATAGCTTTATTGAAGGACATGGTGTACAGTGTTGAGAATACACAAGAGCTTTATTGAAGGACATGGTGTACAGTGTTGGGAATACACAAGAACTTTATTGAAGGACATGTGGTACAGTGTTGAGAATACACAAGAGCTTTATTGAAGGACATGGTGTACAGTTTTGAGAATACACAATAGCTTTATTGAAGGACATGTTGTACAGTGTTGAGAATACACAAGAGCTTTATTGAAGGACATGTTGTACAGTGTTGAGAATACACAAGAGCTTTATTGAAGGACATGTGTACAGTGTTGAGAATACACAAGAGCTTTATTGAAGGACATGGTGTACAGTGTTGAGAATACACAAGAACTTTATTGAAGGACATGTGGTACAGTGTTGAGAATACACAGGAGCTTTATTGAAGGACAAATTGTACAGTTTTGAGAATACACAATAGCTTTATTGAAGGACATGTTGTACAGTGTTGAGAATACACAAGAGCTTTATTGAAGGACATGTTGTACAGTGTTGAGAATACACAAGAACTTTATTGAAGGACATGTTGTACAGTGTTGAGAATACACAAGAGCTTTATTGAAGGACATGTTATACATTGGTGAGAATACACAAGAGCTTTATTGAAGGACATGGTGTACAGTGTTGAGAATACACAAGAGCTTTATTGAAGGACATGGTGTACAGTGTTGAGAATACACAAGAACTTTATTGAAGGACATGTGGTACAGTGTTGAGAATACACAGGACCTTTATTGAAGGACATGGTGTACAGTTTTGAGAATACACAATAGCTTTATTGAAGGACATGTTGTACAGTGTTGAGAATACACAAGAGCTTTATTGAAGGACATGTTGTACAGTGTTGAGAATACACAAGAGCTTTATTGAAGGACATGTTGTACAGTGTTGAGAATACACAAGAGCTTTATTGAAGGACATGTTGTACAGTGGTGAGAATACACAAGAGCTTTATTGAAGGACATGGTGTACAGTATTGAGAATACACAAGAACTTTATTGAAGGACATGGTGTACAGTGTTGAGAATACACAAGAACTTTTAGTTTTATATTTTATTCACGACCCAACTGCCCCCACCCACCCAACTGCTTCCACCCACCCAACTGCCCCCACCCACCACCCACCACCCCCAGAGTTCCACTTACAAACCAGTGTTACGCTAGCTCCGCACTGAAAAGCCCGTAACTAAAGACGTCAAGACACGTGACTTACTTGACCAATCAGCGGACTTGGCATGGACATGGACATCGACATGGCATTGGCCTCCATGCGCATGCGTCGCTTCCTCTTGAGCCTGTTGATGAAAGTCACTTGCAGCCCAGCCTGGTACATCTTGGCCTAGAACCTGGGGGAGGGGGGGGATACTCCTCCTGGTCCGTCAAATGGTCTGGCTGAGGCTGATGACGTCACTTCTTTTAAGTTCTTAATGGTTCACGATGTCGCATGTCATTGTTTATAATGCAGCAAGGTCGCCGTGACCGTTTACGTTCGAAAATGTTAATGTCAAAGTAACCTTTGATGCCTTGACCTCAAGAGTTTTCTCATTACCAGATCACGTCTTTACTAACGACGTCAAACGTCAACACTAATTTGGATGCCATAATTTCCAACAGTCAACCAATGACATTTAGTATCTTAGATGTCATAAACCCCAACAGTCAAACAATGACATTTTTATGAACGTATATTGAAACCATTCGGTTGTACAATCATATTTATCTGAAAGTAGAGGCCGTCTTAGATTATCATAGCTGGAATCAGAGAAGTTCGTTTGCATTTACTCCGCCCCCCCCCCCCGGCCTTTTTTTTTTACGCAATAAGCCGCCACATTTCATTATAAGAATGGCATCTTTTATTTTCCCCCCCCCCCCCCCCCCGGCCTTTTTTTTTTACGCAATAAGCCGCCACATTTCATTATAAGAATGGCATCTGTAATGAACAAAGTTAATCTAAATGTAACATTTATTTGAATTCATAACAACGGTTTTAAAGTCTCACCAACACAACTTTAACATGAAACACCCTATTAGAAACACAGTTTGTCGTTAAAACTCTTTATAAAATATAACATCCAGTAATGGTGGCCGAGGCTTAAAATTGGACAAAACGTGCCAAGAGGAGCGCACTCTGTAGGAATTCCGATCAGTGCTCCCCCCCCCCTTCCCAAGCCTCGCAACAGCACATTTTCCACGCCCCTGAACTATGTTAATTCTCCAACTGACTTACTTTTACACCACAGATTTTTTTCCGCCAACTATTTAAGAAAAAACAAAAAAAAATGTTACGCACCAAACGCACCTGCGATATTTAAAAAAATAGAATTACTTTTAACGCAGTTTATGGGATTTTTATTTCGTGAAATGACCGTCATCATATTTTCTTCATCTTCCTCTTGAAGAACAAGGCATACTGACTTTTGGGGGTTCGGGTAGGCTGAAAATTTGACAGAATTTGTTGTCATCGGCAACGAGTCTATGTGTTAGGTCTCAGCTCGATAGTTTCACGGGAAGCGGGTCAGTTAGCCGTCTGAAGAGTTTTTTCCAGCCACAAACAAAAGTGGAGTTTATATACAGGATTTGAGGAGAGGGGCCAAACGAACTGAACTCCTGAACATTCCATATGTTCATGTCATGTTACGAAACGATTCCCCTTATAGAGGCAATCCGAACTAAACATTTCTTTCCAAACGAAGCTAAACGCGTCTTCAAACCAATGCGAGCACATTCAATGCATTGGCCAATCACAGCCCAAGATGGAGCGATCCAAACAGAACAATGAGTCTCACAGATCAGTAAATCATTTCCAACATTATGTGAAAAGCACAATAAGACATTTCAATCCGCGCTTTAGGTTGTAGCTTTTGGAAACACACTGTATTTGTTTATAGCGTTATTATTTAATGGTATATTTTTTTTACGAGTATAGATTTCACAAAATCACAATACAATTTTTAACACACCTGTTTCTGCGTCTCTAAAGTGGTCTGAGAAGACCTTTAACCAACCCGTGAAGACTTTAAAGAAACCCATACAATGAAATGTTGAAATTGACTTGAGCTTGTGAGTTCATGTCAGAATGACCAGCGTCCATAACAACAAGTAGAAAAATAATCCTTAGCATAACTCAAATTGTCGTCAATGATGAACTGTCCTAACCAGTGGCCAGATTGATTATATATATATATATACACACACACACACAATAAAGTCTAAGTCTAGTCAACTGATTTCTTTTCAACCTTTCAGCTACAACGACAAAAATGACACCACTTTAACACATGTTCAAACTTAGATTATCTTAAAACAAAACACCTTCCTAATCTTTAACACCATCCATACAGAAATCTAAAGCTGCTATCCGTCAAGCTCGAGACTGTGCACTGCTCTACCCCGTGGCACCTCGGTAATGAAGCGTCACCCCGGCGTCAAGTCAGAAGACGATGACGGAGTCACACTAACATTTGGAGGGGCCCGTGCGGCGTAACTGATTAAATATCACGACACCAGTTGCTCACGCCCGTATCGACGTAACACGCCCAACCCCCTCCCCACCCACCCTCACCTCTCCCGTACCCATCCCCTTCCCCCGCACCCTCACTCCTCAATCCTGGCACGTTTTAGCCCCCCTCCCCCGCCCTGTCACCATAGGTCGCAACAAAGATAGTGGAACCCCACCCGCCCCCCCCCCCCCCGTACCCACCCCCTTCCCCCGCCCCCGTCCCCTCCCCCATCCCCCCGCCCCGTGCCCCCCCTCCCCCCCCGCCACTCCACAACCGTGCACCCCCACCCCACTGCACCACCGTGCGATTCCTATCTCGTTACAAACAATCAATGACGTAATGCCCTTCAGCAAGGGAAGACAATTACTTCACTGACATAAGAAGTATCTCAAACAATAAGGGAATGTCGATACCATCATCGAGATACCTATTCAGTTTGTAAGGTAATAATAATAACAGGAATAACAATAATGATGATAATAATAATTATATTAATGATAATAATAATAATATAATAATAATGATAATGATTATAAAACAATGAATTTCAAAATAATAATAATAAATATAATAATAAATATAATAATAGCAATAACATAATGATAATGATAATAATAAAAAGAAAATCTTGAGTTTAAAAAAAAAATTATTTCCAGCCACATTCAAATTTACTTAATATATGAATTGCCTTTTTTCGCTTTGCTCATTTGCTGAAGTAAATTCTTCAACTATATTCATTTTCTTACACAAAGGCCTGATGGGATACAAATTGTGTTTAGAGCAAGAGAATGACTCTGTCACCTAATCAAGTCGTACAGAGAATGACGCTGCCACGTAGTCAAGTCGTACAGAGAATGACGCTGCCACCTAATCAAGTCGTACAGAGAATGACGCTGTCACGTAGTCAAGTCGTACAAAGAATGACGCTGCCACGTAATCAAGTCGTACAGAGAATGACGCTGTCACCTAATCAAGTCGTACAGAGAATGACGCTGCCACCTAATCAAGTCGGACAGAGAATGAAGCTGTCACCTAATCAAGTCGTACAGAGAATGACGCCGTCATGTAGTCAAGTCGTACAGAGAATGACGCTGCCACGTAGTCAAGTCGTACAGAGAATGACGCTGTCACATAGTCAAGCGTACAGAGAATGACGCTGTCACATAGTCAAGTCATCCTTGGGTTTTCCTTGTTTAGTGACTTGCTTTATCGCCCCATGAAAAACAAAACAAAAAAACTCAAAAAAATATTTTAGGTCGATGCCATAGGACTGATTTAAAAAATATGATTTTTTAGCAAGATGTTGAGAATTCCTGTGTAAACTCTGCTCTTCAGCTAGACATTTAATCGTATAAGAGAGCGATTCTTCTTTCTGTGGTATCAAATGACGTTACGAAATACACAAGAAGGCAGGAATATTTTTTTTTAAAAAGGAAAGAAAAAAATGTGTGTGTTTGGGGGGGGGGGGAGAAATTTAATTATTATTTTATTCACTAGTGGAACCTGGTGAGTTGGAGGATGCTTTGGACAAGCGCCATAGCTTTATAAGTTCTTTGTGGCGATGGAAAAAAAAAAGGGGGGGGGGGTATTTTTTTGTTTATAATGGAGGTTGGTATCTTAGGCCACTTGCAGAGCTTTTTTTTTCGTGGAAGTATAGGGATAAAAATCTTGGCCCACCATGGGCGGCACTAACCCTAGCAACGCCCCTGCTTGGTGTATTAAATGTATGTCTCATAAATGTAACCTAACGTATCATACAGCAAACCTATCATATCATATGGTGAAAACCTATGTGCAAACCTATCAATCATGACGCAAGCCTATAGATATATCCCAGTGCAAATTTCATTTCATTGCAGGCCTGTCATATCATGTTGTCCAAACTATCATACTTCGTTGCACACCCATGATTATCAGGAAGCTTAACTGCCATACCTTGTTTCTCATCTATGCTATCAGGAAGCCCAACTATCATACCTCGTAGCTAACCTATCATATCTGTACAGTCACCTGTAATAAAATGAAGACTTCCAATGAAGATGAATGATTTCAATTTTAAAAATACGGTGGTGGTGGGGAACTCTTTAGTGTAAAACCCAAACATTAAAAAAAAACATAATCTTTGCTGAGAACGACCGCAATCGGACATTACCCGGAGGACATTTCGAAGTGCTGCTCATCTTCGGTAACCAGTCGATGACTTGATCATGTCTCCAGGACGCACAACAATTGTGTCTACTAATGGAAGGGCCGGTTATAAACGCCAATGAGACGAACACAAAGATAATACACAATCTTTATCTAAATGTCATGGGTGAAGATGGTGGCCGTGGAAGGGTCGGATTTACTGGAATAACACAGGGGGGGGGTGGGTTACCAGGTTATTGCAAGCGGGTCGGCTAATAGCAAATATGTTTTGTTCATGAACTACAGATTTTCTGTAACAGTTTGATATATTTGGGACACATGCCGGTTCATCGCTTTTCCTTGTTCCGCCAACATGGCGGCCCTCGTCCCCAACACTTCCGGTTCTGTGGATGTACACACACACACACACACACACCGTCCACCAACAATAACAATATTCTATGTGTCCTTTTGGTCAAACCGAGATATCCGTGTTTGAAAATGGTGACGTTTGGTTTCGAATAACTATGGGCGTCTTTATCGCAGTTGTTTTTATTTTCTGTTTGTATTATCCATACAAGGTATAATTTATTAATAAAATGATGGTTCTAGGATGAGGTTTCAATTTTATATAAACTTTTTAAAAATTTGTCCATAAAAATATATGATCTCACAATAGTATAACAAGGTTCTATTGCTTTGAAACTTGGTTTTATAGCATGTTCCATCACGATTAAATACATAAACATTCTCTTTTCAGATACAAATTATTATAAACAAGAGAATAGCACTTTAACAATTACATTTAAAAGAAAACGAATAATATTTCTTTGTATAGTTTTTCTTTGTATTAATTTATCATTACTTACACGAATACCTTCAACAAACAATGAAATGTTTTTTTAAAAAAAATATCCTAGAAATTTTCAAAATTATTTCAATTCAAAGGCAGCTACAACAGGAAAAATGACATAATCATGTTACGATAGCATTGCCTGTCAACCATACAACAAGTGACATAATCATGTTACGATAGCATTGCCTGTCAACCATACAACAAGTGACATAATCATGTTACTAAAGTATTGCCTGTCTACCATACAACAAGTTAAATAATCATGTTACTAAAGTATTGCCTGTCAAGTTAAATAATCATGGTACTAAAGTATTGCCTGTCTACCATAAAAGTTAAATAATCATGCTACTAAAGTATTGCCTGTCTACCATAAAAGTTAAATAATCATGGTACTAAAGTATTGCCTGTCAAGTTAAATAATCATGGTACTAAAGTATTGCCTGTCTACCATAAAAGTTCAATAATCATGGTACTAAAGTATTCCCTGTCAAGTTCAATAATCATGGTACTAAAGTATTGCCTGTCAAGTTAAATAATCATGGTACTAAAGTATTGCCTGTCTACCATACAAGTTAAATAATCATGCTACTAAAGTATTGCTTGTCTACCATAAAAGTTAAATAATCATGGTACTAAATTATTGCCTGTCTACCATACAAGTTAAATAATCATGCTACTACAGTATTGCCTGTCTACCATACAAGTTAAATAATCATGGTACTAAAGTATTGCCTGTCTACCATACAAGTTAAATAATCATGGTACTAAAGTATTGCCTGTCTAACATACAAGTTAAATAATCATGATACTAAAGTATTGCCTGTCTACCATAAAAGTTAAATAATCATGGTACTAAAGTATTGCCTGTCTACCATACACGTTAAATAATCATGTTACTTAAGTATTGCCTGTCTACCATACAAGTTAAATAATCATGGTACTAAAGTATTGCCTGTCAAGTTCAATAATCATGGTACTAAAGTATTGCCTGTCAAGTTAAATAATCATGGTACTAAAGTATTGCCTGTCTACCATACAAGTTAAATAATCATGATACTAAAGTATTGCCTGTCTACCATACAAGTTAAATAATCATGGTACTAAAGTATTGCCTGTCTACCATACAAGTTAAATAATCATGGTACTAAAGTATTGCCTGTCTACCATACAAGTTAAATAATCATGCTACTAAAGTATTGCCTGTCTACCATACAAGTTAAATAATCATGGTACTAAAGTATTGCCTGTCTACCATACAAGTTAAATAATCATGGAGAGGTCACATCACAGAGGTCACATCACAGAGGTCACATCACAGAGGCTACACCTGGTAAATGTTCGCACCACGTGCGATTACTCTGAAGTACTACGTTCCGCGCACAATTGCACCTCCACTAAACCAACGTTTAAAAGTGTGACAAAATAATGTAACATTTCAAAAACCTGCAGTTTTTTTAAATTCACGTACCACCTCGTCCTTGACCTATGCAACGGTTATATCGACCGTAACTCGTTCATACTCTCGAGACAGGCGGAACCAGCAGGGCTTTTGACACTTACTTCCATTGTCAGAGCAACAGGGCATCGACTTGTGCAATGTTGAACAATCAAGTGGCTGGTTTTTTGTTTTTTTGTTGTTATTTTAAAATATTTTAAAACCTTTTCAGTGCTGCAAAACTCTTTATGTCTTGTCGTATTGACAAATTGAACCTTTGTTTTTTCTCCCGTTGAGACAGGACCGAGAAGACTTACAATGTTGAGACCGCTCTGAGAAAACAATGTTGAGACATCGCTGAAAGGACTTACAATGTAGAGACAGCGCTGAGAAGACAGACAATGTAGAGACAGCGCTGAGAAAACTTACAATGTAGAGACAGCGCTGAGAAAACTTACAATGTAGAGACAGCGCTGAGAAGACTTACAATGTAGAGACAGCGCTGAGAA